GTCAGCCAATGAGCAGTTTTCGACAATGTTTCAAAAAGCTCAAATCTAAACTGGCATCTCAAGTAAGTGGAAAACTATTCGTATAAAGTATAAGCCTAAGCACGTAAGCATTACAGAGAAGGAACAAGGTTGTATAGGTAGATGAGCACAAAATGCAAATTTTTTTACAAAGTTGCTTCCACATGAGAGTTTCATCAGCATCTCAGTCCGAGTCTTTTTTGTTCAGCTATCTAGTAGTCAATCGTACAGCTTGCTATTTCAACAAATGGATTCAATGAGAATCGTTTCACCTTTGGGGTCATTGGGCCTCCCCAGCATTCCGGCTAGGTTGGGTTATGGTTATTATACCTGAGCCAGTAGACCTGCCTTATAAGCCGCCGGATTGCTTTTAAGAGTAACTAAAGATCGTTCCGCTGGCAACGAGGGGGCATGCGTCCCATCTCCATGGATTCAAAGTTTGGGAGTTATAAATCTCATGCCTACATCTGCATACTTATCTATTAGCCTACCAACATATTCAGTGCAAGCTGTTTTATCTTCTCACATTAGTCTGATTAGGATCAGACTCCGACTGACTTGATGATGTCTGCATTTGTTTACATATCTTGTTCGTTTCCGCTGTATTACTAACTTCTTGATGTGTCTTTTTTATGGAACGCCTTGAGCGTACAAATGAAATGAAATGAAATGAGAAACCTTCGCCAAACCAACCACATCCTGATTTTTCACATCGATGAAAGGATGATCGAAGAAAAAAAAATAATAAGTGATAGGAAAAGCACTTCACCAAGAAAACCAAGCTGTAGCAGCCATATCCTTTCCTCGAGAATTTACGTCGTATTCAGGCATGTTACAAAAAATCTTCCCTTTCACCATGACATACCTACCATCTGAAATATATGATAAAGAGCAAGAATGGTCCCCGCATGAAGTCTCATTCAGCTAAAGAAGTTCGAAATTTTTAGCCTAAAACGAAAGTCTAGCTTGTGGCATAATCTTCAACGCTCGTCATCAAAATTCAGACATATTCACTTGCAATCGAGGGAAAGTTTGTAAGGTCACCTCCTGTTTACAGTGAACGCTCTCATTTCCACGCTTTCGCAGAAGAAAGTGAGAAGCTTGTTTACATTTCGAGTCATAAGAGGGAAGATACTAGAGCTGGACCACGATGAACGAGATCATGCAAACATGAAGTTGAGTCCTATTTTTTGAACAGGTGAGACTTTTCCTACCTCGACTGCAATCTTCCTTGTATAGTTTTTCGCAATTATTGAAATGTACCTTATGAAAAGGTCAGTGCAAAAGTGATCAGTAGGGTCGAGCAAGAGGTGTGGCACACAACCGCTGGATACGATCCCTCCCCCCCCCCCCCCCCGACATTTTCGTTAGCCTACCGTAGGCATGACAAGGCTCTATCAAGCATGATTAGCAATGTATTTGTAATTATCATGTCAAACTCCTCTGGGCTAAGTTTTAGCGAGTCCTAAGGGTTCCCAATATTGGGCCACCCATGTGAAGTGGTCATTTTCAAACATGGTTAACTACACTTCAAACGTGAATTAGCTATTTGTTTTTGTACTCAGTGCTGCACTACTTCCTGTTTGTCCACACCGAGAATCCTGCCTCAAATAACCATTCAAACTATGGAATTAAGAGCCAAACAAAATCTCGTTTGTCCCATTTTTCGCCTACAGTGATTATGCTTCCAGTAACTTTTGCTCACTTGAGAGAAGATGAATTCAGCTCTGATTACTTCTACAAAACTACGAGATTTTGGCTATCGAAATTTATATAGTTTGCTCCCTAAAATTCTCTTTTGTGGTAAGTTAATGGGGTGTGGCAGAACCACTAAAAAGCTGTAGCTGCCACACCTTTTTAGGGGTTGTGCCACACCCCATCAACTTACCTTCAAACCCTTGTTATATCTGCGTTTTTTTTATATCGTTGCTACTGCTTAACCTTCTTCTTTATGTATTAGGAATTTCATTTGAAATCGTTTCTTCTAGGCAAAGATATAGTCGTTTTTTCTTGCCTATGCAAATGGAAGATACTGCGAAAGCATTGGATTACGGTAACATGCTGAATCTGCACTACTACGTGAATCGCGAGGGAAGGCGACAAGAATAAATATGTTTGGTAGACTAAGCTTCGTAATCTATACAGAAGTGATTTGAGCCTGATTGGTCTTCTCTAATCAGAGATATCAAAAGCGAAAAGTGGAAACGGCGAGGTTTTGGCTTGTTCTTGATTCCTTGGTTGAGGGTATTTCAAAGTGGAATTCTTAAGGTGAGCAAAGAAATAGTAGTTCTTCGTAGAGTGCAAAAAGAAGTAGTTATCTCACCTTTCAAACAAAGGTAACATGTTCGAAAATGACCATCTCACTTAGGTGGCGCAATATTTGGAACCCTCAGAATTCGCTGAAGCTTGACCCACAGGGGTTATTTGACATGCTAATTACGAAAACAATGCTCTATGCTTTAGTGCTCTTTTATTACTGTACGTATACGATGGTAGGCCAAAACATCATTGGGGTACTGTTTTGCCTAATGGGCCAATCCGACAATGTTAACGAAAATCATGTTGTCGCTAACGTCAGAACCATCTCGATAACGAACCCCTTAACCCTCGCTTATCCCTCAATACGACCCCCAAGGTATGGCATGCCACACCTTACGCTTGACACTGGTGATCAGCGTTGGCTTATATCGGATTGGATTCTCGAAAATAATAGTGCATCTTGAGACAGGTTCATACTAATGCCTTTCGTCTGCTCATTTAAGCATGCTTGAGTTTTCACCGCTTATCGGAACGGGCTATAAGGTTTTGCCAGATCACATAGATCGGTGAACTTGCGGTCATTGCTCACGCAGAATGTCACGAGGCTTCAGACCAATTGAACACACATGTTTTTCAAAATCGCCTCAGGTATATAAAAGCTAAAACTTAGAGCAGAAAATCATCCGACAGTGAAAAGAAAATTGAAAAAGCTCAGTGCGCGAGCAGTTTCAGCAAACTCACCGGCCTTTAAGATCAGGCAAAGCTCTACATATACAAGACGCCTGGATATCAAAATTTCTTGAATCATTCCTGCAAACTACGGTATGCCAGTAAATGGATTCCGAGGATTATGACTGACCAAGTGTGATGGTCTACCGGTAGCACACAATTGCTCCCACTGACTTGCCATGCTTCTCATTGTGGGTTGCAAAGCCTAGCAAGCTGTCAAGGCGATCGGAAAGTAATGGGACAGCTTCGTTTTTCGCACATATTAAAACTTTTTGCTTTGATTTTCAATGATAAACATCACTCCGTCACCAATACAAGTGACCTGTCTATCATTCTAACAGCGTGATGCCGCTACTTTTTTTTTAGAATTCTTGTTCTGGCGCTTCGAAAAATTTGAACCGATTCTTTTGGATGTCTTGAAGTTGCGCTGCTGGCAAAAGCAATGGCCAGTGACAATACCAATCAAAAGAGTCCTTCAAGCTCTTTTAAGTAGTTGAATTGCGTGGAAGTTTTTTTTGTATTTGTGGGTAAAAAGACAAAAACTAAAAAAAATTCGATGGTGCAATAGGAAACCACAAAAATTATTTTTTAGTCTATTTTATCCGAGAATGGAGATGCATAATATAATAACGATAATATCTTTTGTATTCAAATGCTTACATAAAAAATCCATTCATTGTATTCAAATATAAATACAATACTTATGACAGATCTTTCAAAATTTGGCATTTAAATGTCTCAAATAACTAATAACGTTCATATTCATTCTTGAACAATCCACAACAACCGAAGTCTAATCGTAAGAAGGAATAGATACGAATGATATATATCTCACAAACAATACCAAACGTAAAGAAACCAGTCTAGACAAGTTCATTTTCGACATACGTCACCCATTTCGCGGATGGTCCGAGTAAGTAAGAAATTCAGAGGAAAGGATGAGTCTCACTATTTTTCTAGATTTTTTTGAACCTTCTAGGTCTCTCTCCTTACTGAAGAGACCCGGAAAGCGCCTAGAAGTGAAAAGCTCCGTCTAGAAAAGGCACGAATCGGAGAATACTTATAAAAATGGTTTCTCTTTTTATAAAGCAACACAAGAGTGGATAGAGCGTGAAGAGATCTTTAAGAAGGTAACGAAAACGTATATTCACAAGCAGAAAAGTGAATAGCAAGCATCCTCTTACTCGGGACTGCTATGTTTATATCCTGACTTCGAACCCTGGTACTATCTGTTTTGGGTTCGGTGACAATACCCTCCCATTATAACTTTGCGTTACAACACTTAGAAAATTTACTGCAACTGCAGAGGGTCTTCTGTAGATTTCCAATGAACGAGGATAATGTGTCCCAAAGTGTTAGAATTTGGGCTTCTATTGAGTTTCCCTTCTTGAGAAAATACAGTTAGCTTTGAAGTGTCTCAGTACCTTCCAATTACCCTAATATAAAAAAAATTGATGTTAGCGATGATGAAAAAAGCCTCTATTGGAGTTGATAGAGTAGCGTTAATGCAATATAGTCGTGTCATTGCTATTTACCGTTTCTGAAACCCAACAAAATGTGCAGTTTGAGCGTTTTCGTCCTGAGGTGTAGGTTAAATGTGGCACTTTCACTACTTGGCTGTGGCTTGCTTTCTTGCAAATTGTGGCTAACGCGCCATTTAATCGTGAACGAATGAGCTCGGTAAGGTTCGAAGACATCTGCAATGTAAAAGCATGTCTCTATTTTTAGCAGAAGGGCTGTGTACCTTTTGATGAAGTAGCAAAGCCGTAAATTCTGGATTATTTATACGGGTCCTCCCGAATCTCGCGCTCGCAAGGTTTTACGCCAAAAAAAGTGCATGCCATAGAAAAAGAAGTGGTTGCGCCTGTTCAGCTGCTGTAAATGTTCCGGTTACCAGGCAGCTTGGTCAGTTTTGGCGCACGGGCGGCGTGAGAGCGAAAACGAGGAGGTTGAGCGAGGACCGGGCTGTGACCCCGATTGATCAGTCAACATAGATGCGATCCCTGCCAGTGCACGTCATCTGTAAGTGAATAATTTCAGTTTTTTTGTAGATTTTCAGTTTTCATGTCTGGTGGTTTGCTGCCGGAAACCTTGCAATTTTCCTTATCTTACGCGCTGACATTTGAGAGATGCGCGGGGTACGGTAGCCACCTCTTGACTTCGAGTAAGCTCCTCCCCGCAATACGGTCGAATTCTAACGATGCTTCAAATATGCTTTGCAGGAAAGCTCGCATATGTCTTCTCATTTTTTCTTCTCTTTCTTTTCTCATCTTCCCAAAAATAATTTTACAGGACCTTGAGCAAATAAATATCCACAACATGCCTATATGTTCGTTTTTGGTGTTCTAGATCATCCACTTTCATGGGCTTTTAGACCTGACCAATTTGCTAGCGGTTTATGTGCAACAATACATATCACGCAGCTCAGGCCTTGAGCGCGGATCACACGCTCCTCGCTCTATTTCCGGTCATCTATTGCGTCCCATACTATTCAGTGATTACCATAGTAAATTTATGGCCGCACTCTAGAATGGTTCCACTAATGTGGACTGACTTCTTCCAACCGCTTTTTAAAGCTTAGTGCAATGCTAGCCAGTAATCTCTACGTTTTCAGCTATCCTACTAGTTTGTGCATCGTGCGATGATGTGCTGCGTCCAGCCGCAATTATACCGTGGTCGCAATACCAGCAACGATTGAGGCAGGCAAACGAACTTACAGAAGCTTACTATGAGGTACGGCTGGCTTTTAGACAGTGTCTCGGCAGAATTTTGTTCTCCATTTTTTCTTTCCGGAGGTTTCCTCATGAGGAATTCATTGCTCGGTTTTTTAGCGCATGAAAATGGCAAAACTGAGCTTTTTCCGAAGCTTTCCAGGTCCGCATTTAGTGAAGAACACCAGAAAAATGCCGCGCTCCTCCTCTCTCGTTTCAGGCCCCGCCCACTTCTCCACTGAAAGGGTGCAAAGTTCCGGAGTAAGCCCATTTTCGCCGTTTTCATGCGCCGTAATGTCAAGATATGAGTTCTTTATGGCGAGAATGCTCCGAAAAGGTGAAAAACTGGGGGACGAAATTTTGCAGACATTGCCTCTAAGGTAATTGGCCTTTATTGGTTTCCTGCAGATGGAGGAAAAATGGCCATCACAAAGGCCCACGTACAATAGTCGTCTTCGAGGCAGGTGGCCACAAAGGGAATCGCAACCTGAAAGCACGGATATGGTGGACATGAAGTGGGGATCATTCAGGGCTCGGCATGAGTCCGTTTCTAGGTTTTTGAGAGTAAAGTCCCTCCTATCTTTCGCGAAATTTTACGAAGTCCCCTTTGACCCCTATCGTAAACGTCGACTAAAAAAACCACACCTAATTTGTATTTTTTCGAGCCACAAAAACGATATCCCCTTTGCTTTTTCGCCCCGAAAACGAAGTTCAGCCTGTTTCAAACGTTCTCTGCCGGGCCCTGGGATCATTCAATAGCCCGGAATTTTATAGAGTGTGATTTTCAGATCTCGTCCAAGACCAGTATTCCGATCCCAAGTTAGGAATCGTGTCCCTACAGAATCTCCACCGACGACGTCAGCGACGTCACGAAGTTACCTTGTTGCCAAGAAAAAGCCAATAGCAAAGCCGGAGTACATCGCGACAACTCGGACTTATCACATGCCGCATGGAGCCAATGGCGCTCCACCAAGAACTCAGAATACTCAACTTCGCTCCATAGCCATCCCTAATGGGGTTCCAGTACATGCTGGAACATGGGATGATGGAACACCGCATTATGCGACTCAGAAAAGGCCTCAACAATTCGCAGTGGCCACATTGGAGTCATCGAATCCTCTTAACGCACTTTCGCAGACTCATTTTGCTTCTTCTCCGCTCAATACAGAAGCGGTGGACAGTTTTGCGAATTCGATTTTTTCGCAGAGCAAAGCAGCTTCGCAATTTTCTAATGCTGCTGCTTCGCCAGTTCAGGTAAAAAGAATCTCACCACTCGCTTTTCGCTAGCAAACTTTTTCCTTTTAGCTTGCAAAATCTCCCGCTAATCCGCTTGATTCCATACTTGGTGGAGGTGCCCCGCTGGACCAAATATCAAAAATTGCTAGTAACATACTGAATTTTGGTGGAGGCGATGGAGCAGCAGTACATATTCAAATCATCCTCAAAAATCACTGAATACTTGACGTCTATTTTGCAGAAAGGTGGTCTTTTGGAAGCGATGACGAATGTATTCAGAAGAGGAAGCCTTCCGGCACCGTCCACCTCTTTCCAAAGCGATTTTCCATTCGGAACTGCGACGAAACCACAGCCGACTATTATGGAAAAGATAATTACGCAAGGTATTTCACTAGCCAAATAACTGTGATTCAATGTAACTGACTGGCATACCACAGCTGCTTCTGCTCTGAACCAGTCATTCAAGGACAAGGAGATTAAACCACAAGAAGTTCATCTGACCAAGGATAAAGAAGATTCCCTGAAGGTTTGTAAATACAACCAAAGCTCCTTATAGACAATTTTATTCAGCTTTTGGATAATCTACCAGAGGAGGAAAGGAAACTTCTAAAAGCAGCCATCACATCGGGAGAACTAGATGCGGAAACGCTTGCTCCAGCATTGAAGTAAGGAGTACATGAATGACTTTTTGGTTAGCAAAGACTTCCTTAAATTCGGTGGGAACCAAGAGTTCTGTCGCACTAGTTCCAAAATCCATAGCTTCTTGATATCTGAGCAGGTCTGCATGCATCGAATGTTATTTGAAAGAAAAAATGCATGCGTTTCATAGCAGCATGAGCTCGCTATCCAATATCGCCTAGATGCAAGTGTTGAGAAAATCACAATCTAAGTTTTCCTTCGTTTGATCATAAAAAATTTGAATTTTGCAATGAAATTCGGAGCACTCACTATCAAAGGTTTCTTGCCCTGCTTTCTAGCTGCTCAAATCTGTGCTGCTTACTATAAAAAATTATGATTCTCGAGAAAAATGCCAAAAAACTAACATTTGCGTTTCTATACTGTTTTGCTTGAAAAGCACAACTTTTGCAGAGGCGCTCAATCAGCTCAAACTTTGCTCAGCAAAAAAAGCGGTCAAGAAACCTACATCCTGACTGCTCATTTCATTGTAATTATTTTCTACGATCGAACACAGCAAATCCATTACCTGAGTGGTCTTTTCTATCGCTTATATCTGCGCGATGTGTGCATAACGAGAAGCGGGCTACATGCTATGATAAAGCGCTTGCCTTTTTCTATTTTAAATACATTTAAAGCATGTAAATTCGTTGAGAAATTGAGAAGTCATGAATTTCCGAAAGTTGCGACAAGAACTTCGTTCCACCTTGATACATAAAAAAGTGATGAAGTGTTAACTCGCTAAGGAACTCAGTTTTAAACGACCACTGAGCCATCAAATATCACTCTTAAAATCGGGCCTATGTACAGTATCAAGGGATGTTGCTTTAGGATGATGTATTACAAACAATCTAACTAAAAATTTTTTAAAGAAACATTTATATAAACTAACAAAACAGGTGCCCGCCCTGTATCGTATCTGATATCCATTAAGCGGCAAATTTATAAACAGTTTACTCTTATCACATTTTATTTTTTAGCAACACTGATATATTATATTTGCGTACAGATCACTCGTGAAAGAAGATATGGGAGAAGAATCCAAAAAGGAGAAAGAAAGCAGACTTATAGAGTGGATTCGAGAAAATCGACCTACTAAGAAACAAAAGGAAATCAAAGTGTCAGCGGATAAACTTCCATATTACGGAAAATATTGTGGAAGCTTTGCTGAGCAGGCAAGTTGCTTTTCAGTCGAATTCTCCTTTTTACCTGCGTAAGAACTAAGCCAAACCCATTTTAGCCAAATCCAAAGAAGAAGTTCAAGCCCTCTGGAGCTTTATGGGTTGTTGACGAGCAACGTTTCATAGTGTCGAAATTTGTTTTCCAACCGGGATCTCTGTTATCAGGTTGGGTAAGAGTATTGATATGAAGGGGACGACATTTATTCGATTTGCAGAAAATGTGACATTCTGGCTTGGCCCTCAGACCCATACGGAGAACATCTTGGCGGACATGTTCCCATCTCAGAATGGTTTCTATGTTCGACCGCAACCTATAGACGTCTCTATCTTTGCTCTTCAAGAACTTCCAGTAAATATATTGGGGAGATCTTCCTAGGTATGCATCCCACATTTTTAGCCAATCAAAGCCAAAGCGCGTAAGTCATCCTTGGCTATCAATGGAACTCTACCAATTGAACCTGTAAAAGACAAAGTCAAGAAGACGGAAGTTGCTCTGAGAGTGAAAAGAGATGGTGAGTAAGGCGAGGACCTTTGTAATAAATATTGTTTTTTTTTCACACTAATGCACTTCTTCCAGCTGAGGAAAAGTCTACAGCTGTTTTAAAGAAGCCTGTAAAGCTGATCGTGAAGGTAAGTGAGTATCTCAGTCTATACCCATAGACTACTTTTTACTCTACTCCAATTTCAAATTTCGCTCGCAGGAGGCTCTTTCTTCATGATAGTGAATTTTTTTTGAAATGAATTGACATCGATCAAAACGCTGATGCTGATCTTCAGTTACTGACTTGCCCATGTATCTTCCTTTGTCGTTTTTAGGGCTATCTTCTAGAAATATCAGACCCTCTAGAAACGATCTTCGGGGTACTGCAGAGTTATTACATGGGAGAGGAATGAGCGCTTGCATGTTTGAAGGTTCACAAGACTCCAACAAATAGTAAAGGAAATTTACTCCGTTTGCATCTCCTTAAGTTGAACGGTAGCATACATTACATTCTATGTTGCCGTTTCGACTAACTATACTTACTTTCTTAATTGGCATTTTTTTGGCAATCTTACGGTTACGATGGATGTTAGGCTTTAGAAAGGTCTCTCTACTTGAAATTAGATGAACCATGGCTAGCACGTGCAAAAATGTTATCTTACCTTCTCCATCTGCCCCAGTACATCTCTTTGAAGTGCTTCACAGATCATTGTAGTAATGAAGACATCTTGTCCCTTTGTTACGGAGGATACTCCTACCAGCGGGGGTGCCGCGAACTTACCGTGTCCACCAACCATGCTTTCGCTTATCGTATAATAACACTTACATCTATGGCCCTGCAGGTCTCGGACGAGTTTCTCGCACGTGTTGATGGCGTTGTGCTACAATGGATAGGAAGCTTTTCTTGGGGCGGGGGGGGGGGAAAGGGGGAAGGAGAGAGAAGGTGGGTCGATGCAATCAAAAAGAGATTCGCTTCAAATGATGGTTTTTTCCATCGATGCTTGACTATGGTGCTGCGCATCGTTGCTTATGGAGCGGATATGGTAAATTTTTGACAATCGACTTTTCACTTTTGCGATCCCCATACAGTAATATTTGGCTTTCGTCCCAGCAAAATTTCAAAGCCCAGATTAGACAGCTATCGAGCTAATTGTCCTGGAGGGGAGGGGGGGGGGGGGGTTCCTACCATAATTCCAGCATTTACCGCATATCAAAAACTATAATTTTCTGAGCCAGCTCAACTCACTTCCTATTCATTGCAATTCTTAAGTGCATGTTCGACCCAATAGTCTACATATCAATCTGATTAAAGCATTGAAAGGAGAAATTATACAGTTTATAAAAGACTAAGAAGCTGTAAAACTTTGTGTGCTCCTTTTATGTGCAATCTCCTTTGCTTTTCGATTTTCCTAATTAACCGTTTTGTTATGTGGCTTTCTATTCTTCAGTTCTTTGCGCTTGGAGAGGATTTGGATGGTCACCATTATATCCAAAACTTAATTGACTGCAGCATCGAAAAGGTAGCGGTAGATCATAATTGCTAAGGCAAGATTTCTTGATTTTTGGTTGCATACGCTATTGATGATGGATGGCAAAATGAGCCTCAAACCTCCTTACTCGTAACAGTTGCACAACAATACGACCCGACTCGACTATATTGTATTTTCCAAACATTTAGTAGAACTTCATAAATTCTAGCAATCGACTGTGGACACCCACAAGATTCTCCTTTCGGCGCGATCCTTTGTTGGGATCCGTACATCAAAGTTATTACGACATACCAGTAGGCAATGGACTGCCAGAAATCAGTTCAATTTTATGATGTAAAAACGGTCTCTGAGAATTGCACCCATACGCTTTGCATGTACATACTAGGCATGCCAAGAAACAGTGCCAGCTTAATATAGAAATCATCAATTCTGTGCGTTTTCGATCTGAGAAACAACTCACATAAAGCGTTTTTAGAGCAAGCTGTTTACGTATGGAATGTTTTGTAAATCGTAATTTCGCTTTCTCCAGAAAAGCATAATTTTACTACCTAATCATCTTTTTCTCACCATTAAGTCGTAGCAGAAGTTGTCGTTTGTCCTATCCGAAAATCCTAACCAACAGGATGTCATTTGTAATCGGCTTCCATACCTCATTGTATAAAGTCTGAATTCATTTCCTAGATCCTATCGAGAGCACTGAAGCTTTGCCTCCCCCCCCCCCCACCCGCCCCAGGTGGAGCCTCAAATTTGACAAAGCGAAAAGACCCTGGTCCTCAACGGCAGTGCTTAGGAAAAACGACTTGGTAATGAAAGTACAAGCAGTGATGAAAGAAGCTTTTTGCTGTGAGATTTCAGCTCTTATCATACAACTACCCAAAATTCTGTCAGAGAAGCAATGCAGATGTACTGTTGAAGTTTTCGCAACCAAACGTTCCGAAATTTGAGCAGATAGAATGTGCCATTGTTAGTGGAAAATAAAATTCATAAGCTCGTGATCTCGATTATTAAGCTTTGAGGAAAACATTGCTGTTTGCTTAAGCGCTATGTATTATTTTACAGAGCTTTTAAGCTCTACAGGATGGACCCTAAAAATTTACTGATTCATTATCCATCTGAAGTACGGGGCCAAAACCCGAAGCATCTGACTACTTCAGAAGCTGGACTTCTGCTCTAAAGAACCTACCGATGCCCACTTGCTCATGCTTGTAGCAGGCCTATGCAAACACTCATGTAAAAACTTGTATCTTTTTCATGGTAATCAATTAGTAAACAAGGTAGTGAGGTGATAAACTCCGCTTCTAGCAATCTCGTTCCCTGCTACAAACTAAGTACAAGCAGTTAGCTTTGTGCTATCTCACTCCCCGATGATATCAAGCTCAGTTCAAAAAAACCCAATAAATAGCTATACCTGTAATTTAGTGATATTCCCGCTAATAGCCCAACGCAAGTCGCAATTTTAGCAAATAATTTTTTTCGCTTTGTGAATGATACTTCTATTTGAGAAGTGCGCACTTGCAAAGCGCACACACGAGCTCTTTGCGTTTTTTGCGTTGTCAAAGAATCGGCGCTGATACCGTAGTTACCCTTTTAATAGTAGCTAAATGCCTCTGTATCGATGAGATATTCCCAATAGAAGCTGTTGAATTCGCAAGTGTTTAAAGCATGCTATAACATATATTTTATTGTATTGAGCATCCACCAAGTTTACTTTACTTGTATTGCCATGTGCTACAAGAATATATGATTTTACAAAAAGTTTTCACATTTTTTTTCTGATAAATTGGCATTGGAGGATCTCAAGTTCGGAGTCTACTAAGAAAATGCCAGGACGTAACCATTTCTATATACAATGAAATTTAATACCAGTTAATAAACAGGCAATTTACACTAGTTTGCAAGCACGTCCAAATCGTACTTCTTGTGATTTTTGCTCGCCTTTACAGGTTCATTTTCCATTCTGTATTTTTTAAAGCGTATTTGGGCAGCATCTCTCACTTCACTTCATGTCTCAAGCGCCGTAGAAATGTGAGTTAGAAAAACTCAAGAATTCAAATAGTGAAGAAATTTTTTATGGCTCTGCCATTTAGAATTTGCTAAAGGTAGATTACATGTGAGCTCTATAAGCATTCGAAAAATTTTCTCAATCGAAATGGCAACTCTTATCCTCCTCCGTTCTCATCCACCATATTTTGGCCTCAAATGCGGAAAGAAGCGAAGTTCAAAAAAAATTGGCTGTTCTTTTCACGAATGGAGGTAAGAGTGTAGATTTACTCACTGTCAGTATATCTTGGATATAAGTTACCGGGAGCCTCAAAAAAAAGTTGAATTATAAATCCTGCTTCCGCCATTCCTTCCACTAGACGGAAAAAGAATAGGATTACGACCTTCCCCGGGAATCATCAGTAGAGAAATAATGTTGTAAGTCTCAAAAATCAATTTCTATTGAAGTTGCAGTTCATCTGGACTTGAATCTCAAACTTGGGTGACTGAACGGACTTTTTGAAGCTTTTCGAATTGAAAATAAGTTAATTAATTACAGAAATTAATCAGCAACCTTTCATATTTAGGAAGGATCGGTGCAGCTGCTTGAGGAGGACGCCGGGGATTTACCGTCACAAAGGTAATTGCTACAGCAGAAGTAAAGAGCTAAGAAAACAAGCAATAACCCAGGATTTTTTAGTTCGCAACAAGGCGAAGTGCAAACGGCCAGTTCATCGTCACCTGTCAATACCATCGGTCCAATAGGTTTTCGAGTTCTGCAACCGGAAGATGATAAAATAAATTACAATGTGTGTAGTATGTTACATTATATTCTACATATATTTTTGGCCAGTAATTTGAGTCTCAACGCTTTTCAAATGCGTAATTCGTAACCTTTTGGGAGACAACCTCTCTGTTTTGGACTCCAAAAAATAGGAATTGTCTAAAGCTACAAATAGCGGGAAGAGAGGTCCTTGAGTCTTTCTCAGGTTTCCTATTGATTTAGTTGAAAACGAACATGTGCTGATATAGCTTGTTATTGCCAAAGTGAATTTATATCTAACATGGCCATCTCGGGCCTTCGGAGAAATCACAATATGCTACCTAAAAGCTATTCGAGTGTAGTCAATTTTTGGACCTCATTTCATTTGTAACACCATCTCAAATTATAGTTTTATTGTAGCAAGCCCAGCCGTTAGAATGGTATGCTGGATTTCAACCCCTTCTGCTTCATTTACCGAGTGGTCGAGAAGCGAAAAGCCTTCACTGGATATCGCTTAGGGATCATAAACGCCAAGTGAGGATAAAATCTATAATTTGTTTATACTAAGAAAGCCTTTGTTCAGGAAACGGTTGCCTCAGTTCTCCTACCTAATGGACCTGCTTTCCAAATTCCTAGTGTTGTTACGCTCCGTGGCCTTTCACCAAACGGTGGCTATAATGTCAGCTCTGGACAACTCAAGGTGAAAGCGTACTTGAAACCTTTTATGGGAGAATATGGACTTTTTAGGTCACTGACATCAAAACAATAGAAATTAGCAATTTCACACTGAAAACTGGCGGATCAGCGGTATGGTTTATGATCGGCAAGGATATTCTACCAAACGCTCAAGGCCATATTGTGCCAATTTACGATCCGTAAGTGTTTCTCAATTTTGAACGTTGTTTACATCAATAGGTAGAAGTGGGGACCGAGGGGGGGGGATAAGTTATAAAAATATGGAGTTGAGTTGTTTACTTGAAAAAAATTGAAATCATTTTCAAAATTTAAAAATTGAAATTAACCTTGTAAAAAATTTTTTCGTGGTCTAGCTGGCGCCACGCTCTTTTTTCTTAATGTGAGGGCTTATGGTCAGCAAAAGTTTTGAGGAGCATCCCAAAAAATTTTTCGGAGTGTAGCTGACGCCACGCCTATTATTGTAGAAAAATTCTTCGCTGCCTCCTCCCCCCCCCCCGGACGGAAATCCTGGTACGGAAACTGCAAGGTAGAGATTGGGTTTACAAGAGGTGGCGGACAATACAAAAAAGGGAGTGGTAAGGGGCGGTGCTAATGGTTCTTCAAGTGTAATTCTCCTTGAATTATCTACAGAAGCTTCACAAAACGACGACTTCGCCTTTTTTGTTGTCAGGGATGAGACAAATCATCTTCTGAATGGTACATACTAGTAAATGACATTACGGATAATCGAGAAAAAGTCCCATTCTTCTTCAAAAAATTGATTTACTCAGCGTAGCTCTGCTCCACGGCGCAGGCCAACTTCATATGTTCAGTGAACACGTTTGTATCTTTTGCATCTTTCCGTTTTCTGATATATTCAGCGCCATCGTGCTTGAGTTTAGTTGCACCGTCATGTGCGTAGAATTTTTGGAATTTCATGAGTCATTCTTTAGATTTGCTACGAGATTAGATCAACAACTGGCCACATATACGACAGAGGGATGAGTAAGGTGCGAAGGAATGCATAAAAGACGTTCATGGAACTGTAAAAATCTGGAAATTTTGAATTGGCGTATTTCATGAAAAAGTCTCCGCTTTTGATTGCGACTACCTGCAATTCTTATTCAAAACTGACGTTTCGCACATGTCATTTTCTTCTCTCACGGTACTAATTAGTGACTTAGGGCGCGACCATTCGCGTTGACAGAACTTGTTCACTGGGACGAGTTCACACACACTCAGCAATCTGAGGAGACCGGTTTTTGAAACATGAGTTTCTTCCTCACAGAAGCAAAGTTTGAGAGAGTATTGTGTTTTGTATGAAAATTTGAGTAAAATCAAACTATGGAAGAAAGCGCACTCTTTTTCATAGGTAGTTAGTTGAAGTTGCTTGGTTACGATATCGTAGATAATAAAAATGATGAATTATTTCTTGTGGTTATTGGAAGGAAGATAAATCTTCACTTTCAAAGATTATACTATTGAGGAGAAATATGAGGTTTTCAGACAAATGAACTTGTTCGATTGCGAATCGTTGAGGGATTACTACGAAGAGACCGTGCTTCTGAGACTGCCTGGAAATCTCGACATAAAAGACGTGTTTTGGTTTTCTGGTATACTCATTTGAAGTTTATTTTTCTTAAGTGCTACAATTGCGATTTAGTGTTTTCCATAGCGAATGCTGTATCCTACTCTCATATCTACTTGCCATTTAACGATATGCAGCTTCCACCAGATTTGAGCGGAATCTCGGTAAGGACCATGCACAATTAAATGAAGTTAAAGGGCCTCTTGGTAAAATCTGCTGTTCAGTTTTTCATCTATTCCAAGCCTTCAAGCCATGAAGAACCCATATCTGGGTTTTTCCGCGCATAAAAATGGAAAAAATGGGCTTTCTTCAAAGCTTCCCCGGTCCCCATTCAGTAAAATTCGCCGGAAGTATTCCGCACCCCGCCTCCCTCGTTTGGGGCTACGCCCACTTATACGTATTTTCCACTGAATGCGGACCTGAAAAGCTTCGAGAAAGCTCATCTTCGCCATTTTCATGCGCTGAAAAGCCGAGAATGGTTTCATCATGGTAAAAAAGCTCCAAAAAGGTGAAAAGCTGGAAAACGAAATTTTGCCGAGACACTGCCTTTGAGAGAGTTCAGAAAAAACCTCAGTCAAAAGCTTAGCATTCATGACCTTGTTTGATTTACTAGTCCTCTTCACGCTCTGGTTTCCTCTAATAGGAAAGAGAATAAAAAATGACTGTAGCCGGCTTGATCACTTTCAGACTCCAACGTGCAGGTACACGCAGTAACTCTACAGTGACGTCGCCATCTCATGGGTATACCTTTGCTTTTCACACATCTCAATTCATTTCTTTCAATAAATGTCTTTCCATAGCTGATGTTCTTTCAACAACAGAAATTGATCAGCAAATTTCTTGGTCTTGATTAAGCTCAAAGATCAACAGTGGTCGGGGTAGCTCTCTAATTTGATTTTTTCGGGTTCTATCAGCAGATAATCGGATTGGTACACACAGACATCAAACATGATTTAGATACTTTGAGTGGTCAGCGCAAGACATTCTTATTTTGAGGCAACTTAAATTAGCTTAAAAATGGCGCGAAAATCGAAAATTGTATGTTATATGTAGAGGGGCCATTTTTATTGCCAGTTGGGCACCAATTAGCGCATTTTTAGCATTTTTGATGTTCTAGGAGCATTCAAGTTGTCAATAAGATATATGTATATGATCGACATATGGGTTGCTATCTTATTGTTCTGAAAGATTCAAAAGATTAGTGCTGTCAAAAACTTGTAAAAATGCAATTTATGGCGTTTTTGGTATATTTTAATCAGTTTTTAACCAAACACCTTCAAACTCAGCGACTACTAGCTCAGATAGCAAGTAAGCTAAAGCACTTTGTCTGGTATCATTGAAAGATTTTTTCTTAGCTCTAAATTGGCCTGTTAAACTAGTGACCTCCAAAGAAATCGCGCCTCGCCGTCTCCCGAAAATTGCTAGCCTTTGGCTAAAAAATGAAAGAAATTCCTCTGGCAAGGCCTTTAAGTGTAATCTGATCTCCCTAGTCGATTTGATCAACGAAATCTTGAATCGTTGGACCATTGTCCAGCCCGAGTGTTTGCAATTCAGCGCTTTGCCGATGCGAGAACGGGGCTATGCGCCATCAACCACTTAAAAGGTTAGTTGATACGGTGAGCACTCTCAAGCCACCATCACCCGAAACGGCCCCCTTTTCCCCGTCTCATAACAATCATCTCACGCTACAGCTACTCATTCTGACTTTTTAGGCATAAACTCGGGTTATTTACAGCAATGCTTATACGTGAATGTTGTTCAGAAATGAGCGTTAATGTGTCTGCTTTACACTAGCTCAAGCTTTTCTTTACGAGTCAGTTTACTTTTCTTTCTTTAGTGGCTGCTATTAGGAGGAACGTTAGGTACGCGCAGCTGGTTAACGCGTAACAATCGGGCAGTTTTTGGGTTGCTTTTGGCGTTATCCAACACACGTAGTCCATTGTGCAGTGCTTGCTTCTTCGTTCTGTTACTATCACACATGGTTTCTTCGCTTTTCCATCGTTTCGCCTAATGGACAATTTATGCGAATTAGTCGAATGGACGATCCACTTCTTAGGTTTGGTCGTTCCCCAGCGTGAAAGATTTGACCAACTTTCATTAGATCACTTGTAACAGTTGCTATATCTTTCAATATTTCAGCATTTCTCATTGTTGCTCAATCAATAAAATTATTAGATCTATGCAGTGAAGTTTAGATTGATCGTGCTTTTAAGTGTCAAATAACATAATTTTACTTGACTTGCAATTAGTAACTTTTAGCAGAATCTGGCTTGAGGTGCTGGGTGGACCGGCATCGGTATTTGCAGAGACTTCTCGCAGTTTGCTTGCTGAATATCAACAGTTTACGGCTCTAGTTAGGCCGTTTGCTCATTTGCTTTTCCTCCAGAAAAGCAACAACTGATCTGGGAAAAATAGAATGAAAGGGGGAACAACAAGTAAGACTACTGCCGCATAGGCGGGCAAAGGAAAAAAAAAGGAAGACTGATTTTTTTGCACTCAGCTCGTAGAATCTCGAAAAAGTGACTATCTTCTGCAAGGCAGCTAGATGAAGTTTTATTTTGTCGAAAAAGCAGCAATCTATTTGCAAAAATTCAAAGGAAGAAAGCGAGGAACTTGCGTCATTGGGAAATCTCGTCTTTAGTTTTCTGAAATTTGCTGGGTGCGCGAAAATTTGATAGCGCGCAATTTTCAGTAAGCGCCTGCTCCCTGCAATTATCTTATTGTTAGAAGCGGTCGTGCCAAGGCTCGTAACCGTTCTCTAGAATTCTGCGAGCGGAATGCGAAAAATCCGCGCAACGCATTTTACGATGCTTTCCCAAACCACGCAATTGCCGAGGAATTTGACAGTTTAGGCGCGAATCCCACAAGCCAAATCACAGCAAACTGCTCGCCTACGATATTCAAAACCCCTAATCGCTTGTAGAAGCTAGCGAGAAGCGATTTCAAGCCTTAAAATCCTTGTTGTTGTATCAGAACACATCGCCAGAGAGATGATGATTCACCAACCGACCGTGATCGGCCTTCGGGTGGTTCGGTTGCCTTCGCGTACACACGTAAATCCCCATACGAACACGTCTCAGACAACTCTCCGACCGTCGAGGTGACCGACCGATCAACGACGCCGCATTGACGCTCCTCTGCTATCGTCGTCGGTCACTATCATCGCCTTCGATCAAACCAAACGGATTTGTCGTCTCTGTGCTCGTTTTCGTCGTTTAACTTACACTTGAAAACCTCTATCTGACAACTAGCGGAAGTTCCGCGCAGTTTTGTCACATTATCACACTATTTCACTGCTCGAAGTAAATCAAAATATCCAGATTGAAGTTCTACCATCCCCACTATTTTCGATCCATAAGTAAAGGCTGTAACGAAGCTGGAATCCACACCTTTTCACTAAAGCACGTCTCCAAGTTAATGCAAGGTTCCGGTTCCAATCAGCTGTTCAGTTCACATCGCTTAACATTAATTCACTGCAAACTTTATGATCATGTAAGTGAAACGTGGACGGCATACACATCGTTGGAGGATCACCTAGCATCTTGCATTTACACAGTGAGTGCCCAACAAATTTGTTGTATTCCATACCTTCCTGTTCTGAAACGTTTAGTATTATTTGGGCGCATATTCTAACTGGAGATGACTAAAGATACTCTGTTAGAGTGTTTCTTTTTTTGCTGCAAATTTTGACAGAAAAAAAGAAAAATGCATATGTTACATATTTTTGGACATTACTGCATCACATTTATACTTTTGATACTCTCAAGAGTCCAGATGAGTGTTGTAAAAGCGGTGTCTTTTCCTATGCTGCTTTTTATTGTTACCACATATCTTTTCTACAGTATTACTAGATACAAAAACTTTCATCAGCTTATATTTCCAGTTTTGAAAAAGGTGCTCGCTTCATCTGTTTTACTTCTTTTGTTTGCTGCTTTTTATTGTTACCACATATCTTTTCTACAGTATTACTAGATACAAAAACTTTCATCAGCTTATATTTCCAGTTTTGAAAAAGGTGCTCGCTTCATCTGTTTTACTTCTTTTGTTTGCTGCTTTTTATTGTTACCACATATCTTTTCTACAGTATTACTAGATACAAAAACTTTCATCAGCTTATATTTCCAGTTTTTGAAAAAGGTGCTCGCTTCATCTGTTTTACTTCTTTTGTTATGCATGGTATGGTCAGAACATTTACTGACCCACTAAAAAGAGGCTGCTTTGTATACAGCTGAGGTACAATGCCTAGTATCCTAGTTAAAAAAAAACATCTCCTCAATCTTCGACTGAGGCAGAATTTTGGCAATTGTGGTTATTTTTCCAATCACAGCTGCTTTGTAGAGCTAAATGGGAATTCTTTCTGTCCATGAACTGGATGTACTAAGTAGCACGTTCATGATAACACATATAATATTTTTTAAAATTTTTATACAGCTGGATTTAATAGCAGTCTGAATGTTAATATCTGCTACACAAAACTACAAAAAAGCATGTTAGAGACAATATTTATTCAGAAATATGTTGTAGATGGATACAATGTGAAAGAAGCACTCGATTACTACCGTCAGACTAGAAAATATGACTATGTTACTAATGTCAAAACTCCTTTTTTTTGTCCGGAGACCCAGTTTTCGCACATAATGCGGTACCAAGTGGTTTATAGTGCATTTTGAATTGTAAATATGATTTTTGAGTGAAATTTGCGTATTTAAAACTAGTACAATCTTCTCCTTTGATGCATATAAATACAGTAAGGGCGGAACAACAATCAAAACGATTCACTTTTCTTTTACAATTGTCATAGAACTTCTCCAATTACCGCAGTATTCAAAGGCAGTAACCTAGTATTGCTGGCCTCATAAAATGCGAAGTTATGTCTGCGGCGTAAAACATTTGCTCCAACAAGAACGAAGAAAAAATCGGTTACGAGCAGAATATTGTCCTGCGGAACCTGTTGGATTATTGGAAAAGACAAGCGTAGTGAAGAAGAGAGTCTTCTGTAGCTATTCTCATCTTACTACATAACTACTAGTACATCTATTCTCAATGATTTGAGCCCCTCTAATATCAGATCACGTTCAACTGCTACGATAAAGGTAAACCGAGACCAATACATCCGACCATATCGTGTGTTCCCATTTCACTTCACCTATTTTCGTGGCTACTTTTCTCATTTGTCTGTTGACAACGTAATGGTGTGATTTCGTTTCGTAGCTGTTCTTACCATTGCTGTAAAAAATTGGAAAAGGTGAAGTTTCAAATTAAAATCGTTGCAAGTCTCTCGTTTTGAACGTTTCAATGTTTCGTCTCTTCGCTTTGACCTAGAACCTGCAAAATGGCGTCATATCTCAGCCAAAGGTGTTTCGGAAAATTGCCATAAACCTTATAATTGACCGCGATTCGCCATTGTTAACCAATCATCTTTCGATGTTTTTAACGGATTGAATTTCACATATCGATATGCAGATCTTAACTGTGTAACAATTAGTATTCATCTACTCCAGTACTTCCAACGATTTTGTGCCTTGTCGGGTAATGAAGAGCTCCAACTTTGCACTAGTTCGTTCCAGTAATGACATCTTTACAATGAAACGAGACGTTCAAGAAGTTTAAACTACAATGAAAAAGTCTCTTCGTCTGTGTCTGATTCACCTTGCATTTTCTTAAGCAGAAACCTCTTTCCCTCTCAATTAGCAAAAGCTTTTACTCTTGTCAGTTCTACCTCACTTTGCAGCATACTTGGCATTTGCGATGTTTCATGGTAACCGTTAAATTATTCTGCATCTTGCTTACTCATGATTAAACACAATTACTTGCATTTACTACACCCAAGCACTTATTTAGCGGATTTTATGCAGCAAAAAAAGTGAACCTGTTTGTGGGATTAACCCATGGTTTCATATTCATGGAGTTTGTTTCAATTTGATTTTCTGTTAGCGATTGAAAACGCATCTATATTAGAAACGTTGACTAGTCTAGAGAAGTGCCTCCGCTACACTAACTGTATTCAAAACAGTTCAAGAATAAGTTCTATTCTTGTCAGATTCCTCAAGTTTTTCAAATTTTTATACAGTTTTCTTAATCAACATCAAAACTTCAAAGCCGAAAAGATCAGATATTAAACTATTGTGTCCAATTAGATTCATCAGCTCCGTGTCTTATTATCTAACATTTAGTTTTGTCCTCCTTAAGGCTGAGGACTGGCCGGCCTCGTGTGCTGTTTAAACTTTTTTCTGATTTATTCTTCTTTGATGCATCTCGTTGTGTATTTATAAATGAATAAATGAATAAATAAATCATCTTTGCACATATTTTCGAAAAATATGGTTTTCTGCTAAAATTCGCAGCTCCTGATTGTTTTTACGAATAGGTGTCGGTCATTCCTTCAGTCCGTGCACCGAATCGTTTCATTCACAAGGCGCGCGTATTGCCGCACTTTTTCCCAGCACTAAAGACCGTCGGTATAGAATGACTGGTGGAGGTTTAGTGTACATAGCAAAGTGGTAGCGATGGTCACTAAGAGAGCGCGAACTCGCTTCTCGAGAGCATCTCCATCACCATCGCTCTTTCACGCAAAATCTCGTCAAATTGCGCAAGCATGGGCCATCAAACTCTCTTTCTACCAATTTTTTCTTCGATCATCTTAAACTTTGCTTTTTTTGACCTCTGAAAATTCTATCAGACATCAGGAGGAAAACCGAAGGCGCTCGTTCCTTGGACGAAGATGTAACACACGTGATGCGAAAACTCTGCGACTATCGGCTTGTTTTCAGGGTTGACCCAATTTTTGCGGTGCAATAAAATCGGACAATCGGTACGACGGTTTGTTCAATGATGATTCGTCTTCCACTTTTGAAAATTAGACTATGAAATATTTTCGAAAACAGATGCGAGCGCTGCGCAGACTAGACCAGCTTCCGAAGCCGCCAGCTGATTCACATGCACGATTTCGAAAACGACCTTGCACTGTTGACAAATCTGCGCCCGCGCCTTCTGCAACGTACCATATGTCAAGCTGTGGGCTAAATCCTCCATTGGTTATGCTCAAGTGTGACCATATCGCTGTATGATGTGCGATACTAATTCCATTCTTGAATTTGCCCCCAAAAATTGGAAGTCTTTGCAGAAATGAGAACAAAATTTAATGAAATTTGTAAGTACTGGACGTTCGCGCGGTTTGTCTAGTCTAAGCGAGTAATGGATGGTTTTTTGCTGTTGTATGGCCTGACGACTGCGTCATTTCGTTCAGATTCTATCTTCAACTTGTTCGCGTCGCTGCTGCATTCGTATCTGTTATTCGCGCTTTTCGTTAACTTTCTTTATTGCCCGTGCACTTTGCATTAGCAGTGTCAAAACCTTTTTACAACTCTATTTTAACGCATTTAACCTCGTTAAGTAGAATGCTATGTAGATTTTTTTTGTACTGAGTGTTCTAGTCATAAAAACCCCTCTAGTGCTTTCAAGCCAAACTTTAAGAGACGTGAATAAGCGCTTCCCATGGGGTGAATTTAGTTTCGCCCAATCTGATGGCGGCGACGCCGGCCTTCCATGTTGTAGATGTTATCGCCAGCCAGTTCACTGCCCCAGCACAATCCGGCTAAAAACAGTTTTTCTATTGTTTCATGTGCCAGTATGCCTGCACTCTAAAACAAGCAGAGGAAATCTGATGATGCATTAAACGATTATGAGAAATGCGCACAAACGTCTGCTAGTTACAAAGATCTATTTTTTAATCTCAAAAAATAATAGTTAGTTTCATAATTTGCTGAGCTATGCTTGGCGCTATTTACAACTTCGGATTTGCTTTAATTGTCATACATACTACCTGCAAGGGACTCAACTTTTCTGTTTTCTAGTCGGTTACACTCACACATTTTAAGGATTCTTCTATTTCACCGTTTTGCTCACCATAGCATGTTGTCACTGTCTCTTGTAACTTCTCTTGTATTCGTCACAGCTGTAACATTTATTCAATTTTTATTTTATTCTACAATACACTCAGTAAGTGCCAAAATACAAAAAGCTTAACGAAAAAACAAATCGCCAAACCATGATAATCAGGTCCTATGATATGAATATATCCGATTGTTCGGCTCGAAAGTTACCCGCTTAAACCTTCTATTGAAATATCTTTACCTCTAAACCACCGAAATTACAGTCCTTAACATTTGTTGAATATTCGGATTTCGATACCAACTTTTTAAAGTTTATATACAACGCTTAGGCAACATTAATCACCCATTTTGGAAAAATGTCTATCTTGTAACTCTCAGTAGTCATGACGAATTGCAATTAAATAAAACCAGCTGTCTACTTGCTTTTTTTTCTGGGAGCGAACCGCGATTTAGATCCTTCTAAGACGGTCACAACGTAACAAACGATTAATGACCAAGTGGGCAAGATCGTCCCAACAATCTTGTTTTCGTTTTGCGCGTTTTCAATCCTCAGCACCTCTCGCAGTTATCTGATTTTCTGATTGAATTTCCGTTCCGTATCCAGGGCTCGGCACATATCGTTTGGAAGCAGTCTGGATTTCTTTTGTGGCTAAAAAGCAAAGGGGATATCGTTTTTGTGGGTCCGAAAAAAAAAACACTTAGGTTAGGTTTTTTTGGACGACGTTTCCAAAGGGGGTCAAAGGGAACTTCGTAAAATTCTAAAAAGTCAGGGGGATTTCGTTTTTGAAAAGCCTAGAAACGGACTCATGCGGGCCCCGTCCCTACCTACTGTGTCGTGACTATTGGACTAAGCTTCTTGTGTATGTACATAGCTTGCGTACAAGCGTCAATTACCTGTTCTTATCCGCTGTAATGAAAGCCGTAGCCACATAGCAGAGCTTATTCATGGCAATATTAGCCACAGTTAGAGGAGGTACGGGCTTTGCAGATGGCAAAGACTCGAACCTCGGACGACCCAATCGCGCACACTGACCATAATATGCAAATCCAGGATTATCTCACCACAAAGATATATGGTCGGTTGTAGGCAGACGGCTAGGCTGATCCGAGTCTCTGATGCCCAGACAAAGACTTACAGAAGTCACCGAAATGTCATTGATTTGTTATTCTTCCATCTTACTTCGCCTTGCCTCAAAAATTTGCGCATTTGCTTACTATGCACTATTTCTACATCGCAGATCTCACCTTCCTTATCGTAATTATTTTTAACCTTGAGCTTTTATATGTATCTTTATAAGCATCCATTTCAATAAGGTTTTAATGTCCATTATGTTTCGATCAATTTATGTTAATTTATACTTTCGGATTAATTTGGCAAGCGGATCTGTCTATTCTGTTGGATTTAGGACTTTGCAATCATTCGTTCGTTCACATTGAACTGCCTGGGATTTAGAACTGGCTGTTAGTCATAATAAGTCCCTGTTTTCTTCTTCTTTTTACTCTTTTATGGTGCATTGACTGTAAGAGTAAAGTAAAGTAATTCAAAAGTAACTAGACAACGCAAAAGTCAATCAGTGTGAGTTCACACTACTCATTTAAAGCAATGGAACTAGATGAAGCCTCTTGATGAGTGTTTCAAGTCACAAAGTCAGGTCTTGCTTCTAGCTCCTTTTTTTTCTTTTTTTTCTTCTTCCAAACAATGCTATCGAGACCTTCGTTCGATTATCCTTCACACTTATTTATAGGCCAAAGCTTCCGGTGCTAGTCAAGTGTTCTGGGTGTCCGCCAACATTTGTCCAATCCAAGATTTGTTTGCATTTGGATGAGAGTCTTTCAAAAAAATTTTGAAGCTGTATTCTTTGCTATGGAGACATTCTCGGACAAATGCACTTTTCTTAGCCATACCCATAGATTAGCTATGCTGAACGCCAATCTAACTTGTAAAAGATTGACTTCCTATCAATTATCAATCCATTGACGATGACGCCCAATTTTGCGTTGCAGCGCTGTGGGACGACGCTATTTTGCACAACATTTTCGTGGGAATGTTATGGCGTTATTTACTAAATGCAAGGTTGTTTTGTAAACAGCTATAAACATTTTTCTAAACGACGGAACCTATAGGTCCCAAGATAGCAACAGATTGGAGTAAATATCATTCCATGGAAGAAACTAGACCTACAAAGGATATGACTTTGCAATAGATGTGCGCCACCGTTGGTCCACATCGTCCGTGGCAGCAAAAGTCTGTGGGCCACCGGTGGTCCATATCGTCGTCAATGGGTTAAGGAAGTCAATACTTTCTATTTTTGTCTTCTTTCCATTATTTCCCCTCATTTCACGCAACGCAACAAAACCTTGTACAAAAGTCTCACTGACGATGGTCTACAATGCGCGAGCATTGACGCGCCTGCTGGTGAAATTCCAGTGCGTGCAAGGTTTCCTTCTTAACTGGTTAATTGTTCCACTTCTTGCGCGAGATTGCCCGCGTCTCCGTTTTGCTAAGATTAGCGTTCGATCCTTCACCTAACTGGATTTTTGACTCTCTCTCTTTATTTTACCATCATAGGGGATAAGATAAATTTCAGTGACAAAAGACATTGTGGGCAAAGCTGCTGTTCCGAGACTTTCGCTGATTGGTTCAAATCCTTACGTTTGAAGCAATGAAAACCGGTTCGAAGCTATCCTAAGCAGCTTAGTTCGGCTTCAACTGGACTGGTATCAAATACAGATTGGGGAGGAGGCACCGGCTCGTCGCTTAGCGTTAGACGCTTCAGATCTTTATCTAATCCCATTGGGAATCGTTATGCTCATCACTATTCCCTAATTATACGCTTGCCTTTGACCGATCGCCACCATTTGCAGAAACTCGTACTCCACGCAACCGATAAGATAAGCAGAAGCGAGGACGGCAACCAAAGTGAGGTCTCATCTTCTAACCATGCACAGTCTCACCTCATCGCTTCTGGCTTGAGCTGGCTATGTGCCAGGCATATGCCTATGTGTGTAGAAGTCCTTGAGGTGTTTGTATAGATGTAGTTCAGGCAACGCTTGCGTCCATTTCGTTTGTTTGCGAGGTCGCCGTTGACCCCTGGAAAGCGCGAAGCGTCTTCGGCCATTAGACCTCTTCCCTTTCCTGTTTCCTATTGCTTCCATGTGCCATTATAAGCCAACGTAATCTTATGTCAAATCTTTCTGCTCTTCATAATTATTCGCTGCCACATCGAGCTACCGAACGCAGCGGATGATGCTCTTTCTCGCATCCTATTGTTCTTGTTAATAGACTGATCACCTGTTCGCGCTAATTGTTCGAATTGCATGTTGTTTGTGTGCCATAATTAGCCTTGCTCTTGCCAGACGAGACTGCTTATACAGGGTGTAGACCATCCTTATCCCTTCGCTTTGTCTACTACTCGTCTGCAAAGTGTCGCTGATCTCATCTACGAGCACTGACAAGGAAATGATCAAGAGTCGAAGTGGCCAATCCAAGCAAGCTGCCTACCAATTCGATGTAATATTTAACGGTGATTTCGAATCTGTACTCCATATTTGCTTAGTGCCTTTGTGGACGAAGTTATGAGTAGTTTTACGGCGAAAAATTCGTACGTAAAAGTTGCGAAATTGAGCGCATTGTTGCAGCAAAATTTGCGCTTTGCATGCGCGATTGATTTTGCAAAATAACGGCTTTAAACGGCTTATAACTTCGCCCACATAGGCGCTAAGCAGATAAGGAATACAGCTTCGAAGTCAGCGTTTCAAGCTGCATATAATGTTATGCAGCTTGTCTAAATTGGCCACTTCGAGTTCTGATCATTCTCTGGTGAAACACATTCTTACTCCACTACTCCTCGTGTTAAGAGCATTAATGAAGTGAATCTGCGTATTGTGTTGCGATGTTCGAATGGCATTGTATGTCCTAATGCATTTGGTGGTTCGTAAGAGGGCGGGCAAGTGAAGACGTTAAATGCTTCACCCCATGTTGGGTGCATGTTTATGGCTCATTATCTGCAAGCGTTCCGCAACCATCCACATCGAATTTCTTGACTGTGGGACATTTATCTGAAGGTGAAAAAATTTAGACGTTTTCTTGGCTCTGCCATTTTCTTTATCGGTTTGTCAATCATGGTTTCCTTTAACTTTAGCACTGAATCTCTTTGCAATCATGAATCGTAACTTAGTGACCTTTGCGCAGTTTAGAGAAGGTTCCGCTTTGACAAGATTACCATTAGTACCTTGTTATCTAACTTTTTCTTTTGAAACTGCCGCCACAGTAATATCATGCAAAGTACATGGCAGAAAAATAATGATAAAGGTTGTAATCTTTGAAATTATTCACAATGTAAACGAAATTGTCATTCTTGTCAAGCAGTTATACTTTCCCAAATATCATGTCACCATTCTTCTCACCTACATCCCATCCCCACCGTCGACAAAAGGTCGCGAAATTTTTGGAATTTACTTACATGGGTTATAAAAATGTGCAAGTGACTTGTTCATCCTTGTGAATAATCAAAATAACTATTAAAAATTTTTGAAAATTCAAATTAGCTTTGTGAAAATTTTTTTTCAGGGGCGTTCTAGGGGTTATGGGCACGCAAAATTTCTGACTATGAGAAGCGGCACAAAATTTTTTCGAAGTGCGGGTAATACCATGCACCTTTAGAAGAATTTTCTTCCCCCCCCCCCCGAATTTTACCTTACTGAATTCTGCCAGCGATCTGTCACTGCTAGTGCTCAATGGTCCATTGGGTATATGGTGTGGCAATATGGTAATCCGTGGTTGATTGCGCGATTCGCGGTCCTGGCATGGTATTGGTTCAGGTGACGGCCCTTGGACCTATTCATATTGGGTCAAAAGTCCACTCGACGTTTTCAAGAACCAACGCCTTGTGTCGCGTACTTTCATTCGTTCTGTTTTTCGCGTTCACGCTTATTTTCACCTTCATTCTTGGTACTAACTTCTTGCATTTTCAACGTCACTGACACAGTTGTGAGACATGGTTACACAATCTACCACGTCTACCACCCCCGCTGCGATTATAGGCGACGGGTTTGTGACAATTCTTCAAGCATGATATATGAGCTGCTGCGGCAAAGCATATGTTCGTCATCCATGGTTAATGCAGCTAAGCAGTGCCAATTATTCTTGTGAAGTGGACTCCGGGGGGAGGCCCCCCCTCACTCAGCCCCCCCCCCTCACCCAGTCGCTTGCGCTCTGTTGCGCCACCGTCGCACTGCTGCGCAGGCCATGGTCAGTGTCACACCTCATGAAACCTATTTGTTTATCTTCCTGCACTTCTGTCAATCATTGTCCCCGATGCTGTTTTTTGTCACCTGCATCTTATTCAAGCCACAAATGGAAAACCTCCGATTGTTGCTGCATCTATGTGAAACACTTCTATTTGCGACAAATATTGCGTAATCAAAGTTAGAAAATCTCGTTGAAAACCGATATCGGAAACAAAAATTGATGTCAATTTCTCTCGGATAATAACTGCTGTACTCTCGCTAACCTATTTTCCAATTCAAATTCAAAAGTGTACATAACTTACATCTTGCTCATTGACTCGAAAACTAGTTGTCAAACAACTTGTCTCTCCTATAGCCGTGCACGGTGACTTGTCAAATTAAATTTCTTTTATTCTCTGCTAAAATCAATTTCCGCAACACTGCGCCACATATCATTCGTTTTTCTGCGATTGTTTCCCATTTATCATTTATAATCTTCCTTTTCCAGAAAAGACAGTATGCTGTTAAGGACGGCAGTACTGCTGAGCGTTGGGATATCAGGTAACAGCCAAAACACATTTTTTTCTCGTGTACCTGTTTCCATTAGTCATTTTTGCCATCCGGTTTGACAAAGACTTGTTTAGCAGTCTTTCTAAGAATTGCCAAAGCTAATTCTCATGTTTCGCAATAACTGGTCACATTGCAATACGACAGTTCCGTTTGCAGTTCTCGCCGAAGAGATAAATTCGTACGATCCTGACTATGGAACGTTTATTGGCGAGTTGCCAAATCTGGCAGATGGAGATGTACGAGGAAAAGTCTACGTCGTGAACGATACGACATTGCAAATTGTGAACTTCACCTACAATGGGAATGCTCCTGGTTCGTTAGTAATTTTTTCATTTACTTGAGTATGAAAAGGTAACAAAAAACAGCGCAAAGTAATGATATGTGCAAGAAAAAAGGCCATCCTTAGGTAATAAGTTCGAAACCACAATTTTCACTGTAAGTAACTCTCAATAATTTGTCTTGAAGGTAGATAGCTTAGCCGTCAACATTCCATTCCTTACCATATAATCAAGATCAGGTAGAACACGGCAAGTAAAGAAGTTTGCTTTGACTTTTGGCTTTCTTCTTGGTACTACTGCCTATATCCACCCTATAAACATTTTGGTAGGAAAGTAATTAATAGATTTTGGTAAGAAAGTAATTAACTGAGTCTGTATTACTCAAACATGATCTTGTGCGTCACAGTCAAATTTAATCCAGAGCTCGGTACAGGTGTCTTGTAAGCAAGCTGGATATCGTTTTTGGGACAAAAAGCAAAAGATATTGTTTTTGTGGCGCAAAAAAAACTAAAATTACGGTTTTTTAGTCGACATTTCGTTTTTAAGGGTGTTCACGTTTAGGTTTTAAGGTCAAGAGGAACTTCGTAAAATTCTGGGAAAGTCAAAGGGGACTTCGTTTTTCGCATTTTCGGGAAGGCACCTCGTGCCGAGCCGTGGTCGAATCTGCGCCTTCCAAACCAATGTCGGAAGTTTGAGGTCCAAATTACTGGTTTTCCATCCGGTATTTGGTCACATACCAAACCAGAAGTTCTAATTGGTAGGAAAATGGGTTGAGGGTGTGTACCGCCTCATGAATGGTGAGGGTGTGTTTCTGTCCTTATAGCAGCAGAGCAACTGTGCCTCTCTTCTTTTGCAATAAGTTGACGCCAATTCTTCGAGGGGGGGGGGGAGCAAAACGAAAGGTGAATGCAGTTCAGGCGCGCGGCATGTTTCTTTGATTCGAGGTCGCGCTTACGGACGATTGTTGTGCGCGACACGTGGTGTGTAGCTGGTCGTAGGCAGGTAGTAGAGTAGACAAAGACCGAGCCCCACTATGGCACTTCACTCTCATTGTTCTGCGAGTCATAAGAACACCTCGGCCGACAGCTCGAACTCGTAGAACAATACCGTAGCCACAAAACCTGTGCCAGCAAACAGCGACAAGTCTTCCGAGAGAACTTGACTCTTTGCGACAGCGCAGCCATGTTGAATGAAACTGTGTCAGTGCAAGATTTGCAGCATCGCCGCTCTTTTTTGCCCGTGTTCGTGTTCTTCGCAATGCCTAGGCGCTGATACAATCTCGACGGGATACTATTATCGTACGGTAATTTACAATCTATAACTACCACCGTTATCCCGGCTACACGACTATCAAGGACTTGCAACCATTGTCGTCGCCGTTTAATGCCCCTGTCGTCTTGTGAGTTGAAGGTTGCAAAGAAAGTGATTTAGTGGGGACGACCTACAGTGCTATAGCAAAAGGCCAACAATTAAGTGTCGTGCGCAGCAAATAGCTAGGGAAAATGTTCTTACAATTGGTAATTGGACTGAACTGTAGCGAGTATATTAGGTTGATGCGTAATTCTTGCACCAGAATTTTTGAAATTCTGTTACTTCATCCACCTTCAATGAAGTCTTCTGATTTGAAACACGAGGAAGTGAGAGAAAATCATGCGCTTTTTGAGGGTGCTCGAGTCAGAAAATTCCTCGAAGTACATGGTAACGATATAAAGTGATTAAGAGAATTACCCAAAAAATCGATTATCGATCACTAAAATTGCTAAAACGTCTACTAAAACTTGAATTTTTTTGATCTTACAATCAGTTTCATGACATACTCTTCTCAACAAAGAGAAGCTGATAGTGATTGGATGTCTCTGCGACTAGTTACAAATTTCCATTTTTTAAAATTGACTTATTGATTTTGTTTCATATTGGTTTTTCTAAAATGTTCTATAAAACACTACTTAACAATAAGCGTATTCTGTAAGTTGACTAGTCTGTTTAAGCATTTTTGAAACATTTTTCTTCCATTTGGTGCAACAGTTTTGCATCAATTTTATATTTTTGAAAATAATATTGTTTTTTGATGTCCCTTAAATAGCTGCCGAATCACACGCCAGATATGAGAGCATGTGCAGGAAAATCAAAGAGTACTATTGTATGCTCTATACGATGTAGATAAATATCTGTATCCCCTTTTATTTGTGTTCTTTCCTCTTAATTATAGTCACAAACGCTCGAATTCCTAGCTTATTATGATTTGAAGGCGCTAATTTTAGACCTCTACTTCTGGATGGACCGCAAGGAAAGCCCAACAACAGATGGCACTAAAGTACCATCATTTGAGTACGGGTAAGCAGTCACGCTTAATGGATGATTAGTCACAATCTAGAGGAATTCGCATTCACAAGCTTGAAGTGTTCAAATTTAGGATAACTCCTCTGGGAAAGTACGATAATGCCGAGCAAGTTGTACTAACACTTCCAGGACGGCACAAAATCAATAATTTCAGGAGCTTTTCACTTTTTTGCTTTAAATATGAGGTTTGCCAGCACTTCTTGATCCAGAAATTGATAGTTATGTTTCTAATTCAGCATAATTTCGGATCTGTCGCGATTCCGGAAAACATTATCATTCCACGTCCTCAGTTCTTGTCCAGCGAGCTAAAAGGCAGTCGGTAAGAAAGAGCCTTTTGTTTAGACTCCTCAATTTGATCTCATTCGTTTTTAGCTACTCGGTCGGTTCGGGCCCTATACTGATTTTGGACAAACGAACAATCAAGATTTTCGGGTTCACTTTTGATGCTGACAAAGCCCCAGGTTTGCTTCGCATCTTAGCATAGATAGTAAAGATATTTTGATTCTTTAGATGGTTACTTCTTCGTCGGGAGAGGCCCTAATGTTGCCCATGATGCTGGAGTCAAGGTGCCGATCCGAGGAAGGGACACTCCAGAATTGTAAGTTCCGAAAGTTCAGATAATTTCAATTGTTCTTTCACCAGTAAATTTTGGACCACGCTGTCTGTTTGCGCAAAAATAGATTAACCATTTTACATCTAGGTAATTTACTGCAGTTATTGCCTCATTCAAGCTAGGATGTTTGCATTCTGTGTAATTCAAATAGCCAAAAAAGTGTCTGCTGGTCAGGTGCGCTAATGTTTGTACAGCAGGCCCTCGTAAGACTTTTCCCACATTCTCGCCAAAAGATCGGATGTTCTTCTTCACGTTGACGATATTATCTACTGCATCTTAGGTGGAGAGTAGTTTTTCTTCACGTTGATGAAAAAGCATTTGAGCATTTTCAAAAATAAGTGTCATGTTCCAGAAATGTGAAAATGGAAAAGGATGATAGCGTCGCTGTAGAAATAGAGTCTAAGATATTGATAAGATATTCTATATTGCGCTTTTCGGGACTCAACATTGGATTTCTTTTTTCTTCAATCGAAATTTTTCAATGTTGAACAGCTCTTTGCCAAACAGTGCAATGAGTTCTAGAATTAAGCTAATGAGCGATAATAATTTCACTCAAGCTTGAAGATTTATCTATCACACTTACTTGTTCTGTCCATATTTCCAAGTAAGAATCCGCGAATGACTTAGTATCCAATGCAGACGACAAAAAATTCGTATGATGTTGATCCTGTTTCTGAATAGGACGGGCCATTTTTGCTTTTTATTAACCTATGAAAGAGGCGGACACACAAGAACCGAACTGGCTATCGACCGAAAATAAATCTGGATGAGTGATGGTTTACATCAGAGCTTTTTCTTTATTGCAAAAATCAGGAAGGTTTACAAGCTTTCTCGTTGTGGTATGCGACGATGTAAGATCTCGTGGAAACTTGTCCCAAGCTACATGAAATTGGCCTCAGAATTGAATCGTTCGAACAATGTTGCATGAAAAATCCATTTTCACAATATCTTTTCCGATTGCAGTCACCCATCTTCTGCCTTTTTATAATTAGAAAGGATGTGATGTTTTGACCTTTACTAGACCAAAAAACTTCTGTTCATTTAAAGTGCTTCAACACGTCTACGGATTAAGGTTCGTTACAGATTTGTTGTAAGTAACGTGCTGTAAGCAGAGCATAACAGAAAGCTGTTTTTATATAAACTAGTCTACATGTACACCTGTCTAGCTGTCAGAGCAAAAGTTGATCTGAATTCAAAAGAACCCTCGTAAAGACTATTGCTACTAGGTTGGCTAATTAAATGCTGCAGACAATTTACTGTCAAATTACTGTAATTCTGGAAAAGGCAAATGAATGAGAATTGGATAAATTTTGTTTTAGTAGATTTCATTTCTCCATGAAGGAAAGGCACAAAGAACTGAGACACACCAATTTTCTCATTGCGCTTGTATGTGAAAAAATTTTATTTTTATTTCAACGAAGAGTTTCGAACATTATCATTCAATTGTTATCCGCTGAATAGGAAAATGAAGAGAAGAAAGTTGGAGAACTGATCTTTTGGATTTCATGCTGGAGCATAACTGTTACTTACTGATTGTAAGAAGTTCCGAGTAGAGACATGTGATAGTAGAAGCTTTGAATTACTCTCCCTCAAAAAAATCGTTGATAAGGAACAAGAAAAACTTTTATAGAGATTTGCACGCCGAAAAGAACTTATTTTTGAATCGATCTAACTGTGAAGAATCTTTTTCGTAAATGTCTGACGAGATAGTGTTGGAAGCCTCGAATAGCATTCTATGATTTCTTGTGAAGTGAATCACTCCTCTCACAAATTTTCCGCAGTCACAACGCTGACAAATTTCCATTCGGTCATGCTGAAAGGTTCGTTATCAGCGAATATTGCTTAAGACGAAATGCAGAAAAAAACCTCGAGTTATGTTCACGTGCTGACCGCGTGGAATTTCGCCGCCTACACTGTCTGATAGAAGGACCACCTGCTGTGGCACCACTGCTGCTCTGATTTCGCACCCTAAAACGCGAGACTTCCCAGTTCAGCTCGGGTTTTTTGTAACACGATCTCACCGACTTTATTCAATTCTATCTCATATTTAATTCACCTTTATCTGAATTTAAAGCATTCTATTACTTATTAAAAATGATTCTCAACATTGCGGGTGTAAAGATCTCCATCAAACGAAAGAGTTGCTATAGTTTCTGCAATATATTTTTGGTTGCAAGCATAATGTGAGTTTTAGAGCAATTATAAGGAATTTTCTTGTTTTTTTTTGCAAGATCACTTCACTTTTTGCATAGTCATTCCAAAAAAACTCGTTTAGGATCACAGCCATGAACGAGCGATATCGTGGTGGACAAGATCTGATCATTGACCTACCAGCTGACTACGATATCCAACACGTCGACTGGCTGGCCATCTACTGCTACAAGTTCCGTGTTGATTTCGGCCATGTAGCCATTTCGAATGTTTCGTCAAGGATTCCACCTTATGTTCCTCCCCAGAAACGAGTGAGTTTCACCTGAATCATATTATGTTTTTGCGCCAAGCGAAATAGAATCATTTGCAAAAAAAAAATTGAGGTGAACTTGTTCTTGAAGTCGCGCAAAGGTTCTGACTCGGGGACGCAGAGAGAAGCTATAACACTTTCTCTTAACATTGTTTCTCCAAGTTTAATTGCATTTATCTGCGCTCATGTTCTTGAGCTACAAATCAAGCAAGGTCAGCTCATGATAGCATCTTTTCCTACGAACACCAGATGCAGTGATAAAAAAACTTGGCGCAACGATAATTGCTCTATCAACGAAGCGTAATGAGGAACTAGGTCGCTTTTGTCGCCCCGAAAGAACAGCCTCGTAACAATTCCCTTTTAGTTCGACGACATTTCTCCCGTAGATGGATGGCCTACAATATCATTACTTGGAAATGAAAACAGGCGGAACTTCACTTTTCAACTGGGAGTACCCGGAGGGAAAAAGGGATATCAGGTAAGTAGAAAAAGTACAATCTTCTTTCAGATAGTTTGAATTTCGGCACATTTTAGGCAATGGCACGTGCTCGACCTGCTAAATATGTTTGGTACGTAAACGGACTTCTCGCAGATATCTATCTCAAGCGAGGAGTCACCTACTCTTTCATGTGAGTGATTTTAATGCCCGTCTCTCTTCCTAATCACTAACACATGTTAGGTTGATGCGAAAGTTCTTGCGTTATTCGAACAAAATTCAGTAACTTCTCAGTACTAAGCCTAAACTCATCATTGTTCTCTATAAATGAAAAAAAAGGTTTACGCTCTATGATAGATGTTGAAGCGTAACTTTTTATGAGCCAGCCACCGAGAACGAAGCTTTCAAATGACGTTTTAAAATTTGCGCTTTTGAGTTCTTGCGAGAAACTTGCAAAGTGCCTCTAGCTAGCCCTAAACAATCTGTAAATTTCTTGTGTAGTACGCCTTACTCTGGCAAGCTTCAATCTCGCGTAAAAACGCAAAAGAAAAGTTCGCCGAAAAATGTCATCTCACAAGAAATCCCTTTAGCAGTTTTTCAGCAATTGCAGTGGGTGACGCGCAAAACGTCACAGTCCTTTAGATAAGCACTACGAATATCTGGTTTCGGACTGCTTTTTATGAAAGTACTGCAAAAATAAGGGGGTTCTTCTTTGGAGTATTACTAATTTTTTTTTGTTTTTGGTTTTTATGGAAGATTGAAGCCCCACACCAAGGTATTGACTACTGCTATGCAAGAAAGTTTTACAAGATTTTTGGGTTGGCTAGAAGCCCTCTGCAGTTTTTGTGATCAAACCCAGAATTGCAAATTTTGAAACGCCATTTTTAGAACCTTCGTTCTCTGTTACTAGCTCATAGAAATTTACGCTTTTCAAAATCTACCATGGAGTGCAAACTTCAACTGTTTTTTAGAAAACACACTGATCAACGCAATTCTAGTGTGCTTAGAAAACTAATATATTTGTCCTTACGCAACAACTTTTGCATCATCCTAATATTATAAACCTATAAAAATGTCATTGTTCACCAGTTCTTTGGGAATACTAGTTTATGTCATCACGTTTGACTACATATATCCATGTTGAAAGAATGTACCACACAAAACGCAGAACTTCTTTAGTGTCGAGGGAGGATCCGACAAGTCTACATCCGAGTTTTACAATCCTCTGTACATCACTGATAACCAGTCTGGTGGATACGGGAAACTGAGCAATGAAGAGAAAGAGGTATGCGTTATATTTTTGTACTATGTCGATCTGGTTGCTTACCAATGTTATGAGGGAATGTTTGGGCAAGAGAAGTGATCAGATAGCTTCATATCTCTTTATATGAAAAACCGCTAAGTAATCAAACAAATTTTGGAATAGAACGAATTCTAAGAAAGTATGAAGTTTCACCAGGTTGAACCAAAAGTTTCATCTGTTCAAAAATCGTAACTTATGTTTCAAAGTCTCTATTATGGCTTGGTTCTATTAGAAGCAACTCATGTACTTTCTAAAGATATTTTGGAGGCTTTTTACTATGCTCTTATTTTAGAGATGAGGGTGGAAGAAAGAGGTCACACAAGGTCGAGTGGTTGTAAAAGGCCAATCAAAAATTTGAGAATTATGCAAAAAATCTAAAATAGTTAGTGGCCTAGATTTCAGCCTCTTCTTAACTAAGCGAAGTTTGCGCTGGTCAAGCTTGTTTGAAAAAAGTTACCCCGAGAACAAAAAATTTGCCGTTTTGTACTGCCTTCGCAAAAACCCTAACATGATCTATTTTTTCTTTTTTATAATATACAGGGTGTCCCAAAAAGATGTACACACTGTTTGATCGTTAATAACTCTCTTGCTTTCGTGTCTTTTGTCGAGCTTAAAGTACCATTCTATAGAGCGAGGTTCAACTTAGATTTGCAGAATGGAGCGAATTATCGATCGCTCTTCGTTACTGTAGGATTACGGTAGGAACTTCGAAGAGGGTTTTAAGCCATTAAAGGGCGCAATTTGCCTAAGAAAGAAGGCCAAGCAAGCCAGAAACTCTCAAACTGGGCTAATTGAAGGTGCTGATTCTAAATATGAAGTTTGCACTTTAGTTTGCTGCTTCTTTCATAAGTTATTTCAGATTTAGAGTAAAAACTGTTTTCCCAATGTCCCTCAAAAATGTGAATACGCGAACAAGAAAGTTCGAAAAATTGATGAAAAGTTATGAAATCAGCACGCCTGAAAACCTTAATACACAGATTTTCAGATTTTTTTGAAATTATTTTATCACAACGCCTATTCCACAGTGACGCTGTATGTTGGAAGTTCATACCGTAATCCTACAGTAATGAAAAGTGATTGGCGATTCGCTCCACACTGCAAATCTAAGCTGAACCTCGCTCTACAGAATGGTTCCTTGAACTCGGCAAAAAACCTGAAAGCAAGAGAGTTATTAACGATCAAACAGTGTGCACATCTTTTTGGGACACTCTGTATAATGAGTGTGTGGTAGAAAGTCGCTAAGGTAATATTGGAAAGTGCATGGTTTATTCTTTCTAAGATTAAATTATGAAGAGACTCCGAAACGGAACGGCTTTACTATTTTTCGAAAATGGCGCAACGGAACTTATAGTTCTGTCTGATATTCTGAATTGTCCTTTAAGTAAGACGCAAGTTAAAAAGAGAAGGGCTGCAAGATTTTACATCAAAAAGAATGTTTGACAAATTTAAGGAGGCTTTTTTAACAAAACTTTTTCAAATTTCTGCGAATTTCCTTTCACAGGTCTCGCCAATTGTGCGTCTCGTCATCGTAACAATTTTCTTGACTTCTTGGTGGTTTAAGGAGAATAAATTTGCTCTCGCAGCAAATTACTGCAGCTCATTTCAGCAAGTGAACCTGTTCTCCGGATCTGATCCGTCACGAGTGGCTGGCCGGTTGTGTGTTTGGACGAGTGACGGTACGGTTTTTTTTATGTACTCTTCTATACAAAAGGGCAGCGTCTTCACTCCAAAAATGTATGCACGGCTCAATAGTGATTATCTTCGTTTTCAACAAGGATACGACCTCGAAGTCTAGTTATTTTTTGACGGAGAGGGAGCCGTGTAAAAAGCCGAATTTTCCCGCGGCGGTTTTATACAAGCAGGCAGCATTTAACATTTGGAAAAGCTCTAAGCACTGGTTAATCCTTTATTGTGCCTTTGTGATGATGAAGTATGCGCTAGCAATTCTTCATTTGAGTTTCGTCTATAGAGCGCGTTATTTTGCAAAGATCAGAACGACTTCATCAATGAGCTTTTTTTTCGCTGACTCGAAGGTTTTTTCGGCGGTAAAGGTTTGGCAGTGGAGACCCATAATGGTTCAGAATGGCATACTTCAATTTTTCAGTTCTTGGTAATATTATGTTCGCAAATCTTTTGAAATAAAAAAGCTTTCCCGCCTCTCATTACAACAAAAATGCATACTAGAAAATTTTTATATTCTCATAGCTGGGGTACCTTTTGATAGAAATAGTCCTATCGTTCAAATATTCCTGCCAAGTTTGGTCCACGTGAAGTCTGACTGACAAGTTTTTAAAGCCCAAAAAAACCCAAAAAGCTCGGGTTTTCGTCGAGCATCTTGCAAATTCCCACGCTTATGCATTCATCCTCCGCATCAGCATTCAAAACTTGCTGTAATTTTTTCATGGCTAAAAATGATGAAAAAAGTATGCATAAACTGATTGGCGGTACTGGAATTCTCTTACATACATGGGCACCTAGCTCATTCATTCAGAAGTACAGTCGTGACTTCACACTTGCAGGTACCCTAGTCCATAGAAGATAGTGTATCAACGTTTGACTTTGGGTAACAATTAGGAAACAACCCAATGTTTCTGATTTCATATTTTGCGTATTGTATGCAGTCGCAATTATTGAACTACAAAATTCTTAGCCGTATGCTGACAGTATAATTCTTCAAAGGTGACAATACAAAGGCAGTTGTAGCTTGCATCTTTTCCCATTAGGGGCTATGCTGATTTTTTAGAATTTGAATGAGTGAGTTTTATTTCAAATTTCTCAAAGTTTATGTGTAACATGGCGATTACTTTCTGACTCAACTTCGCCAAGCTCACAACAATTCGTTTGAGATCTCATGTGGTAAATGTTTCAGTCAATTTGTAGCTTTCGCAAGACTTTCTGTATTCTTGAAATTGCAAAAGCGATGAAGAACTCAGAAGCAAGCCCAGGCTATCTTACCCTTCTTAATTACTCAAGTTTTCCTTACTTGCAAGTATTTTATCTGAGAAGAAAGTGAGGAAAATTCTAATATATAAGCTCGTCCAATTGATTGATGCATGTCGGCATACTTGAGTCGCATTCTTTTTTTTTTGGACCATTCTGTGAGCCAAATTAACAATGGAATTGTATATCAATTCTGCACATAAAAATTTCTCATAAAGTCCACTTTTCAGACAATGTGGATCCAACAGAGTTCTCTACATTCACCGAATTTCGGAAAACGTTACGTTTGAAATGCGAGACAGATAAAGTGGCTGCCTACTTCCAATTCACTCCTGACGAGAAAACTCCTGATACCCTATATTATCAGGTACGTACTACTTTCTGTAGTGTCAGTGTACATTATAAGCTCTTCGAAAAGCTAAAAAAAATTTTTCCGAGGAAGACAAAATCTATTTTTTTATTCAGTGCTGGGTATGAGCTGTAGAGATTTCTAAGTAGGAAATCAAGGGCGTACCAAGAAGTATACGGACTGTTCGATTTAGCGGACCTTTAGGTACAAATATAATGAATGTGACTCTCACATACGTTTGTGGTACAAAACAGATATACTCGTACTTCACAATTCGTCTAAAACCTGAGTCAAATATAACACCAAGTGGTTTCGAAAGTTCCAAAAACTTGGCTGTAGACCATCTAGACCTTTTCACAAAGCTGTACAAAGTCTGCTTCAGAATCATTATGTCTGTAACTCTTTGGCAGGAGCCTTCAGTTTCTTTTTGGGGAATGAAAGCTACTTAATGACAGGCAATCTGAATCCAAGGCAGCTTCAGTATATTATACGGTCCTTAGTATACGGTCCTGATTTTGGACGATTCAACACTTGAAGGACCATTTGGAGCACTGTGTAATGTAGCGCTCCGGCCATATTTCACGATTCAGTTACCACTCGACTTGGCATTTAGTCAGATGTCTCTATATTCAACATTGGCAGACAATCAAGCATAATTTGTAAAACTTTTGTAAGGTGAAGGCCTATTTTTCATGCATCAAGAATGCGCTCAAGACCCGCTTAAATCGCGTGAAGTATGTCCGGGGCCTAAACTGGCATACTATCACGCATAATTTGTAAAACTTTTGTAAATTGATAAAAGGTCTATCTTCCATTATTTGTTACAGTAGGGAAAATTCTCGGTCGACTACATAGGCTAAAAGAATTTGTTGGTCCCTCGCGTACCAGCAAACATTGTGCAAAACAAATGTGACTCTTTGCTGAAAGCTATTCGACTATCCAAGATTGAATGAAAGAACACCACATGTTTGACAATGGTGGCGCGAAGGGTGCCCTTTCTAACCGTCTTACTTGATTTACATGACAACAACGAAGACGACCGATGCGAATCGCTAGAATCGACGCCATTTTGCACTACACACACATCTTACCCTTGCTGTGTTGCTATTCAACCACGTCAATCATCTATTCGAAAGTAATATGCGTGACGGAGTTAAACAATTGCTTATAGGCCTGATAATACACCTGTCGCGGATAATTAAAGGCAATGTTTTGCTGTGCTATACAGAAACGATCAGTAGTCGTCGCTCAACAAAGACGAAAATTTTCGCTGCGTTCTATGATCTTGAAAAATTTATTAGAACGAGAGAGCAGTATGATCTAGGCAAAAAAATTTTAGTGCTATAAAAAATGTTGCAGATATAACCATATGCTAGAAATAAAGGTTGTTTCAAAACGCTGTTTCGAAGGTGAAGGAAACTTCAGTTATATATAAAACCTCCTGAAATTGGTTGTCCCAAATTTTTCAGGGGGGGGGGGGTGGGGGACGGACAGAATTTTCAACAAATGAGAGAATTCTGATGCTCTCACATTTCTACTGAACAACACTTTGAACAAAAATCTTCATGAAATGAATTTTTTTGCTAATTTTACATTTATTTATTTATTTATTTATGTAATGCACTCAGAGGTGCACGAAAAAAAAACAAAAAATAGAATACTAAGTAACTAAGCATAAATAAATACCGCAGACTGTGTGGAAATTGTCCCAGGAGTAGGCAGATCGTTCTCGAATTCTGATTATTCAAAAAAAAACATTAAGCAAATCTTGCATACAAACCGTTGTGTTTTCTATAGAGTGCAATCTCCTCTAATCTTTGAATTTACGTAAATTTTTTCAGAGTTACTCGCACTACAACATGGGTTGGAAGATTCATATTGTAAACGAGTTACCGACAACAATCCCAGATGTAAAGGAAGAGCCGTACATATACGAACAATGGCTGCAAACACAGAATGTTCAAGAATTGCATACATCGTCTACAGCAGCACGATTATTCGGTGTTTTGTTGTCATTGCTCTGTGCTATGTGGCTGTTTTGAGACTAGAAAGATCTCATTGCGGGTGTTCTGGCCACCTTTGTTCTTTCACTAATTTTCTTCAAAATGTCTAGCTCTCATTTTTTTTATTGTGCTCCTATGCTCCGTTTTTATTCTCATGTGTGCTTGTTGATGCGAGTTATTCGATTTTTTCCTCAAATTTCTCTTCTAGTTTCTCGCCTCTTTTATTTTCACTTAAACAGCGCGCATTTTCACTTTCGTGTCATAATGCTCCTTTGCTCTTCTCCTAACCATTATTGTGATGTGTCCACTCAGAGTCATGCATTTTTCGAAAAGTGATGAACCCTGTTCAGAGCAAGGCTAACTTGATCCGTTTTTTTGTACACATTTGTTTAGCTATATCCATTCCGATCAATGTTTGTCTGCTACTGTGCGTCTGTTTAGATGATATGCCAATATGTAAAGATTGCCTGAAGCCTGTTCAAAGATCGTTTCTATCCACAGAAGGGGAAGTTAAGTCTTTCATTTAACACTATACAAGACTCTAATGAGATGACCAAAGTTTGAATGAAATACTTGGATTATATTTGTACAAAAATGATGTAGCGCAGTTACTTGCACTGTCAGCCTTAGCAGCGCCTAGAAAATGGCTATGGTCCTCAAACCTTTCAATTCAAACAATGGTAAGCTACTTTAGAGAAAAGCAATAATACTCAGCTTACCACTTGTTTAGTTTTTATGAAGAATTTGATCCCTGAAAAGCAATGAAAAATGAAGAAAAAGAAAACAGGCAGGCGCTCTCAAGCCATTCCATCAGCTCAAGTGCTCTATAATAGAGAGCATTCGATAATTCTTTGGATTATCTTATTTCAAAATTAAGATAGTAAATTTCTGCACATAGCACATTCGAATTTTTGGAAATTTTTAAACAAAAATTCTCTGTTCTGATTATTCGCTTTCCATACTCGCAGATAAGAAGTGATTATTAGGCTGTTAAGTCTTTTCACATTTGAACTCAAAAATGATATTTCTTAAAAACTAGAGTACCTACAAGGATGCACATTTGTGGCAGGAATGAATAAGCTACATAATCACATATTTGCGAGGAACGCAGAATTGCTACAAGCGAAGTTTGAAAATTCAAGCTATTATTTCTTACTTGGTACCCGAGACCAGAAAAATGCAGCGAGTGTATGTGTAGGTGGTATCTGATGGGAAGAGTATATGCTTGAGCGAGTAGAAAATTCGCGGAGTTGTTTTGGATTGAGATACGATGGTCTTGTTTTTTGGGAAATCGGAATTTTTTCATATTTTGGTCTGAAACATTATGAGGATCAAACTTGATGCGAACATTTGAGCGCCATTTTGTAGAACTTCTTTGAGGTGTAGGATGGTACCCAGCAACGTGTTAGAACTACAAGAAGAACTGATGACGGTCAAAATTCAGATATGAAAAGACTTGTGGGACAACCTGATAAAAATTGGAAACTCGGGACATCGAAATTTCAACCTTAGTTGTCGTCACAAAATTGACCTCCAAAGTCAAGAACTCTGTCCCTTTCTGTTTAGATTTTTGCATAAAAGACCGACACACTTTGCAAATCAAAATAAAACTTTGTTTACATTGCAACTCTAGATTTATCGTTTGATAAAGAAAAACTTGTGGACGTTTATCGAGCCGTGCTCAATAGGCACCATTCTTGCTATATGATGTCCACACAAAATTGAGAGAATTTTGCTTCACCCTTGCAACAGAGATCATACTAGCTTGAGCAAATGAACCTCATTCATGACTGAGAAGAAATATTTTCGATTTTATGACCAGTTTTAGATGGAGAAGATTTACAGACTAACAAAGTTATGCGTGCTTGCTTATGTGACAGACGGATTTTTGAATGTTAGGGGTGTACAGAGGTAGATTACTCAATTCTGACTTGTATATGACATAATTTTCAGAAAGTTTTCATTTCTGCAATTCTAGGAGCTATGACAAGGGAAGCGCGAAATTCTCACTACGAGACACTGGCATCCTCCTTGACGTTATACTGAGCTGCCTAAATTTATTAATATTTTGTAAAGCTAAAGTTTTTGATGTTTTCTGCTGCAAGGCCTAATATTTGGTACCGTACTAAATTATGACTCTGCTCAATAACTTAGATTCGGGAAAGTTATTTACATAATCTACCAGTTGATTTTGTACAAACAAGTTAGCCGTACTACAAATCATCATAGAACAGTCCCACAAAAGCGTGTTATACTAATTTATGTAGATTTATTTGTTTTATTACGGGGGGCAGTCTTTGCTGAGATTTGGGTGCAGAGGCCTCAGTCTTAAAGAATTACTGTATCCTATGAACATTCAAAGACTAGCTTTATGTGCAATGATATAATTTTCTAACTCCAGAGCTAGTTTTAAAAATTTTCCATTTATAGTGGGCTCGCCGCGAGGTTACTTTCCGAATATGCAAAAAAGGAAATCCCTCCTGACTTTCGCAAAATTTTACGAATTCCCCTTTGACCCAAAATCGGAAACGTCGACTGAAAAAACCTAACCTAACTTGTGTTTTTTTAGATCGAAAAAACAATATCTCCTTTGCTTTTTGTCCCAAAAACGATATCCAGCTTGCTTATAAGCCACCTGTGCCGAGCCCTGAGAGTTGGAGCTTTTCTAGATCCACTTCCCTTCTTTTCGAATCTTTCCATATTTATAGTGCTTTATCGGTTTTATATAGGTGTACAATTTGTTATGTGGGACTCACACATTTCAAAACGCCTTTAAGAACAGAAATGTCAAGTTTTCTTCTATCCCACCCTCCTCCCCCACCTCCCGCACAGGCTTACATTTCTAAAGCACCAAAGATGAACTCTACACTGATGAGCGTAGGTTTACAGAGATGTTTTCGATACATAAATCGTCTAACAATTATAACTTACATGGTCCCCAGGATTTTCAGCCCTCAGTACTGAAAACCATGTGTTCAACTAATTCCTTTGAAACCCTGATAAATGTGTTTGCTTTTCGGAAAAGGACTAACACACGATGGCGACGAGATTGTTGCGTGCACAGGTGGCGACATGCTTAATATGCATCAATCGTCCACCTTGTCTCGATTATTATCTAATCGTGCGTCTTCCGTGACTCCAGACATCCATTATTAACCTCATCGGACACCGTATACCAGCCAAAGCAAATTTATAATAACGACAGCATCCGTCCATTAGCGTGAATTTCCTACCATATCCTCCTCTCGCATTAAAATGAGAAGCTAACATGTTTCGTCCGTGGCGCGAGAGTGCAAATGTCATAACAGCTATGAGATAAGCACATTAGTCTCTAGGACTCACAGTACTGCTATGCAAAACTAATAATTTTTCTCAAGAAGATTTATTAGTAGCGTTAGTGAAATGACAATTCACACATAAATACAGTTGATCAACCTAGTAACGCGATTGTTTCGTGTAACTGGCTGCATGACGATTACTTTTTGAATAGAATCTGGGCGTATAAAGACAAACACTCTCGAGACTAGTTCACTAAACAAATACGGGGTTGGAAAATCACGTAGTAAATACAGTAACCATAGAGGATTAAGCAAGACATGCGGAAAATGGTTGATATGCCTCAGATATACACAGTGATTCAGGAGAAAGTGTACGCAGTAGAGTAGTGCGCATCCTAAATTGCCGTAAGGAATGACACTGATTAAATAGGACTGAAGTGCTCGCCAAAATGAGGAAACGAACATGCACAGAGAGAGACAATATATAGACAAGAAACGTGTCAATATCAAATAACAAGTTAACAATGGGAGGAGGATTGAGATACGCGAGTATGGAACGTACCGTCCGTCGTTTCGAAACAATTATGCACAATGAAAGCGCCTTACGGACAGGGAGAGATTCTTACAGGCATCAAAAGACCAGGAAAAAACAATTGTGAAGATTAGATACAGTTAGGAAACCTTCGCCGTGCAGAGAAAAACTGCTTTGAATAAAGTATAAAAAAATGGAGCAGCAGTGAGTGAAAGGAAAATATACAGTCCGTTGTTTCGAAACAATGAAATGCACGGAAGAAAGCGCGGCACGGACTGATAGAGAGAGATTCTTGGCGATACAATATACAGAAATGAACAATAAACAAACGAAAGAGAACTTCTTAGACTGAATGTGGATCAGAATCAGCACTGCAGCTGTGGTAGGTCATCACTAAACTCCTCAGCTTTCTGAGGAATGCTATTCCGCAGTCTGTAGCATGTGTGATTGATGATGATGAGCGAAGTCCGCCAGAAGCGCTGCACCCGTTAAACCCGAAAAGTCCAGCTAAAATGTGAAATTTTTCCAGTTTGCTTACCTTTCTTACACCAGCTCATCACGATATTTCATTTACCTGTGACGTGGGAGAGATCGACTGATCCTCTGGCCAGTTTGGCTCTTTCTTCTTCATCATGGTCTTGTACTCGTTTATGCGAACCTTTTTACCATCAACGAGACAAGTCCTCTTTGGTCGCGGTCTGGAAAAGTCATAGTAGTGGGATAGTGAATAAGCCAGTAGGAGCTCAAACAATAATTAGATACCTATAACGGTAGTCAGGATGTTGTTCCATATGTAATTTGCTTAAACGTGACTGTTCTTCGTAGTAGGGCTGCTTCTCGGAGTTACTCATTGATTTCCATCGATTTCCTAGATAATTTTTGCTCTTCTAGACATATTCCTACTTCCTCTCAGCTTTTACCCACCTAGAATCTTGCTAATATTGCTATTATGCATGTCGGGATGAGCTTTGAGAATCTTTCTTCTTTCATCGCGTGCCCACACCTTGAAAAAATTAACTCTTAACATTACAACCAAATCACTAATAAGTATAGCTACCATAAACGCATTCATAGGTCGTTTGATATGATTAGGCGACTTTGCTTGAGCTCGAATAGCTGCGGGAGGTTCCATTGAAGAAAGAATCGAGGCATTTCCAGGTGTGCTTTTACCAGAAGAAGCTGGCGAATGGTTAGTGAATGCAGATGCTGCAAAAGAAGCGTAGTTGTTTGAATTTTGTTTTTGTTATGCTAGATTTCAAATCAGTTTTCGATAGTTTGTTATAAGCAAGCAATGTTAGTAGAGTTCATGTTTAGACAAGGTAAAGGGTTCGAAGCAGTGGCGGTGCGACATAAAGACGTTAGGGGTGCAAACAAAGGCGATTGGTCATTAGGAAACAAAAGAGACGGAGACAGTTATATCAAACTATCGGACAGGTCTCTGCTCTCCTTCTTTTAGTATCGAAATTCTTACAGTCTGAGGCGAAATTATGCGGCATCCCAAACGGAATTCTACCAAGAATATTTGATGAAGTAAGCGGAGACGTCGACATCGCGGGAATCACCGGGCTCGGCTTGCTGATTTCCTCGGTTTTTACCTTAACCTCAGTATCGTTCAGTGTCACGCTAACATAGCATCAAAGCCAAATTTTTTTTTACCTTCGTCAAGTTGAGGGGACAATCCGGGACCTTTTCTGGCTTCGGTTTTGGTGTAGAGACAGCCAAAGACGCTGCTAGGTTCTGCTGCAATATGGAAGGCATTCCAGCGCCAATGATACCGTTTCCCAGCAAATGCTCATACGGAGCTCCTACAACAGAGTGATTATCTTCTTTGACAGAAAATCAGATAATAGTCAAGGGAATGAGAAAAGTGGAAAAAGAAGACTATATAAGCTTTGAGAATTTCATGTTAGATCGCCAAAAATCGGGAACGCTGCATAAAATCTGAATGTCTCAATATATGAATTTTTTGACCTACACTAAGCAACCGCAATAAGTTTGTGCTGTACATCTCTGTGAGAAATTATGAATTTCGAGCTTTCAAGTCACATATGATGGGTATGAAAGGATTGTCTGCAACTAAAAGTTGATTTTTGTATTTACTCAGTATATAATGTCAAATTGCTAAATACGAGTGACACTGAATTATTTCTGTGAGTGCTGTTGAAGGAAAGAAACTAATTTAGAAAACCTTCCGGCGCAAAACATTCTGATTACAAGAACCATTCGGCATTTCATAATCTGGGTAAAACGCTTTCACCCCACCCCTCCACTAACCCTCCCTTTACTTCCCTTACCGATAGATAGTAGTGGTGAATCATGACTCACAGAGGCATAATTACGCTTTACAAAACTTCAATTTTTTGATCAATGAAATCTTCATTTGCAGACCTCCTGCCGGGTTTTTTCTATATTTTTAAGCGAACCTGGAAAAAGCAGTGAAAAATTCGGTTGAGCCATCATTGCCAAGATTCGCTGCTGATTTTGTTGATGAATCAACATCTGTTGCCGAAGTAGCATGTCATCGAACGTATCGGACTGCATTTTCTGTAAGAAAATCGAGTCGGTGGTGCAAGTCTGTCAGAAGATTCTCCGAACGAAGCATGCGTCACCGGCAAATTCTATGCGCTTCCAGCTGCAACAATGAGCGCCGAGCCAGCGCGCGGCGACTGCTGGCGGCGCGCAAAAAAAGAAACAATGGTACGGTAACATTACGTAATCCTCGCCGATACCATACTATTCATAGCGGAATAAGGCGATATTTTCACCTGATTTGTTGTATCTTCTTTGATGAAAGCGTCTATTTGTTCTTCTTTGTCTTCCTTGGAAAGCTCCTCGCTTGACAGTCGCTCTTTCAGGGTTGTCAACTGCAAAAACTTGCTAGATTACCTAATACCTTCTGACTAGGACTCGGCACGAAGAATACGTGAAAAACGAAGTCCTCTCCAAGTTTCGCAAAATTTTACGAAGTCCCTTTTGACCCAAAAATTGGAAACGTCGACTAAAAACAACTTAACCCGTGTTTTTTCAGACGGCAAAAACGATAACCCCTTTGTTTTTTGTTTTAAAAATGATATTCAGCTTGCTCATAAGCCACCTCGTGCCGAGCTGTGCTTCTAACACATAAAAATTCAAACCTACCTGTCGAATAACGTTCTGAATGAGGTCAAGCTTTCCGTCGTGTGATTCGAGCGAATTTAGCAACTCCCTGAGGGTATTTCCGTCAATCAGAACAGTACAACCCTGTTCTGTTTGAGCAAGAATGTCAGGATAATCAGTTACACCTGTGGTGGCGGACGTGCTGAAATATATCAATGCTTGATTTCTCAATAGTTCTGCTTAAAAGGGTAAATATGTTCAGAATGGTTTTGATTCAACACATTTGTTTATTTGCTTTTTATCTGAGATAAAAGACAACGACAAAGATACGCTTACTCAAACAAATTTGCCCTCTACATTGGAACGAGATAAGGTTATAGAGAAGACTTCATGACTCAAAATCTAAAGTCTGACATTCAGAGAGGTATGGATACGTTCTGTGACTGAAAGGTCTTTGTAGACAAATGAGGAGAATTGAGCTGAGTAGATTCGCAAGACACACCTCCGAATGCATGAAGAGCAATAATTAAAGGCGCCAGAGTGAGCTATGCAAGGATATGAATGGATAGGATACTTCAACAAAAATCCCTTGATAAACTACGCCAACATTGCTTTTAGCATTGCAGGTGTGACTGTGATTAATGGAAAATGCATCAAATGTATCTAGCGTTGAGGAAAATCGGTAGAGAGCAATTGAAGAGAAGAATAGAATTCTCAATGCGGTCATTAGCTTAGTTACTGATGCCGGCAATGTTCGCAGCACTACTAAACGCGAACCTCTGAATGAAGTAACGAGATCAGTTGTGGACCAGCGAGTAGAATAATTCTAATACTAATAATCGAATACAGTGATAGGATATGAATGTAAATATGTATGGGCTGGTTTGTTTCAATGAGAAGGTTGATTTTATGGAAATGCACACTTGAAATTTGAGAATCAAGGAAAGAAAACAATAATTTAGTCGCAAAATCATTAGCTATGCTAGAATACAATGACAAATTGTGTGTATAGCCGATCAAATGTGGATTCAGATATAATACTGAATGAACTAAAAATGTGCATTGACTAGAAAAACATTGCAAACATGCTGACGATCTCTGTTTTAATCGAAAGAACACTGTTTTCAAATTTATTTATGCTTAAATAAGGTGGTATAAAAATTTATAAAATGCTTAAGCGTTTCGTATCGTATCATATCGCCAAAACGCGCAAGCATTTTTCACTAATTTTTAAACCACCTTAGGCTTGAATAAAATCAAAATAATATTCATATATCATGCCAAGGTTAGTTAACATTCGGATTTTGTCAATTTACGAAAGAACATTGCTGAAAACTGCGAGAAAATTACAGCAGCTGGGTGATTGAAGAGTGTCTGCAGTGCTGACCAACGAATGGACAACGCTTATCATGCCCCCCGAGTTGTCGCTTGATCCTCGAACCGATAACAGAGGTCGAAGCATCATCGGCCCGCGGTGTATGAGACATTCGGCCGATCGGCAAGAAACATAACATTCGTTTCCGGTAACTTTTTCGCTATGCAAATAGCAGATATGCTTGTTTCAAATAGCCATGAATCACTCGTACAATTTCCAAATTCTCGCCGGGGGTTAAGCTGAAGTGTAGAGGGGACCTATACTACGTAGTGTTGTCATTATGGAGTTAGACGCGCTGCTTCAAATGAAACGAATTCCCATTTTGTCGTCGCTTGCCCCTGGCCTGTCACTCAACTTTTCTATTGCCCAGTTTGTGTCAAACGCTATGCGCGCTCAAGCGAGCCACTCACAGCATACAATTGGATATACGGTAATGTTAATTGCCATTTTGTCGAGTGGCATCGTAGACTATGTGCCCACGCGCGCGAGGCGAAATTCTGAGAAAAGAGCGGGGAACACGAGGAGTGCCATACGCTCCTCGCCGGGCACATGTATATGTGTTTCACAAAAGAGGGTAATTTATTAGGATCGGTATCGCATAGTGCAAGTCGCGCGCTGGAACAAAAGCGCAAGGACAATGGCCAATACTGTAGCGCGCGCGAAAAGTCTCTGATAAATAGTCGCGCAAGCCTCGGAGTCACAGAAATGCACGCCTGCACTGGACATTTCGCGTTTTTCCCACGTTTTTCGGACCTGATCGCCATGGCCCTGCTCTGTGGCGAAGACAAGCGTTTTACTTTCCGCGATAGTCGCTAGATAGCGTGAACAAAACGTGTTCGAGCGGTCATTTGTTATCACTGACCGAGTAATGATCGCCTTGTCAGGCTAATCAGTGGCATCGTATTGTTCACTCAGTGGTGGAAAAATTTCGGCACTTTTCCAAATTTTGTTGCCAGCTCGCGCTTCAAACATTTACCGCCTACGCCTTTGTGCCTTGTTTCAATGCCATCAGACTTGCAAAGGCTGGGGCTCGAACAGCAGACAACGTCCGCTACAGTAACAATAATGAACTATTGATTCATGGGAGCATCGGCGCCAGAATTCACAAAGAAGTCGCTTTGAGAAAAAAAATCCGATCTCTTGCAAACGACGGACATGTGCTGGAAGAGGGGGGCGAAAATGAGAAGAAAGCTGAGAAAAAATGAAAGTCATGCGATAAGGGGGGACGACGAGAGTTGGAAGCATAAAAATGGTTTTCAAAGAAGGGACCAACACCAACCTGGTATGCTCCGAGGTGCTACTAGCGCTACTCTTTATAGAAGCTGCCGGAGGGGATGCTGCTGGGTTAGGTGAACTATCCATGTCCTGCAAAAGATATCTATTAGCACATGTGGCAGTTGTCGCTGAACAGTAACCACATAAAAGCTAGAATCCATTGACCTTGTTATGAGCAAGCCTACATGCTATCACGACAAGTGACAGCGGAAAGGATCACGACGAAAGGACAATGTAGTTGGAGAGGAGAAGGCCTGCCTGACTCCTCCTACCCCGATCGCGTCCCCTTGCGACTCTCTTTGTAAAACGCAACGAAATTGGACACCAATCAGGCATATCTCGTACATATCCTTCTCGCGACAATGTTTCCACATTAGTTATGCATAATTAATGCAAATACATACTGAACATCCTCGAAAAGTTGGCTAGAAGATCACGGGTGGTACTGGAGAAAATTCTTTGGCACAAAGGAACCCCTGAGCGTATTGCAGCAAGCTGCTTGGCAAAGAGACCAGAATAGTTGAAGTGAGTGATAAAATGGCAGTTCAATAGGAAACCTGCACGGCGCGAGTAATTACAACACGATTCATTTATGCTTTCCAGCGAAAGTCAGGTTCCACCTCACGTGTGGCGATTGAAAGGGGATTGAACCTTGTGTGTGTGCTGGCTGCTCTCTAACACACCCTCTCCTTTAATGCTCGCTCGTTTTGCGTGCGCATAAGACTGCAATAATTTCATTCCCAAGACAAAACACTAAGGTCAAGATTGTAACTGATAGCCCCCAATGAATGCCACACAATCAAACACACCGCCACCGCATGCAGCTGGATGAAAGAAACTCTGTGTTCGGCCTTATTCAAATGTCATATGGTTGAGAATGCGCGTGATTCCGGGGGTGCCTAGGAAGATTTTCGAGCAGTTCCCCAGCATTACCTCGTCGGTGGCCATGATATGACGGTCCTTCGAGTGAACCTCAAGGTGCTCGATCATTCTGGCCGAACTCTGCTCCGATGTTGAAGGTATCTGCACAACGTCGCCAAGTTCTGATTCGCTCAAACGTGTCGGGTTGGCCTTTCGGCGACTGCTCATACTGAAATTAATTGTATACACAGATTGCACATAGGCATAAAGATTTACTAAGTTCCATAGCTATGTGTGCCGCTGCGATTACAATGAAACCTCGCGTACTAATGAGATGTCGCTAAGCATTCATTGTGCTCGGTCGGTGAGAGATGAGATATGTGAAATGAGCGCCTCGACTTCTCGAGGATGGGGGGATTGCAGAAATAAATATGTGGTTAAGATGGATGCGATTAATGATTCCAGGTGAGCTCTTCTGGTGCCACAATATGACACGCCCACAAAAGTACCGTAGACATGCAAATCCTGAGCGCCCATCTGTTGAGCCCAAAATGCGCATTCGAGGATTTTGGTCGCCATGCAACCATGAAAGAGATTTTATTTTGAAGTAGATAAAGTACTGTGTCAATCTGGGATAATTCAAAAAAATAAATACTGACTCTTCATTTTTGGACCCAGTAGTAAACCCAAGGTCTCATATTCGGTAATGTTACTAACCCTCATTTTTGTCGTTGGTTTAGACGCTCTAACTTTTATTTGCTTGTTGTAGCGCACTTTATGTGCACAAAATAAAATGAAATAAAATTTTTGATTCTTCTAAACTGCTTTATGTTACTCAAATTTCAAAGTATATCCAACTCTTTGGAAAAAATATACACAAAAGAGGCTCTAAAACTGCTATACATGTTTCAGAATCAATGATGCAGCAGCTACCGTAATGTTCCCTCTTCTCAACGATAACTCATCATAAATGCTGAAAGCATGACACACGCGATCTCCATATGTTACCTGTGGGTCCAATGCATCAATGAGGAGAATATGATTCTGCAAAAACCCTTTTTGAAAAGAATTATTTGCACGTATTGAAACATCTTGATTTGTGTACAAAATTTTTGATTTATTGGACAGGTTTAAGGGCACTAACATGGGCCCGGTAAGTTAGCGGAGTGAGTGGGTGAAACTGTGTAGGCCAAACGATTGAGTGAATTGTTGTGGTCCTCTCGTTGTATGGGGATGGGGCACAAATGCAAAACACAAGGGTTATCAGGCACAAACACTGCAATTCCGACAAGGAGTTGGTATCATAAATCAACGAAGTCTTTGAAAAGATGTAATACGAGTGTTTAGCGGCTCATGGTAAAACTGATGACGGCTATCGCGAGAGGGGTGCTAATATGGGGTAAATAATAGACATAGAGAACGATAAAAAAAGAATGGCTAACTTTAATCGTATCAAAATAATCAGAAAGGTAATCTTGGCTTAAATCTTGTTTCTGTCTCGATTGTCCTTGCCTACTGCTCTAAGAAAACCTTATCATAGTGATTCCAATAAATTATATGTACTGTCAATTTTGTTTATCTTTATCTTTATCTTTACACTCAAGGAATACCAGTTTAATCCATGAAATACTGTTAGTATGAGGCCAGTTGTTCCTAGATAAAGAGCAAAAAAGAAAATGTTCGTACTTTGATGACGTACGAGCAAAAGAACCTACTCATACGGGATAATGTATTTTATCACAAACGAAAAAAATACGACCAAATGGGAGTAAATTCTATGCCTATTATAATTTTTACATATATTGAAAAAATCATATGTTAGAAACGAGTCAACTTCGAGAGGTGAAGGAAAGATGTAGAGGCTACAAACGCTACCAGATCATCTACTGAGATGATGAACAAGTCAAAACACCGGCATAATAAGCTGACGAAAGTGAGAAGCGCCCCTCACATGAAGAATCAAATTCCTAATGCGTCAAAATAAAAAGGCAACGTTTTGTCCATAGAAGCACTTCTCGGCTATAATAATGTGCTTTTGTCGGTTCGCATAGTCGGCAATGGCAACGAATGTGTGGTGGATGCGATGAGAAACGCCGACGGTTTTACATGTGGTTCATTTACGGTCAATTGTCTAGTCGACACACTCTGTGAATTCCCGTGGATACCTCCTCTTGTGTCGTCTCAACAATTCACAATACGGTAATGCAATACTAGCGCGCTAATTACACTGAATATCTCGGATATCAGAGCCGAAGATCCCCCTTCTCAGCCAGCATATAACGCCGATGTAATTTCTGCGATTTGATATGATATTATATGAAAGAGAGCAGCTCGGACAGCATGCTGTCCCGAGAATACAACGAATTGAGCGCCGGTGAGGTGCCACTTGCAAGGAGCTGGAGTGCATTGCGAAGTGCCGTTGTACGGATAAGCTGTTATAGATCGCGACAATGCCTCGAAAAGGATTATGCGCTGTAGGGTTTCGTCGGATGAGATTTGCTGAAAAACGTGCAATTGTTGTTCGAACCTTGTTTCATTCAAACATTGTGAAGCAAAAGCTGAAACACTAGCAAACGCAGCTTTTTGCAAGGAAGGAAAAGGCTTGAGACGCGGTAGCAGACAATGAAAAGGGCGCGATGACCGGCAGTTAGTGTAAAAAAATTTAGTCAAAAAAGCTATATAAATAAATCATTGAGTTTTAGTGGACAATAAGAGCAAATATGCACGATATGATATTCCTTATTGAATATTGCAGAATACCTCAAAATTTGAAGATTTTTAAAGAAAAATATGATGGCAGGCAAAATGGGTACTTAAAAGATTTGTTGCCGATAAGCTGGTGAGATATGACTGTGACACCGAAATTTGCAAGGCAATTTCTATGTAACATATGGAAAATTTTTCTCTGAAATGATATGTGAGACAAAAGTAGTTGCAATGAATCCACCTTGAACTAATGGATCCCACAAATTATTTTGCCGTGTCAAGCCCGGAAATGTCCGCAGATCAGGCAGCGTCCGGCGAACGTAAATGTTGTTGTGAGAGAGTGTAAAAAGTGATTGTCGATCCGTGGCCCAGAATGATCCTATCATTCTTCAGCGATTTTTTTCTGACTTGGAACAAAGAATTCTTGGTGCCTGGCTGGGTCGATTTTGTAAACACGTTCGGAAAAACGTTTGCCAAGCAGTCACGGACCGATGTGGCATGTCCACCAAACAATTCAATCAACGTGGAGATTCACCTACGAAAATATGTTCTGCAAAAGTTGGAGGAGTAGCTTAAGTTCTGTAATTGAAACAATAAAGGATAGATCTAGTCAGACATTAACTAATGCTTTAGAGCACAATAAGCGATGTTCGTCAGAGCTGATAGCCTCGAAACGGACCACTGCGCCTCTGAAGTCGCTATTGTCCCTTTGATGGATTGTGAGCGCCACTGCCGATCTGCCGTACATGCTCATTCACGACATTGACAAGGCAATGGACTAGGTACCGACAAAGTTCTGGTGAAGCAGATTCCTTTCATAAGAATTGTGCTAAAAGTGCTATAAGCAAAGCTCGGCACAGGTGGCTTACAAGCAAGCTGGATATCGTTTTGGGGGAAAAAGGAAATATCGTTTTTGCGAGTCCAAAATTAGGATTTTCTGTCGACGTTTCGGTTTTTTTTCGGATATTTCGGATAAAGGTCAAAGGGGATTTCGCAAAATTTTGCGAAAGTAAGAGGGAGTTCATTTTTGCACTTTGGAAAAGCCACCTCGTCCAAGCCTTGCCTTGTAATAGCTGAATAAAGTCATCTGAGATGCTTCTACCATTTTGTGAAGAAAAGCTACCAAAGTAGATATGAATAACGCTTCAATGGTAGAATGAAGCTGTTTAGGGAGATATGGTCTCAAAGATCGTTTTGATGATGAAAGAATCTACGTAAGGTCAATGGTGGCAATACAGACACAAACCAATAATACGCAAAAAAAGCTTTTCGCAACCACTGAAATGCAAAAACCTTTTTAAGAATTAGGGATTGTTGTAACGTCCAGAAGCTATAAAGTCATTTTAAGGACTTATTTGACACTCAAGGTCGAAAGACGTTTTGGTAAATTGTGAGATGACATTCAAATCTGAAAAATATCTACATGTACCGCAAGCAAAAGCTCAGTATATAACAAAGGTGACTATTACTAATAACATCACCCAAAGGTATCAGCAGACATTGGGAACGTCCGCACTCAAGCTTCGGCTTTATAAAGTGTAACCTTGACGTTAACAATTTACAGAAATAAACCTCACAAATGCGAAAATTATTTAATAGCTTCAGAATTTTGAAACAGGAGCTTTCATGGAAAAAAGCAATAAGAGGAAAGACTGATGATAACGTAGCCAAACACCAGAAATATTTCGAATTGAGAACATTCAGAATCTCTGACGTTGCAAAGCCATTTTTCGAGGACTTTTGAAATGAATCACTAGAGAGAAAAAATTCAAAGTTCAATATAGTAGTCAAGAGAGATTTGCTTACGAAGAAGATGCCGAAGCATACTCCTCGCATGCTATGAACGCGATATGTGGATTATGGCAGCTTGAGATCTTAGTAACTGCGGCCATATCCGGATCGTCGCGGATGCACATGCCAACAACGTCGTCTAATACAAAAGCTCTTACACTGATTCGGGTCAGCACGAGCGTCTAGAATATCCGAGGCTCTTCAAGGGTAAAGGGATAGAAATGGATTTGGAAGAACACTTTCTCAGTTATAGCGTAGTGCGAACATAGAAGGTGTCTTATGATTTTTTTTTAGATTTTACCCTAGATATCAGCATTTCTCAAGAACTGTGGCATCTACAAAGGGTACAAATACATGGTCGTACTTCTGTATGCATGAGCTATATCATCACGTGTGTAGGAGGAGCTCAGAGTTTCTAGGGGCGGAGTGTGCCATTTTACTCCATTCACTTTTTTCTTTATTTGTAGCCATGGAAAAAATACGGGAAGTTTGTAACTGAATGTTCGATGTGTTAAGCATATGATAGGACAAATGGGGAATTTTTTGGATATTTTGGGTCGGAGATGCGATTTTCGAAGGAAAAGTTCGTTTTCGACTGCTACCAGATTTCAGCTCAAAACTTCACCTGGAATACGAATTAGGCAGACTTTTGATAGCCAACTTGTAGAGCTTGCTTTGCTCTGTCGGATGGTGACCTAAGCCACATTGAATGATGGAAAGAGAAAAAAAGACAACGGTTGTAATAAATACGGTAAAAAATTACGAGACGCCCTAATATGTACGATGCCTAGGATGTGCAAATTGTAGCGGCTCAGGATCAGACCTTAATTCAGCCAAATGCGCAAAATGCTAAAAAAGTTCCCCTCTTCCCGTCCCCCGTCCCCGCCAACTATTACGGTTTGAGATAACAAGTGAGAAAATATACAACTATAGATACCTACAAGCTGCAGACACTTCTGACACTTTTTCAATTACTCTAACTAGGTGTAAATCCCCTTTAAGCTTATATATCGCCTCGCCCTGTTTACATCCCACCTTCTGCTGTCGCCTCTATTTTTGAGCACATTCTATAACTAAACGTTAAATTCGCTGCATACGTCGTAAAGAGCTTAGTGAAATCCCTTGTCGCCTGATGAGAAAGCACAGGATCACTTTGAGAACGTACAATGAAGAACTTTCAAGTGCTCTAGAAATTACATTGGCGAAGCAGTGCTTCGAGAGATAACCAGCTTATATGTCTCGGATACATGTGGATCAATTCAAATACTAAGAAAAACTAAATGCGACTGGGTAGTAGATGTGTAAATAGCCAGTCTAAGATATTTATAGCCGAAAAGAAAAAATAAAAGTTAGGACATTGACAGCTCCATAAAACGCGTGTAAAGTACCACAAATTCATTATGCAATTCTTATGCAGCTAGTAGCTTCAGAAATTTATAAAGACGATTCACATTCGTGCATCTTAACCTAAATCTATAGCAAATAATCTCCAAAGAAGAAATGCGAACTAATTGAGCGAGGATTTGTTGATTTCTACACTAAAATTGATGACGATGGGTGTATGCCAAGATGAACGATAGCTGCAAGTAAGCATACTGTAGCCCTACGGTTGTCAATATGCCGCGGGTATAGTCGTTCTTTTTGGAGCAATATGTTCCTTGGGAATTGAAAATATTCCGAAAAATGGAGATTAGGGCCCACTAAGCTCCCCAGCGTTTTTTCTAAACTGTTCTATATCATCATAGCTTAGGTATAGAATTTGGGAAAGATTTGACTTACGCAACGAATATGACCAGCACAAGCTATCGTTCATGTTGGCTGCCCCCATGAGCACTTGATTAAGTTAAGCATTTGCAAAATCATAATTTATTACTTATTCTGCTTATCTGGCCTTTCGATATGACAAGGGAATGAAAGAAAAAGATAATGACATTATGCAGAATAAAACCTCTTGAGGCACATCAGATCTGTGAAGTTTTTACATTGTTTTTACATTATTGAATACTTATGCAAAGGCCATGTTTTAAGCAGTTCTTATGCAACTAGAAGCTCCAGTAAATTTGAAAGACAGTTCAAATTCGTGCATGCTTAACCTAAATTTATAACAGGTATCTTCTTGGTAAGAAATGTAAAACGACTAAGCGAGGATTTGTTGACTCTTAAACACAACTTGACGAGGAATTCCTTAGCAAGATATATCATTTTCAAAATCATATCATATGATTTATTTTGACTATCTGTGCTTTCGATATGACAGGGAAATAAAGGGAAAGGCAATAATTTTTAGACCGGGCAAAAACTCTCTGGAGGCACATCAAACTTGGTGTTTTCAGTTGGTGGTCCGTATTGGCACCCTGCAAAAAAGAAAACTGCTCACCAGCAGCAATCCAGCGATTGATATTCAAGCCGAGATGGGTCGGTTGACCAGTGCTGATGACCGAACAGGCCGTGGTACCGATCGTGTCTGCAAATGGACTGCGCTTGTTTTGTTTTTCTTATTTCACACACAACAATGACCGCGTGTGACCGTGCGGCAACAGAGGCGAGAGTAGGGCGACAACGATCATTCTCAGAACAAGCTGCCCTTTTCGAGCGGCGCCCATTGCAGAGAATAACAACAACACATCGAAAAACCGGAACAAGAACAGGCGAGAGAACTATGACAAAGAATGGCGACAAGGCGTTAGTTAGCGGTCCTTTTTAGCTCATTGAACATGAGAATATGGAAGACAAAAACTTGTGGCAGTTGACCGTACGACGATGCGCAAGTGAGCCGAAGATTTGGTGAATTTTTTGAGAAGTTTTGACAACAAGGTCCTAACTTATTTTGAACTTAGCCAAATAAATTCTGAGAAAAGTATTCTTCATCTAACAAGCCTCTATGCGTAAGGCAAAACTGCGAAGATTCACTTATTTCACCAATCATCAATGCTCGAAGAAAATGCTAAACATGACAAAATAGTCGAAAAAGTGAGCAATACCGAAGCAACCTCAGGAGCCTGATTCGTCGACATTTTTTTTTACCGTCAACAAGAGACCATAATAAACCTTCTCATGACGCGTCAGGAGTGAGGAATTTAGGATAGGATTACCAGCAAGAAAATGCATCAGATATTACAGGGATTTATTTTTTTCAAATTTTGATACACTATTCATGAACAATGCGTCAGATCTAAAACACGCAATGAAACGAACATGTGGCATTCTCATCACCTTAGAGGAATAAAGGAAAGCAATTCTCTCTTAAATCAGGTGCTGGTTAATTTAGGATAAGTTGAGAGCAAATTTTCTGAATAACCACCTAAAAAGTGGCGAAGAGCAAAGAAATAGATTTTCAAGCTTGAGATTACATATAAAGGCGTGAAAGAAGCAATTAAATCCAGCAAACAATATGCTCATCAAAATGCAGAGAGGAAACAAAGGGGTGCACGTAGGTGGTATTGTTGGAATGCGTGTGGAGTGTAGAGAGCGTCTTGAGTCAAAACTATTGAAACATTTGCGCAGGCCACGGCCGAACAGTTCACAATAGTCACTCAACCCATTTCATTTCAATGCAACCGACAAGATAAACATGCGCACGAGAGACACCACTGTGGTTGCCGCGCGCCATGCGGCGCCAAAACTTTCGCGAGCGCAGGGCGCGGGAATCGCGGAAGTCGCGCGCACATATTGGCAGGCCAAGGTGCTGGCGTGTCGTGTGCGTAACGGCGAGCGGGCAGCAGGCTCCTGGATCAGTGTTGCCAACGTTGCTCAATGAGGAGCGTTGGCGCCGAAAAAGCGACGAGGCGACGGCGCGGTCGCTTTGTTCCGAAAATTGTATTGTCGTCATTCGGCAGGTTGTCGTTGCGCTGAGGTCGGACATTGCAAAAAAAAGAAAGAACGCTGCGTGGAGAGTGAGCCAGAGATAATGCCCAGTAAACGATCTCGTCAGCACCTTGTACGGGTACGATCAGCGATTTGGATTCATTCGTGCTAGGTGGAGAGAATCTCAGCAGAGCTGTGGCTAGTCAAGTGCAAAAGGAATCAGATTCTGGAGCAGACACTGGAAGCAGAGGTGCAAAACTGCAGAATACATGCGTAACTCAAAGTGTTATCAGCCACATGGCCTTGTATGGAGTAAATAGGGAAACAATGGCCGGCCGACCTTCAGGCGCACTGCTGGCTAGCGCATGTGTCCTTTGTGCAGTGTTCATGACACTAACTTACCATCACTGCCGATATTCGGTAATCACGTCGCTGGAATTGAGAACGCACGCTCGCATTCTCTTTAAGAAAAAAAAGCACTGCAGAACAATTGGACATAAGTTTCAGCTCTCCTTAGCATCGCTAATTTCAAATCGAAATATTACAATGCGCGCCAAAATTTTGCCTGGATAATGAGGAACAAATAAAGTCGGAAGTGCTAGAAACCGATAGCCAACGTCAAAGGTGACAAGATGAGGGCAAACACCGTCTTCGTAACGCGCTTCTATTATGACAGTCGTCGTACGCGCGCCCGCACCAACTAGCCTTTGTGGCGAGTTAGGCAACAATGCACATAAAATAAATTGCATTAAACGATGTGAGCGGCATCTGAGCCTCAGCACAGAGGGCATAGCACGCAAACACACACAATTCATCCATTTCTGGAGAGTGTCTGCATTGACGTGGTTATCGTAGTCTGAATGAAACACTTGACCATCGTTGTGTAGCACCTGGGCTCGAATTTATTGGCAAAGTTGAGGCAATGTAAAGTTCTTCCCTCAAGAGTTCTATAAATTGCAGTTTGATAAGCGTGTAGGGATCATAAGGCTTTACTAGATGGGACTGACCATACTGTTCCAGAAGGTGATTCCTGCGACTCCTGTAATTCCTGCACGTCTTCTGATGTGCCGCACTACGGAGCGCTTTGCGAATTTCAGTATACACTGTTTTTATTTTCGCAATATATATTGTTACGGGACCCTCCGAATCACAGGAACCACAGGAATTGTGGGATTAACAGGAATAGTATGGCCGGTCCCGATCAGTATGGGGCTTCCCCAATGTAATCCTTACGCGTCAAAAATTTAGAAATCTGCTCCGCTAAAACTGGGCAACACGGTTATTGAGATTAGAACAAGATTAAAATGAGATTAAAATGGTTAGCAAGCTTAAACACCTTCATGTAAAGTCGACGCACATGGTGGATACAGTAGAGATCACAAAACAAATACTTTACGGTGTGAGCCGGTAGAAGATATTCATAGATTGGCAAGAGAGGATAAGGAGGATGATGATCTACGGTCAGGAACAATCTAAGAGTCACATTGACTGTTGCAAATCCAGTGAGTGATGTTGGAATGGAAATGGCAAAATCGTAAGGCATAAGGGCATGCCCTAGTGAAATTAAGAGGAGAAGATGCCAGAGGGATGTAGATGGATGAGAGTGCTAGCGAAGGCAAGTCGGCCGGTCAAGTGAAAGTGGGTGGCGGTCGGAAACGCGCGCCTTTGTGCCCAAAACACTTGCTAATCCTGTTTCTGCTTTTTGGGGATGAAAGCGAATTGTTGCGCAATGACCCGTTTTGATCGAAAGTGAACCGGACAGCGGCAACGCCAGCGGCCATCGTCGTCGTCGTCTCCATTAACCATCCGGGAAACAGCTTCTTCACACCGACTACTTCACCTGCTTTCACTTTGAAGCGCGCGTTCAGGCTCGTTCCTTGACGAATTGCAACTACGCTTGGCTGCATTCTGAACTCTCCAATTTACACATCAACACTTCAGCAACGAGCAACTTCGCAGGCATACATTTCCGAGCTAGCATTGTGCGTGGCGGACAGTAAGGAGGAACCAGTTGAGCTTCGTGACCACGCCGAGCTCGGCTGCACACACGAGATACGGTAGGCAGGAGCGAGTAGCACGGAACAGCATGGCGCACAACTTGATCCATTGTTGCTGCGATTCCCACCGCGGAAGACGTAGCCTCAGGCTACGCGCATGCATTATTGAATCCGAGAGCCCATTATTGCTAATATCGCATTCAATAAGACTCAACTCAAACACTTTGTGGCAGAAGCGCCACGATCAGTGCTGTAGTTTGCCATTCGGAACACACCTTGTTCAGAGTTTTGGAGCATCACAATCAGTTATTATTAAGATCGAGGGATTTGAATGAGCATGCACTCATAGATAGCTGTCTCATGATGATTCACCGCTATAACAAATTGTTTAAGGATTTGCTAAATAAAATACTAGACACATGCAAAAGAGTCTCTAAAAATTTTTGTGAGTTTTTCAACACTATTCGGTTTCTGGGCTAAGAACTATATCGGTAGTGCAGCTTCCATGGTGCCTTCATCAGTAGTTCCCAAGAAGGCCTCAAAACTTGAGCGAAAGACTACAGCAAAAATTGTATGACATTTATGTGGCAGATAATTCACAGATGACCATGCTCTCAGCTCCTAAAACATCTCAAGTTGTAAAATTGTGAGTATTTTGGCAGCACAAAATGAAGTATAGAGGAGGCAGCGGTAGTGTTTAGTTAGAGCGTTCGATTGAAGGTTCACAAAGCTAGAGGAAGATGTGATAATAAAAACGCGTCTCACAACAATATCGCACTAATTACGGTGAAAGTGCAGCTGATTTGTTCTTTGTTAAATAAGTAAAACAGAAAGGAACGGGCAAAACCAGACCCAATAATGAATCCTAGAGACGATTTGCAGTGGCTGGTGTGTTCTCACTACAAGCACGGCACCTAAGCGCTTTCCTGCCTTGGGATGCTAATGAGTGGTTCGGTGCGGTGACCCGTCGGCGGCAATGGTTGCGCAATGGAATCGCAATCTGCTGCGTACAGCCGACGCGTACCGCGCGGATAGGAAAAGCGCTCAGCGCTTTTCCGCTTCTTATTCTAATGGCAGATCGGTGAATCGCTTTGTAATTAGGCTTGAGCGCTAAATGTGCAGAGCTTCCGCCGAGCATGGACACCCTGTGGTTTCCTCTTTACACACTCTCGTACGACCTCGGCGGTGCCGTAACGGTCAGCTTGGTCTTCTGCAAAGAGAATAGGGTAGAGGTTGAACATTCAAAATCTTCTTTTTGCCAATAAGAATCCAAAATCTGTAGGACCTCAAATCTACAATATTTAAAGAGAGTATGAATAACATAGCTGAACACACACATATCATAGAGCCGCTTTCATAGGGATGGCTATTCGTCTCTCGACCCTAATTGTCGTCGGTCATGAGTGCGGCTTCTCATTTCGCGTCGTGTGCTCTGCCCAACAATTGAACTGAGATTACTCTACTGCGCATCAAATTGGCTTTGTTGCTCCACAATTACCTATTGTAATTGAGTATGGCGGGCAGACACGGACGAGATAGCAACGCCCGTGCTGCTCTGCCTTTGGAAAACATTAATGGACGTAGAAGAGAGACGAAGGATCTCTTCTAAAGTGGAGATATTCGCAACCATTGTTACCATGTTCACATTATGCCCTTTCAATAAGCTTTCCGACAAAAGATTGTCTATGGGATTTAACCGGCAAGCAGTCAATATATTCTCTTACTTTTCTTGACTAGATTAACTTGTGTGATATACACATATCTTCAATTCAAAAACTGGAAATTACTTTTCAAATTAGCAAAGTGAAAGCATGTACAAGACTTAGAAATGCCAAGATAAGTGTCTGCATCCATAGAGTTGGCGGAAGGCGCACCTCTTCAATTAGTTCGGCTATGAAACTGCACATTCAAACGCTTATTACCATCACAAAGGCTTTGAAGTCTTTGAGAGTGGATATTTGAAATTTTACATCTGTTGTTGAGAGAATCTAAGAAGAAATTAACTGTGTGGGTGCTACGCATATAGGAACCTTCTTGCAGCAGGGGATTTTTCCGTGTGAATGAAGCATATTTTAGATACTTCTCTTATGAAATGAGTATTGCAGTGTTCTTCATTCCATTTTCTTCATATCGTTTGTAGGTAGTACACGAAGGCAGATTCAGAGCACGAAAACAGCTTCTAATCCCTAAATTTCCTGCCGTACAAGTTTTTCCACAAACGACACCGTGTTCATGTCGACATTTCGATGTATCCGCCGTTCAAATGCATGTTGTATCTGGTCTGAGCGGCTAATTACGATGCCGTTTCTATCAAGTTCTGAAAGGTGGCGTTTCGCATAAGTCGCACACACACACTCATGGAGAGGGGAAGCGCGATACAGACCGATGAAGTGGACGACGGTCGAAAGAGACAGTTACAAAAAGCCCCGCATCGCGCAATGCCGTCGCATCGTTCCGCGATTCGGCGCGCGCCCGAATCGCCGCGGGCGGCGGGCGAAAACTCGTTGTCGCACTCGCCGATTGCGCAAGCGCAATCGCAATAGTCCCAACGTCGGCGGCAGCAGAATGACGAACTAACGAAAACTTGGCGGCGAAATCGCCTTCACGTCTGCGTAACAAGGCCCTCGACCGGACAGCACACACTCCCTACTGGAAAAGCTGGGTGATGGGCGAAAGTGGCTGCAACCGGATCAGCACGAAAGCGACCTTTTCACGAACATCAGCTTGCAAGCTTTCAAATGGGGCTCTGCAACTGGCACTGGCAAAGGCCGATTCTGGATCGCAGTTCAGGGACTGGCAGTCACGACAGTAGAGACAGCTATGAGCTTCCCATTTGATTGTCAGCAGCCTTCCAAGTATATCTTCTGAGCTGCGATAAGACATAGAACTCATTTTAAACTCGGTTTAAGGGAAGGAACGAAACGGAGTGATGATGTTTAGTGTTCTCAGAAAAATATTCTTCACTTGCATATATGGTTACACTTCAAAAACCTTCTCATTCCAATTTCATTCATAACTTTCCAAAATGGTACTCATTAAATCTTTCCTGGATTTTGTCGGCATGTAAATATACAATTCCTTATCTCAGCAAGAATAGTTACACTAGAGGCTTGTACACCACGCAAGAAAAATGTTCCCATCTCCATGCTGGACTGTCAATAAATTGTCATTATGTGTTGTTGCTTTGAAAATTTATCCTCCACCGAGATCGTTGTAGCTCTTATTTTCGCTAATCTTTCGGCCAACTCGTCTTCGTCGAAGCCTGTAAGCGAGGAATAAAGTAATGGACAAAATTGAAATGAGAACTTCTCTGGAGTATGAACATGACTACAAGAAAAGATATTTCAGAATATTTTTGTGAGAACACTAAACATAATACTACTAATATAACAGTAATACATATCTTCCCAATTTTATTTAATAGGAGATCTCACCTCTGGCAAATCTTTTTTGGCAAATGCGATTCTAGAAAGCCAAGCTTGCCATAGGAGAGAAACTAGCCTTTCCTTTAGAACCGATATGATTTGATACTTACGAAAATAACAATTTTGAGAGACTTTCAAACCATCCTCTATTCAGCAGTGATTTATCAGCTAAACCACTGCATTTATGAAAATGTTGGAGCGATTTTAGCTCATTCACGTCTAAGATGTAATTGTAGTGGTACTTAGACAAGCGATTCCAACGTAAAAGCACTAAGATCAATGTCAGAAACTTTCATTTCCTAGAGGCGCTTATCCGGGCATTACAGCAGGGATGAGAGTACTTCACAGTCATATAGCCTAAAACGTGCACTTTCAATGGTAAAAACAACGAAAACATGGCAGAATCCAGATCTACAGGGCCATCGACATCTCCTTCCAAGGTTGTGATGTTCTTGCAAGCAACGCGTTCTCAACCGAAACGGAATCATTATTACGAAGGGAGAGAAAGAGAGAAAGGAGAAAATGGAACCGTCGCATTTTAGATGGATGGATATAGCGTGAGAAAAAAAACGAAAATCCTACTTGTTTTAGCTCATCCGGATTTCGTTGACCTTCATTATCGTTTTGATGGCAAAAGTAAAAGTGAATGTAGAGATGGAAGGGTAGTCGGATCCGGGATGGTTTACTGCTGCTTTCTTTAAAATCTGGATTCGATGAGAAAAGCTGACCTCCTAGGAGCAATTTCACTGAAGACTTTCTTACATCACCGAATCGACCAAAATGAGCTGAAACAAACTTAGGTCCAGTATACGCTCGCTGATATTATGACTATAAACATTTCCTGTCCCAGTAAATGTGTCATTCTTGATTATTCTCTTGTTTCTCTAATTCCAGCATCTTCTTCTTCTCTCTTCCCCTTCCTCTTCTCCATTTCCAGAGCCTTAGAAACTAGTTTTGCACCTTAAAAAAACTTCTGCAAAACAGAATTTTACTTCCTGCGAAGTACTATATATGAAGCAGATATTACAGCTAGTTGTTCTGCAAGTAAGAACAGAGCTTTCCAGAGTGCATTATTGGAACACATCCCTATGACGTAAGTCGTTGGAAATATCCTATGAAGCTTTTCGAGACGCGTTCTCTAACAATAGAGAGTGAGATATGATTGCATAGCTGTTTGAATTTAACCATTTTTTTTCGAACGATAGTGTAGGCAAAACTGTTTTCATATCAGTCTCTAGTCCTAATTTCTTCCTCTAGAAAAACATGTCCTGACACGTCCAAAAAATTGCTAGAAAACTGCAAACTAAAGATGAAACTCTGCAATTTTCGAGCAATTTTTCAGATGTTTGTTCATACTTTGAAGTTAGTGAGGTGAACCCTTTCACTTCCTCCGGTGGGAAAAGAAGTCGATGAGAGTGACAGTCGCTATCGAATCGGCTTATGCAAAGCTCATAAACTTGAATTATTGAAGACGCAAACTGTTAGGATTTAGCTGAAACGAAATCTTCAATTGAATGTGAGAAACTTGCTGTTTATAAGTTAGTCCATGATGTGTTTACAAGGAAAAAGCTGAACTGTTTGTCTGGCGCTGATACTGCACATTACATACATAAGCAAAATACCGTAGTATGGCCAATCCTGCTCTGAACCGTACCAATTTTGCTCAGTGATAGAATCTAAAAAAATGGCAAAATTCAAGCTTTTCCGGCTCGCAACCATCTTTAACTCTTGAGCAAATCGTTGACTTAGGCATATCGTATAGAGACGAAATTATATCTACTTTTGATGCTGTTGATAGTGATCCAAAAGTTACAATGTTGCACAAATTTTTTTGTGTAAAGAACCAAGATTCCACTTGATTGAGTGAGGTGGTATTTTGAATATAAACTGTGACTTGGTCCGACCCCCCCCCCCTCCTTTGGAGACGAACTCCATCATGTATGGGTCAACAGAACTGTTGAGAAAAAAAAATAACAGGGCACAAATTAGCCCTCGACGAAAGTCGAAACAGTGATTGAATTTGTTTTATAGATTAGTTCCCCATGGAGCAGCACTCCTTCATAGACCAGTACTAGATTCCTGTAAGAAAGCTTATACCACAATATCTAGATCAGGTTGTAAAATAGCGCAATCGACAGCTTCGCGCTTTCGCAATTCTGCAGCTTGAACACTTGATCTTGTTAGATGTTTGATCTATAGATCTCTGTCGCTTTTCAAAGCCTAGCTAACCATCGCCAACATTCTGCAATGTTTCTCATTTGAGAAAAACTTTCAAAGGGCAATATTTTTATTTACTGTAATCTGTTAACTTTACTCAAAACAAATAAGTTGATAAATACGATTTTTTGAAGCAGAGGCAACGTGCGCGATGACTATCGCGAGAACAATCTTAAGAAATCAAGCCATAACTCTACAATATGCGCTAGTCATTGAGGCGTCCCTTGATAAGAGTAGCAGGAACCACTGTATCCTCTAACTCTGGAATATGTGAACATTTTTCTGTCCAGTTTTGGTTTGCGTTCGTCTATACTTATCTTTCTTCCCGTCTTTTGTGCATTGCTCTTTATCAACAGCTTCATTATCCCTGGAGACAGGAGTACATATCATCAATTAGTGTCAGTACAGATTTGAATATCGTAAACGAGTATTGTACGTTACGTTTCCAGCTCTAACAGCCTTTTGGAAGCTCCTTCAAAAATTTGGTGCTTTTCACTTAAGTTATACGTAATTACAGTATTTAACTGATGATGGAGATGGGTTTTCTTCTAGGTACAACTGCGCTCCTAACTTTTAGAAAAGGAACGGATAGCCATAAATTTTTCCGTCGCAGCGTATAAATTGTGGAAAAACCGCCGGAATGCTATAACTTTTTTGAGTCTCGCTTTTAGAAAAATCCAAGAACTTTACTAGATTGCTGAGAATCTAGCGAATGAGGACATTTGCTAGAATTTTAGAGCTTTCATTTGAGCTGTCGCGACAAATACGTCGCGAACCGTCGCACTGAGTAATAGAGATTTATCCGAGAGTTTTTAGCAAGTATGTAGGCAGCAAAGCTTTCAGTGCTGAGCCTTTAACAGTCTTGAACATACTTTACATCTTTGCATCCATGACCACATCTCGTTTCGAAAGGATGAAAGCAGAAATAGTGAAACATATTTGTGGCTTACAATTAGTAACCTGCACGTGCACGAAGAAGATGAATCGAGAAAGAGGTCTAGTTACTTGGAACGAGAGAAGGGAGCAAGGCTGAATATCGAGGTCACTTGAATTCAATTCTTCTCATTCAGGAGATTTCATAGTATACAAACAGTCGATATGTGTACTAGTAGTAGCATGACCGTTACAAGGGCAATAGCTTCGGTGACACCAGCGTCACCGATCCTCTTCATTTGATCAAATCTGTAGAATTCTTGGGATAGACAAGAACTTCGAAGTAACTAAATCTCTTCCTCGATTAAGAGAACCTGGAAACAATGTGTTGACGCAGAAGTTCTGTCGTGCAATTTTTCAGAGTTCATAACTTGCTCTCTCGATTTTGTGAAAAGTTGATCTTATTGAAGGAAATCATTAACCTGATGGTCTCTTCAAAGCTTTTTAATAGCGGTGAGCTTTGAACATAGAAGCAGGAGAATAAAACCAATTAAACTTTCGTCATTTTAAGTCAGGCCGCAGAAAATCCAGAACTTGCGAACCAAGCAAGTAATGGTATAAATCGAGCTTTTCGGCGTAAAGTTGATCCTCGAAACAAAACAAACGAAGAAATCAAACTTGTACTGCTTGTACTGTTTTGTACTGCTTGCTCAAAAATCAAAACTCCTAAAGATTTTCATTTGAACTCTGCACAATTGGAAAGACTGGATCGACATACTAGTGCTCGCTCCGATTTTTATCCAAGATTAAGATTTTTGGTTACCTAACTCAACATGACCGAAGCTGAAGCGATTCTCCTGTCTCTATCTCGAAAACTTTCCTTCATCAAAGAGTGTCGAAGATATTTCTATAAGGAAATGCTTTCCTTAAACCACAAAATTTACCTCATGCAAATGCGTTGAGACAGCAAGAAGCCAAGATTTTTCAAATATGCGATAGAACTTTTGCACCAACCTAATAAAATGCTCTTATATCTGAAGTGCTGCAAATTGCAAATTTCATAGGAAAAAAAACACCGAGTTTGTGTGCCTGTCAGGAGTCAACGCTCTGAGTCGTATTTGTCATCGATACCCCTATGTCCAAATGACTCATAAAATAGAATATTTCAAAGCAGTAAACATTGTTTGATAATGAGAAATTCTTGAGCTGCATAATCATACTCGTTCCTATTCATGTGCCTAACAACTGCTTCTCCCATTCCTATCTGTGATACCAAGAGGTTGCGCCTTCTAGCCTTATAAAAAGTGAAGGTAAACTTTAAACAAAATATAGAATTAGATTGATACAGGTTCGAGAGTAAAGTGTGGAGTGCGGACTTCCTCACATGTGACAAGGAAACGTGGGATATATCTCCGAGCATTAGGTATTTACAAAGCCATTTTGTAAAAATCAACGATAGGATCCTGGAGCAAGAGTTCAATGGATTAATATATTTTATTCAATATTAATATGGTACAAATGTACATAAAAGTTGTCATGCGATAGTGATCTGTGGGTTGGTCAGGTATAATTCGTCAACAAAGATTAATATTTGTAAAATCATATCAGAACCACTTGTTGATGAGTTGAAGAAGTCGAGGTAGTAAAGAAGAGATCAGATGGCCAGCGTGCAACATTTTGCGGAACCTCCGCTTTTGATAAATTCGCTCATGTCCACAAATCTGAAATCAGGAACTAGAGGATTCGCACTATTGGTCTTTCCTCTTGATGGTTCTATGTTCGAAGTGGTCTCACTGCGGGAAGTCGGACCCATTCACAAAGCTGCGCGGGATTTGTAAACATCTGGATCGACGATCAAGGCTTGCAAGTCATTCTTCATATGTTCACCAAGGTGCACATTAATCGCTCAAGCTATATTTTCCCGGAATATTTTTTCATTTTAATGATCCCTAGAGTGTCTAATTTTTGCCCCAATGTATTGATCCTCACTATAAACTTCTCTAATGAGTCCACCTGCGACTTATTTCTAAATCAAATTACTTACTTCACGCTGAATCCAAGTTTCTCCAATTTGTTAGCAATTTCATCATTTCGGTGATTCATTACTACATTGCGTCCTACGACCACAGCATTACATGCGAAATTTTGAGCTTCTTTTTCGGATACCTGTAAAAATCATGCATGAACAATGTTGCAAAATTCTTGTCTTACGAAAGACATACTGGTAAAAGTCCAGTTTCGTTGTGCATGTTGTGCCTGGTGATAGGATCGAAAGCATGCGGGAAGTACATGGCTAGTTCATCGTTAAGTGGGCAGAAAGCGGTGTCAATGTGGTAAAACCTGAACCAGGACATGGTATAAGCTAGAGAATCGCATATTGGAATGAAGTTTATGTCATACCTTGGATCCACCAAACGGCATCCCATAACCTTGAAGGGAGTGCCATCATTCAGCTTTTCGGTCAAGTCTTTCAATGCTCGAACGTCTGTTCGTGGTCCAACACCCGTGAACAACGTTCTGTGACCCGCTCCTCCCCAGAGCGCATCTCCTGCTCCTAAAATTTTTTGATTTTTTTTGTGAATTCCGACAATTTTATAATCAAGTTCAATGCCCATGACACTACTGAAACCCAAGTACATACTCTCCGGTATTGTTTACAGAACAGACAATATCCCACAATCAAGAATGCTCTCGAATGTGATTCCTCAGCCATCACCACTCAAATGCTGCGGTTCGCACACAATTTCTGCCACACTATGCCGGAGCCAAGAACAATTCAAGAACCCTAATGTACCTTTTTGAAGAATTTTTTTACTGCCACTACAATATTGCTTATGCACTCTGTTTTTGAAACTACTCTGCTAAGCTTTTGGTTTTTCTAAGTACTGAGGTATGTTAACAAAGGGTATTTTTTAACGAGTGACAGTGGGATCTTACCTTCAAAGGCAATGTCTAAATCTCCCACGCATTCGTATCCATGTTTTGTGAACCATTGCTCAAAGAAGTACCTGAAAGCATAACTATGTTTTGTCCAAGCCAAAAATATTATCACGACAATATATGAATTCGCAGCATTTTTGCACCAGTAGGTTTACTGATTCTAGCTCTGAGACTAAGAAACCATATCCTTTATGTTGATGTCTGCAGATTACATTGACTCATGAATAGAAATGAGTGAAGGTACACGAAATTGTGCTTCGTTCTTAATAAACTATCCCTTTCTACAGTTCCCTTCTTTGTATTACCATGACAGAGACAGTAAATCACTTTGTTAGAGTAAGTAATGTTGTCATCTGAAGCACTTTTAGTACATTTCGTAGAGATTTGCGTACTTCCATTGCACCCTGCAAGCGCAAGATTACGGTAGAAACCGGAAACGCTCGGTGGTTGTCGCATAGATCTATGCACACTGCTGACTACCATACAACATAAATTCGGATACATTAGATTTCGTAAAATTTGGCCCAAATATGTCAATTTATATGATTATTTTTCTCCTACCAATACGGTATTCTAGGAGCAAAATGAAGGCAATGGAAGGGGGCATGGTAATGGTACTTTCACCATCTCTTTATCGCATTTTTTAACAGATTACCTTATTTGCTAAAGCACCCACTAATAGTTTCCTAGATTTTTGATCACAAGCGCAATGTTGGTGATCTACGAACTGCGCGACGCAATCCAGTTACGTGAAAATTGCGCGGAGAAGCGATGATCGCTCACATTGGGTGCATGATCGGTGCAAATAGTTCCTGCTCAAACTGTTTTTTTATTTCACCTTGTCTATTAAATTTAGCGGAACGCTGTTTACCTTCCTCCTTAACAGACTTTTTGAAAATGTATGAGAAACAAGAAAACAGTAAGTTACCTTTCTCCTTTCCTTTCCGGGAATGTAAAATTTGCCAGGTAGGCACGATGGCCCTTGATGACAGCAGCATTAGCCGAGAACACCATATCTGGATAGTTTTCGGCTCCCTGCAATGAAGAAAACCTCTTGAGCATTTAGGAACTTTCTGAACCATTCATCTTGTGCAGCTTTTAAGTAAGTTTTATTGACTCAAGAAGCTTTTCGAATAAAGCAGAAATCTATACGAATGCATCCATGTCCGCCTCTAAAGTCACTTTTTCTTAGCCTACCGAGCTTAAGCGAAAGAAGTGGAATGACTGAAACTCAAAGCAGGCTAACTTCTTTTTTTTTTCAAAAATTTTGGAAATCTTTTATCGAAGCCACTGTTGTTACTTTTTCAACCAGATAGCCTAATTTCTTTGAAGAGATGCTACTATTATTTGAAAAAGTCTAAAATACTTACATTAGCTTCCATTACATCCACTTGAGCACCACAGTTCTCTAGCGTTTGCCTGAGCGTTTCCCATTGCTGCATAGCTTTCGGACGGTTCACCTTTTGGTTCATGTCCATCCAAGGATTGATAGAGTAGGTCACCTAGAAAAAGAACAATTCCAGCATAATCTATAGGTTTTTACGCTAAAGTTTTTCTCAGCTAGCTGCATTACCTGGAAGTGGGTAGGACGACACATGAGTATTCGCCTTGCGGCTGTGACAACTTCCTTCAAAGGAGCAGCAGCAGAAGCCATCTATAAGGATAGATTATTAACGACAAGCAAGATTTGGATAAGAGCTTTTTCATGAAATTCGCAAAGGGATTGAAGCCAGCTGACAACCGGGGACAGATAATGACGATCGCGTAGCGATCACTTCCTTATATGGTACTATGACGAGAGACCAAAACACGACTGCGCCACGATCGTACAGAGGGCATACTGAGACGAGAACGAAGAGAATGAAGAGGTACGAAGGTGGCTAAGCCGATATCGGATGATCAAATCAATTTGATCTATTAACAACTCATTTCTCGATCATGGGTGATCTCAATAAGCTGATCCAAGATTCCAAATTAGCTTCCTTTACTGAAGCCACGAAGAATGCGCAGAGGACATTGACCCTGACGATGAAGTAATTGCATACAGTACTATATGATTACAAGTTTTCAGCCTGTTTACCAATAAGTCGGCTTCTGGGATCACCAGTTCAAACAAGGATCATTGCTTCGCTTTCACAATAAGAAATAAAGGATGATAGTTGCAAAGTCATAACTAGTTTTGGTCAAAAATAATAGTCGATCAAATTCTCTAAAATTTGGCGGGATATGGATTCCTTAGGCTCTGGCAATGTACCTCCTGCAACATGGTTCTACAGATGTTTTGCAATCAACATTGGATTTGCGCGTTCTAGAACTTCTTACAATAGAATTAATCTTTTAAAAAAGCGTTGAACCAATGGTTCAGGAATTTTTTAACGCTTCTTGAGAACATCTATTCTTAGTCGTTTGAGTTATGTTTTTCGCTCAGCATTCTCTTTCATAAGGCGAATTTTTAACTGAGCCTAATGACGGCCAAGAAACTGGACCGGCTGAATGCTTAGACCTAGACGACGGTAAAGTAGCATTGAAACTGTTTTTTGTTTAGCAGCAATTTTGCAGAACTTTGATGTCATAGAAACCAATATTTATGTCTACGCTGGCAATTCTGCATCACCATTTCATCACATTTCATCATCTTTAGAACAAGATGTAGAAAACAGGTGTGAAGTCACTATTTACACAGCAAGTTTCAAGGGCGCGCAAAGTTACTGTATCTTCATTCTACTTCCTCGCAAATTCTCCACATCTGAAAGATAACTTATGAATGAGGCAAACAGCGATGCAAAAAGTGTTGAAACCATATGAGCTTAACGTTTTAATCGTAGTAGAAGAGAAATGAGAGCTTGATAAAGCTCGAAGTTGATGGAGCTTGTTGATGAAGTTATAAAATTTTTTATGCGTTAGATAGTTCCACAAGAGGATAGTAGCTGAGTTTAGTCAAGAAGAATGGAGTTGAAGAAGTTGATGGTCATATCCAAGTACTTATATGGGGTTGTCCGGAAATTAATGCCCGTTTTGAACTCCAACCGCAATAAGTCATACATTTCTCATTTCTAAGTGGGTTGCGAAAAACCATTTGGTAGAACAAAGCAAGCTCTACAAGATGGCTATCTTGCTTTAGCAAAAGCTCTGATCCACCACAAGTTTCAAGCCGAAAAGCTAAAAAGATTTAATTGCCTAAAAAATTGTGAAAAATCATAACTCAGTATAAGAGACCTACAAAAATTCTAACTTGCTCACGTAGACACTATCCACATAAGACATTTATGTACGCTTGCCGTATTTTTTCCTTTGTTAGAAATCAAGAAAACGGAAATTTTCGTGCATTTGCCAAAGTGATCCTGTGCTGTCCCCACATAGGTAGTTGTATACAACAAATCTGTAGAAGTACAAATGTAAATTTTCAGCTTTTTGCAAGCTATAGCTCTCGAGAATTATGAATTTTAGTTTGTACCCCCTGACTGGGTAAAGCTATAGGTTGTATCAGCCAGCATCGGTCCCGCGCCAGTACGATTTGCGACGACGCACCGTCGCAGCGACGTGCGTTAACGCGTAGCGCAGTTCGCACGCGCCATACCGCACCGTCGCAAGTTGCCGCAGGCGCGACGTCGCATGACCGATGCTGGCTGGTACAGCCTATATATTCGATATTTCTCGAGAACCAAAGCTTGCACAGAGCTAAAAATTTACATTTGTACTTCTACAGGCTTGTAGTATACAACTAGCTATGCGGGGACAGCACAACATCACTTTGGCAAACGCACGAGGGTTTCCGTTTTCTTGATTTCTAACAGAGGAAGAAATACGAAAACGGCCTATGTAGATGTATTATGTAGACAGTGTTTACGTGGGCAAGTTAGAATTTTTGTAGGAATTTCACCGACTGAGTTATGATTTTTTCCGATTTTTCAAGCAGTTGAATCTTTTTAGTTTTTGGCTCGAAACTCGTGGTGGACCAGAGCTTTTGCTAAAGCAAGATAGCCATCTTGTAGAGCTTGCTTTGCTCTATCGAATGGTGTTTTTGCAACCTACTTAGAAATGAGAAGTGTATGACTTATTGCGGTTGAAATTCAAAACGGGCATCAATTTCCGGACAACCTAATAAAAGGGAGAATCCTGCAGAATAAAAGGTATTTAGTAGCTGGCAGTCTTTGATAGAGTGGACAAGAGTGCGTCAGTAATAAGCAATGCGATAATAACATCTTCGGAAGTTCACAAAAGCAAACATTGCGCATTGTAAAGTATGTACTACATAATAAATAATTATTCTGCGGTTTGCGATCATTACCAAAAGTAGCCAGCGTAATCTAGTCTATCACAAAAAGTCGTTTTGCTCTGAAATTCTGAGGAATAGAGCATTCCATGGGTAAGATATGAGAAGCAGTGCGGGAATCAAGCCAAGCCGCGTTCGACTACTTACTGACGTACTGACGGCCAAAGGTCACGTATATGCTAGTTTTTGCGATAATTATCAATGTAAAGGAGTGAATAATTGAAACGGGTGACTGCATTTTCTGTTTTGGATAGAAACCAAATCTGACTTCTAAAAACAGTCAAGCTACAAAGAATTTATCCGCAGCCAGCTCCTATACGCGCAGGTCGGTCCCTTATTGAACATCTCAGCTTTCAGCACGTCTGCATTTGGTTATTATACTAACATTGAAGTGCTTAAATTTCATTCCTACGGCCGCTCATGAAAAATTTGTAATTATGCTTCATTTCTAGGGTTTACTACTTTGTTTGCTGTCACTATGCGAAAGAACTTTTTTTGAGCTGACGAATTGTAGGCTGCATAATGAAATTCAAGTTAGAACATGACTTCTACTGGCCTACTGCAAGACAGTAAAAGTTGTCGTTCTTGGTTTCTGATACAAAATCGGCATTGGTACTGAAACTGAGTAACTGTTAAGGTTACTAGTCACTAATCACTAGATTACTAGTCAAACTCTGATTTGCTATTTATTTCTTTTCAGCAGCCCTCGTTGAAGAGGTTGAAGTGACGCGAAAGAGGAAGAGCTTGATTGGAACTGCGTCCAAGAGAGACCAAAGTCTGTGCCATATAGCCCATAAGAAGAACATAGAACAGCCTTTACCGCTTCATATGAACAGGTGCAAGTTGAAATCGGGGAAAAAAAGACTATAACAGACCAAAAGTGAGCAAGGCAGTGTCTCAGATAGCCGTGAACGTTTCGTACTCTAATTTGTTATATGCTACTAACAATGAGAATTCTCTGTCTCTTACAATGTTAGATGTTTAAATGAAAAAACTTAATTGACAGTAAGTTATGTTCAGCTGCTTTCCTTTGATTTCTGTGGTCTTAACCTAGTTTTTCTGCATTTCATGCTGAGGAAGAGAAAGTGATCTTTTAAGTTGCACGGAAACTCCATTTGTCCTTCAGGAACTTTAGCTATGTGGGCTGTAATTTGCAATGTGAGTTCAAAGTTTTATTCTAAATTGTGGAAGAAGAACTTCTTTGCCCAGAATCTGAAGCATTATATCGTTAATGATAAGTAGACATACAGTGATCAAAAAAATAAATAGTAATAAGTATACCGGTCAAGAGAAATACAAGATTGCCTTAGCTGAACTCGAATAGACATTAAAGCTCGTTTTTCCCAAAGAGGTTGCCGAAATTCCATGCTCCAATCTCAAAGATTCCAAGCTTCCTGTGCCTGCCCTCAAGAAACCTTTTTAATCGCTAAACTACTTACTAACAGGAGGACCGAGAAGGGTGCATCACGAAATTCTTGAAAGCTACTTAATGAGCTTTAAAAATGTGCCATGACTTGTTCCTACTTGGGATTGAGTTTTTTTTTGAAATTTTCAAAATTCAAATTAATTTCACAAAATTCTGTTGTAGCTCTAGCATCAGCTGCGTCTCTTCTAGAATTTGGGGTTACTGGCATACAAAAATTTCAAGAGGTATCTCAAAGAAATTTTTTAAAAGTGCTCTGCCCCTCGCCACCCCCTTCTCGAACGGAATTTCTGGGATCGTTACCGGTATTAAGGTCACTAAACTGAATATACGATCATTAAGTTGTAATTATATCTCTATAGCCCACTCAAACGCTCACTTATTCACTCCACCATGCTGCATAATTCAGCATGTAGCGAGCGTATCAAAGATCTTCAAGCCATTTTCACATCAACGGCCTCAGATCAATCATTAATCATCCTTGAGCGCCATCTTGAAAGCTTCATTTGGGAAATTTTTCTTGAAAGGTAATGTCTTGGGTAAGCTAGATCATCGTTTCAAATCAAAGTTTAAATCGCCACCTGATTTATGAGATTCTGCATGCATTTAAAATCTTCGAGTGTGGGTGGTAGTGGGATATGATTACTGCTTCAAAGTTCTGTGCAAATAGTATGTAAATTAGTCTGCGCAATGAACATCTAAGGATCAGAAACCGGAGCCAAGTCTAGCACTAGTTCAGCATTTATTTAACAATTTTCACACTGATCTCTTAAACAAAGCACACCTAATCGAAGTTTTTTTTTGAGCTGCTGCATTTTCAAGTACTACACGGCTTTTCTGCATTTTTATTTATTAGGTTTTTGCTAAGATTGGCACAATTTGACTTCGAGCAAAGAGTCATATTTCCACTACTGAATAGTAATCTTCGTACACGGAAATTGGCTTTTTCCTGCAATTACACACGAGGCAATAGATCATCTTCCGTTGACAAATGGCAGTGTGCCTCATTGGGTTATCTCATAGCATCGTTTGTCACTTTGTTCTTAATTCCATGCTGATTTCTTTACACCTCATAGGAATTTCACGCGATATTGCAGAAAATTATTTTTAACAGATGAGATATGCGAACACAACATTACCTTTGTGGTTCAATTATGTTGAACTAGCAGTCAACTGTTCTTGTATGGCTTTTATGGCTATCACATTACCTTTGTATATCGCTGTGGTTTGGATAATGTTGGTTCTGAGAAAAACTGCATACAAAGGTAAAGTTACCTAATTACCAAAACCTTAGCTTTGAAATAATCAAAACATGCTGGTTTAGGTATGTTTTATCGTATTTTCCTGGTCGGGGCAATTCTGGATATAATTGCTATAATCAATAATTATATTGGCAACATCATCCCTGCAAGAGGGTAGACTACAACCGTAAAAAGTAAATTTTCATGTTTATTTAAATGAAATTTTCAGGTGGCTCCTGGACTTCTACATGTCACAGGGCACAACTATCGGTCATGTGTATGTGATTATTGCTTGGATGACTCGATGTAGCCAAGGATGTACAGTAACCCTACTGGCATTAAATAGAGCTACGGCAGTCTGTAATCCCATGAAACATAAACGAGTGAGTGCACAACAGAATTCAAGGGGGAGTAAAAGTTTGCTGTTTTTTATCAGCAAAAGAAGTTTGTTTTGTTTTCACCATTAGAAGAGATTAGAATTTTGGCTCTTTCAAGCTAAATTATCATTTTGTGCAACAACTGTACTCTTACCAAAATACTTCTTTAGTATATGTATTACTACATTTATACCGTCACTAAAATATACTTTTTCACTATCCTCCTTGCTAGAAGTGTTTTGACAAGTTTAGAAAACGATTAAAAAATTAGCGTAACTTTTTATTCATTTACTAGACATTCAGCATTTACTTTAGATTTGGAACTCTCGTTGGGCCAATCTCGTATTCTTATTCCAGCTCAGTCTAGGCATTTGTCTTGGTACATTTTTGATCCCACAGAAATTTATATGGAAGAAGCAAGGACGCGGGTAAGTCTTTTACGTTTTTCAGTATTACAGCAACTTTCTCAAAATAAGATGTTTGATTTGATGGTTTTGATTTCATTATGAATTTTCTTTATGCCTCACGAAAGGAGAAGACAGATTAACATAACACTCCCTTTTAAACCCTTTCTATGACGTTGCTTGTAAAAATACAGTGGGGATTCCTTGAATTTGTTTCAGAATCTACATACAGTTTGAAGATCTGCGATTTCGAATGCGGTACTTCATCTTCGCCTATGCATTGGATACATTTTTCGTTGTATTGATTATAATAATAAATATAACAATGCTGATAAAGCTGAAGAGGAAGTACAGATTGGTGAGTAAATCAATGGTAGTACAATCACTTCCTATTTCAATACTTCAATTTTGGTGATTGACAAGCTAAGGTTTGAAGATACTCGAAGAAATATTAGTCATTTCTGAGCTATTTTGTCTAATTTTCTTCTATTTTTTTTCAGCGAAAATCTTCATCCTATTGTGCTGCACTGAATCACAAAGTTTTGTCTGAAAAACAAAGGCAAGAGAATAATCTGACAATTGTTTCCGTTGTCACATGTGCTTTGGAAATCGCTTACTATCTATACATAGTGTATGCGTTCATTATAAAGCCTCAGCTAAACACTAGGGTAAGCATTTCAGTTACAAGGATATTTTTTGTTGTAAAACAAATTTTTAAAATATTACTTCAGGTATTCTACTTGTTATACAATGTCTGTAACGATATTTACGCGGGAGCATCTGCTTGGCTTATTCTTTCATTTTCAACAACACTGCAGAAACATCTACAAAATCAGCTAAGGTATAAAAAATACTAAACAATACCTTATTTGCACTGATTGTTATTATTTTCAGATGTCTCCCTCTGACAAGGATTCATCAACAGTTCATAATCGATTTCCAACTGTCATCAGTATCTCACATGACTTTACGCAAAACACCTGAACGGTCATCCTTGATAAAAGGTTGAGTTGATGATGGAGTAACTATTTTTGTGTCTTTGTAAATATTGTGATATTATAGTGCATGCATTTCATTTGATAAAAATTCGAGTATACACTTTAGTGGTAGAAACTGGTCGTATGATCAACATCTTCTTTGAAGTCTTGAACACGTTCTCTCATACTGGACAAAAAAGCTTGGAATTAGAGGTTTCAACTTGAAGGCTCTTATTAACCATCGCACTGTCCTTCAACTAAGTTATCCTTTCATACTGATGTAGTTCATCTTTATCATACCGCTCAAATTCTGTGAGAAAAGCAGAAAATAACAACAACTATGTCAAACTTGTTGAAGACTGTGTTTTTGAGTTTTATGTTGCTTAGTCATATTTCTTCTCAAAATTTCTTCTATTTTCCGCATTCGAACCCACTGTCGATCTCACGATACCTTTGAACCAAAACTTTTCCCTACCCCTTGGGGACATGCTTTTGCATGGTGAAAAAAAGGTGGCAGCTGGCCCCAACAAATAACTTGCGGAAGCGAAATTGACCTTGAAGAGCTGTTATTTATAGATAGTTGTTACTGTTCAGTATGAAAGAGTATTGCTAGAGACTTACTCAAGGTTTTTTTTCCTATAAGTGAACTCAAGAATGCTGAGTAATAGCGTATTCTTTGCGCGGACTTTTGTGGATAATTGTGGTAGCTTTCGGATTCCTGCCGTCGTTATTTGCATGCTGGTATATAAACATTTCAGAAGCAAGGCCTTGGCCCTTTGAAAAATTTTCTTTAGTAGCAGGCGTAGCAGAAGGTTATGTGGTACCAAAATTTGAGAAGGGACAAAACCAGCTCGGATTTTGTAGGTGACAATCAAGGTCATTGAGAAATAATTCTAATAGCCTTTTTCCCTTGGTATACAAGTAGAAGCCAAAAAAATTCAGCAGATCGTTTTCATATGTACAGGGTGTGCCCAAAAAGCCTTCTGTTTGATCGAATCGTTGATAACTCTCTTGTAATGAAGTCATTCGAAAAACTTTAAGTACCTTTCTGTAGAGCTGGCTTCAACTTAAGTTTACGGTATCATAGCGCATTACCGACTGCTCTCCATTACTGTAGGATCACGGTTGGAAATTTTAAGAGGGTTTTGAGCCATAAAGGGCCATATTTTGCCTCAGAAGGAAACAAAACAACCTGAAAACTCTCACACTGGGCTAGTTAGAGTTGCTGATTATAAGTGTGAAGTTCGCTACTTATCATAATGCTTCAAAAAGTTATGCGAGCTAAACATTAGCTGCCGATTCATGTTCTTAAAAAGTGGAGTTACTGTTTAAAAAGCTTCGAAATCTTGCACATAGTTGACTATTGAACTCAGCGTCCACGAAAACCCTATTACACAAGTTTTCACATATTTTAAAAATTTTGAAACGGCAACTATACGGCAATTATTTCACATTGACACCATATGCTTAAAGTTTCTACCGTAATCCTACAGCAATGAAGAGCGATGGGTGATTTGCTCTATACCGTAAATCTAAGTTGAAGCCAGCTTTACAATACGGTACCTAGAGCTTCTCGAAAGACTTCATTACAAGAGAGTTATCAACAATTAAACGGTGGCCACATCTTTTTTGGACACCCTCTATATGTAGCCAGCCAAACTTCTTTTGACATTTCTTGAAAGTACATATTATCAGTAACTTGAGTTTTTCTTAAATTTTCTTTGTGGCGGACGGAAAATCCGCGCCTTTTCACTTCCTCCCAGCTTTTGGCATCCGTCTAAACTGGTGCCGCTCTTGCAAGAAATCGGACTAAAGGAGATTGTGCGAGGCGACGGCTTTAATTTGTTCTGATTATTTTTTGATTCAAATCTTCAAATCTACACCCAAGATATCTGCGTCCACGCTCAGCCCGTTTCCGTACACGCGCACAGTTACGGGGGCAATCACCCCTTCCCCTACCTTACGCACCCCCGTCCATCGCGCAATCATTGATACTATTGATTATCAACGCGCATGTCTGGCGAATTCATTATTGAAACGACTCACACTATTGCCCCTTTTACTGCGTTCCTTTTTTGAACACTGCCGAATCGAAATTCTTGATGTTGAGCCTATTCCTCACTGAACTACTCCGTTGCTTTAGTATTTGCTGGGCAGACGTGCTTCACTTTTATCTTGCCCACTCCGGAAACAATCACTCGGTTTTCGGCTAATTTTTTTCGTTTTTATAGATTTTTTTTGAACTGCCATGAAAAAGCCTTGAATGGTGAAAACCTCAGAGGTTCAGTATCTATCAATCTATGATATTCTAGTCATCTTCATATTAGCTTTTCTTATGAGTTCTTTCCGATTTCAACACTAAAATTAGTATTTCCGCAAGCGAGGGGCATCAAGGGGTATGAGTGTATTGCTATAGGGTGTCTCATAATTTTTTACCTTTTTTTACCTTAAACACAAGCATTCTTCGAGAACTGTAGTATCTACAAAATATATCAGTATATGATCGAACTTCTGCATGTATACGCTATATGATTATGTGTGTGGGAGGAACTCAGGACATCTGGGGCGGAGTTTGCCATTTTATTTGCCATTTTACTTTAATCATTATTCTCTTTCTTTCTAGCCATGGGTACAATTGGAGTGAACGATGTCTTAAGCATATGCTAGAATAAATGCGGAATTTTTTAGTTCTTTGAGATCAAGATACGATTCTTGACGGTAAACTTCGTTTCCAACTACTATCAAATTTCAGCGCCAAACTTCACCTGAAATATGAGTTAAGCAGACTCTTATATTCATCTGGTAGTGCTTGCTTTGCTCTGTCAAATAATCATTCAAACCTCTTCAATCAAAGGAGAGATACAAAAAGACGACTGTTGTAGTAAAAACGGTGAAAATTATGAGACAACTCAATGTATGATTACGAGCGTAGAAGGAAGTCGAGAACATTAGATTTTGCCATTCTACTAACTTCATTTTTTTCTATATTTTTTTTACAATGGAAAGATAAGAGAATTGTATGATAATGTTCTGTGTATAAGTATTTGCTTGATAAAGAGTTAGGATGTCTTATGACGGAAAAATGTTGATCGGAGCTTGTTCCAATTTGACTACTATCAGAATATAGCTCTAGACACTTGAAATGTAGAGTGCGCTTTATCCAATGATAACCCAAGCCGCACTAAGGAAAGAAACACAGAAACCGTAATTTTGGTGAAACTGGAAAAAAATTATGAGACCACCATCACAGTTTACTTTTCTCTCTACTGCACCTACTTGAACAGTCGAGTAAGTTTCTTTGCTGAGTGTCTTTACATTTCCCGAGATGACATTGGCCATGAGCCCTCTTGTATTTTTCTCAAAGTTTTTTTTGTTGTTTAGCACAATTCTGTGTTGAAAAGCGTGTGAAATTACATGTCATGGGCTTCTTTCACCATGTTACTCTCTCCTCATGCTTGAAAGCTTGTGTAAAGGTATTTGAGAGAAAATCGAAATTGAATTAATTTATTTAGAAAATCGTGACATTAGAAAATTGCGACAAAAAAATCGAAAAGAAACGAATTTCTTCGAAAAACGAAAGATTATTAATTGCTCTAGACTTGCTCTCGAAATCCTCCCTGTCCTAAAGCGCTATAACTACCACTTATCGAAGGAGCGTGAAAGGGAGCAAATGCGGAAAGCGTTTTGTAATCAACGGAGCATGTTAGATCTTCCTGTAACATTTCCTTTAATTTGTCCCTTTCCGGTATAAAGATACTCAATTTGTAATGAAGCTTTTCGTTTTTGTTGCAAAAAAATTGGTTTATAACTTTTTTGCAATCGACTAAACTTGCTTTGACGAGCCGACAATATCCCATTGTTTATATTAGTATGGCTGAGAGTAATCCTATGATAGCTGCAAAAAGAATATGCCACCTTTTTACCATTATTCAAATTCTGCGCAAGAAAGTTTAACGTCATGCCACATGCCAAAAAAAAACCTGTGTTGTAATCAGGGCTCGGCACGAGCTGGCATCAGGGGAATTTTAAAACGAAGTCCCTCTGATTTTGAACTTTGTACAAAGTCCCCTTTGACCCTAAACCCTAAACGCAAAAAACCCTCAAGAAAACGAAGCGTCGACTAAACAAGCGTCGCAATTTTTGTGCCTTTTCGGCCACAAAAACGATGTCCCCTTTGCCTTTGTCCCAAAAACGATGCGCTTGACCCGGTACCAGCTGTGCCGAGTCCTGGTTTTGTAATCTACCAGTTCAAATTGTTTAAACATTTTCTGACATTTGAGAATTTGCGGGAACGGAAACGCAAAAACTTTAACAGGTTTACGCAAAGGAGCTTATGTAGTTCGTAGCTGCACTTAGCAGTAGACGGCCTAGAAAGAATTGATGTACCTTTATACTTAAGTCTGGTGACTGTAAAATTCGCAAAGCTTTTGGAAAAGCCATAGCGCCTAAAGAAGCTTTACTCACGTTTTTTGGAAATTTCACTCGTAAACGTACAGGAGCTCCTTTGAGAGTTCTGACTTATACAGCCAATCTTCTTTTTCAGAATGTAAAACCAAATAAGCTTTGTTCAAATACCAATGTTACTTGAAACAGATAAATCGCTATTAATTAGAATCATTTGAACAGCTAACAAATTTGAGAAAAATTACATGTGATTTAGTTTTGGCTGCAAGGTTCGCGATGCTTAATTCTAGATCCCAACCAGAAAATCTTACAATTAGAACTTTAGTTAAATTGTAAATTTAACTAAAGTTCTAATTGTAAGATTCACTTTATTCTGGTCTGTCGGCCCAAACAAACTTCTTACTGTTGCACGCATTTCCTTTTGTGAGCATGACCTTTTACCAGCCTCAGTGCATCTCCTATTCAACAATAAATTAGGTAGTAAAGTGCCAATGGAGGTTGAGCTAAATTGTTTTATTTATGTATTCACCATGAGTGGCTATCAATTAACGATATCTTGGTCATGTGTACTGTTGACCTTAGATTACTGATTATGTATATCATGGATGCTTTTTTCCAAGAAGGGCGCTGGCTGCGTTTTGAAGCATGTGGAGAGTCCGCCTTTTTGAGCCTTGAAATCAATGAGCTATTTTTTGCTTGGAAAAAGGCCCAGATACGAGCAAATGATAGTCGCATTCTTTTCCTCTAGCCAAGAAAAAAGGTATAAAACGTTTTTTAAATGGAGCTTCTGCAAGATCTGCGCGTCTTCAACTTGAGATGTTTGCCTTTTCGCAGACCTGAGCGCAACAGATTCCTCCTTTTTTGGACAATTCTTCTTGGTTTATCGTTATATATTCAAGCTGAATAGCGTATTTGGTAGTGACCATACACACTAAAAACACATTACGAACCAGCCCCTAGCATTCGCACTCTTTCGCAGCAATTATGGTACAACTTGAACAAATTTGCCAAAAGCATATTTACATATTAGGTCGGTCCGGAAGTTTTGTCAGTTTTTGAAATGACCAAATCCAATACAGTGAAGATAAACAAACGCTTCAAGTTGTATCCGGGGTAGAATTTATTCCTCTTTCCAGCTGCCACATCTACATTGTGATCGTTGAGAAAATCGCGAGCTCACTGAAAATTACAACACTTTGTTTTCACCATGTCTAACTTTCGCTAATTTTCAGAATTTCTGTAAGATACTTTTGGAGAATTGATAACCAGCATGTATGGCAAACCTTTTCCAAATAGGTCAATTTTTATTCTTTCTGCAGCTACTCATACAAAAATTCTTGAAAATTATATCGCATACCCTGTTATTGCACCAAACAGTGCAAAATCTTCAGATTAATGAGGGTTCAAAATCGATTATGACCATTACTAACTTTACAAACTGAATGAGCGATTTCCGCTTCAATATACGAAGATTCTGAAACATAGGGTCTTTCAGAATGCACTCGTGAAACAGAGGATTACCGCGATTTTCGCCTCAAATATCGCTGTCTCGCCAAGAAAAGACAGCTCTTAGAAAAAGAGGAAAAAATTGCATCAATTAGTACCTGAACTCTACTATTTCATGTCGAGGTTAGAATGGGCGGAATGTAATATTTGGTGACTTTAAAAAGTACATTTTGAAGATTCTGAAAGACAAACTACAGAGCTACAAAAAATAACTTCAGTTGGAAAAAGGTTTGCCCTACAAGCTGATTGATAAAACTTCTCCAAAAGTCTCATATGAAAGTTTTGAATTAGCGAAACTGGACATGGTGAAAACGAAACATTGTAATCTCCAGCGATTATTTCAGCACTCTTTCAACGACAACTGAAAATGTAGCAGCTGGAAAGAGGACAAAATTCTGTATCGAAAACAACTTGGATTGTTTCTTTGTCTTCCTTGTACGAGATTTGGGGGTCATTTGAAAGCTGACAAAACTTTCGGACCGACTCAATATATTAGGTTGTTCCGAAAGTTCTTTCCGTTTTTTCAACCTATCATAAAAACACGTGGAATGAAGGTAGGAAAACGCTTCAGCACTCTCCGACGCAGCTTTTCTTCCTTTTTTCAACTCTCGTATTCTTGTGCCGCTTGCTCTTGTGGTCAGTGAGATAATGACCGAAATTTCGAACATATGGTTTTTACCATGTTCAAATCCGGCAATTTTTCACAATCTTCTTTTTTGACTTTTGGGAAAGCTTTGATAGCATTCAGATAGAGTGAACAAAGTACAATTCAATGGAATTTTTTGGCAGTTTCAACTGGCTTCTCATTGTCAGTATTTTTTGAGATAAACTTTCCAGATGTCTTCACTTTTTCAAAGTCACAGAACACACAAACGCTCCGAACATTAACAAATCTTCCGATTTTCGACACTTTCAAAAGTCGTGATTGTCCACTATTTTTACAAAGTAACTGAGTGTTTACCGTTTTGAAATATAAGAGTTTGCATTGCACGGATACATCATGAGGCGGGTTCAAAATCAAGATTTATGGAAATTTTATCGCCAAAGACCCCACAAACTAATAAGAGAAAGTACTCATCAGAAAGAGGAGAAAAAGCTGCATCGAATGACTCCTTAGTTGTGCGCCGTTTCATGTTCTGTGGCTTTTGGCATCCCCAAAAGTGAAATTTGATAGCATCAGTCTAAAAATGTTTTGAGGCTAGCTGTAGATGCCGAAAAATTGCATAAGATTGCACTTTGTTTACTTTATCCGACTGCTGTCAAAGCTTTTCCAAAAGTCAAAAAAGAAGATAGTGAAAAATTGCCAAAGTTGGACATGGTAAAAACCATGGGTTCGAAATTTCGGCCATTATCTGATCATAAGGGCAAGCCGCACAGGAGTATAACAGTTGAAAAGAGGAAGAAAAGTTGCGTCGGATAGTGCCTGAATCGTTTCCCTATCTTCATTCCACCTATTTTTACGATAGGTTGAAAAAACGGAAAGAACTTCCGGATTGACCTAATATCTTCATTGCCAGTAGTCTACCGTAAGCGTATTTGCAGCACCGAAGAACCTGCCGCTTGCGTAAGATAAGTTTCTCATGAAACGGGAAAATATACAGGGTGTCCCAAAAAAATGTTAACACTGTTTGATCGTTAATAACTCCCTTGCTTTCAAGTCTTTCGCCGAGCTTTAGGTACCATTTTGTAGAGTGAGGGTAAACTTAGATTTGCAGTACCGAGCGAATCATCTAACGCTCCTCGTTACTGTAGAATTACGGTAGGAAATTCCAGCATGTGGAACCGTCGTGAAATATGCCCTCTGACAACATTTTTTCCAAAAAATCTGAAAATTCGTGTACCAGGGCTTTCGCGTACGCTGATTTTACTACACAACTTTTTACGAGTGTTTTCAGCTTTTTCAACGGTGTAATCACATTTTTAACACATGCTGGGAAATCAGTTATTACACTTTACCTAGGATAACTTTGAAAAGAAGTATCATAATGAAGTGAAAATTTCATTTCCGAAATCAGTGGCTTCCATTATCATAGTACAAGAGATTTTGGCTTGCTTGACTCTGTTCCGAAGCAGAAAATGGGCTTCAATGGCCTAAAATCCTCGTCAAATTTCCTACCGTAATTCTACAGTAATGAGGAGCGTTAGATGATTCGCTCGATACTGCAAATCTGAGTTTATCCTCGCTCTACAAAATGGTACCTAAACCTCGGCGAAAGACTTAAAATCAAGGGGGTTATTAACGATCAAACAGTGTTAACATTTTTTTGGGACACCCTGTATATAAACTTGCTACTGCCGTTAAGCATTTTTTTCCGCTAAAAGCTATATTTGGCGCGAAGCTGGTGAGGACGATTGTCGTGATATTCTTCCCTTTTATATCGTAAGCTTAACAAATATGTTTTCTAGAAGAAGTGGGCCCTCTTTCATTTGTGATTCGTTTGTACTAATGGTGTTTGTTTTATTGAACCGAAAATAGCCATTCCACGCTAAAATTCTGTGAGAAAAATTGTTTTTGATAACTGAATACTAAATTGTTAGAAAAAACAAGTGGTCAGTAAATCATGCATCAAAATCTTGAAACATTTTTACGAAAAACAGCTATTGTCAATAATCTTCGCTCAACGTAATAACCAATGTATAAACAAATATTTGAAAAATCACGAGTGTGTAGGTATAAGCCATCCAATCAGTACGAGTTTTTGTTTTGAAGAGTAAGGTGTAAAATCACAACAAAGATCAAAAAAATTTTTCTTGGACTTTGGCAATGCACGTCAATATTTTTGGAGAATAGCTTGCTATATTGGGATATGCCAACATTGATACTAACTGCACATATCTAGTGCTTATGATTCTTTCTCTAAAATATATATCGAGTAAAAAAATTGATGGGGATGATTGAGATTCTGCGAAGGTTTGAGACCTGTGACCTAATATATGAACAAGAGATTCGTTTTTCCATGATTTCGTGAACATTAAACTTAGTGAAGGAGCAGCTCAATAACAAATTTAGCAATATGCATTTGGAGCACCCCATGTTTTGCAAAGACATGTGACATTTAACTTCCAAACCGATGAGTTTTGCAATCTTCGATTCGAGTGTAAGTAGCGAGCAGTTTACTGCAATTTTTGGTGTAAGATCAGTAGATAATAGGTAAAGCTATTAAAGCAAAGTTGGAGTTTGTGGGAAATTTTGGCACTCCTGTTTTGCCTTCCATAAAATTTAAAAAGTTTCTTTCCTTGTTATGTTCCTGTTCCCTGTCTGGGTGGAAAACGATTTTACCCAAGAGAGAATTATTTTCAGTTCCGATTTTTTTGCACTGAATTGTAGACTAATGCATCTTCTGCTTCATTATAGCACCGATTATAATGCCTTCATAATAGGTAGTTTCAGCAACGTATTTCGAATAAACAGCAACCTTACCAGTGCTCGGCACAGGTGACTTATAAGAAAGCTGTATAACGTTTTTGGGACAAAACCAAAGAGGATATCGTTTTTGTGGCCGAAAAAACACAACTTAGGTTATGTTTTTCTAAGGTTTTTTACGTTTAGAGTTTGGGTCAAAGGAGACTTCGTTTTTGCATTTTCGGAAAGCCACCTCGTATCGAGTCCTGTACCTTACACGCTTTTCGAAATACATTTGGATAGCAAACAACCTCTCCCTTCATATGCCTTTATCTTTAGCTTACGTTCTGGGAAATGCTGGATTTTTTTTGTCTTTAATGCTTTATAGGATCATCCCGTATTTACGAGTCATTGAAAGAGCCCGAGCAGCACAGATTTAAATGCATATCCTTGACTTATAAATTGTTTCATATGCTTATCGCAGCTCTGGTGAAAAACGATTAGATTCTCTATGTATTCTTGCCCTCTTCCTGCTTCATCAGTATTCATCCCCAACATCTCTAATATGTCTTTCGACTTCCTCAAATCTGACAAACCTGCTTACCATTTAAACTTTCCAGCTTTTACTATACTATACCTTCTCAGTCTTTTGTGTGCTCATGATATAGATTTATTGATTCTTTGCGCTATATTCTGAAAATTTCCTGTAATTTCTGGCGAATTGCGCATGTATGATACATATGTACGGTTTCCGTGTGCATTTGGTAACAATCTAATCTAGAGTTTATCTTCTTTTAAACAAAATTACACTTGAATGCATCACATGCCTATTGATGAAGGAACGAGTTGATCTCAATAATAATGGTCTCTGTATTGAATCTAGTGCTAGGATACTGAAAAACGGAAAGGCAAGTTCAATGTTTTTAATCTTGTCTTACTTGCTCAGCGTACGGTATTTCAGTGGGTCAAGCGTTACCTGATGTGTAGGAAACCCACAGATGTTAGCGTAGCAATTTTATATGTTTATAAATCTAAGAAGCACAGGCTCAACAACAATTCGAAAACCTCACTGGTACTACAAAATTACGTCGGTTTTGAAAGCGGTGAGTAGGAATTTCTATCCTTCAAAATGCTTATGTTTTGGTAAAATTGATCCAGTCAGGATCAATTACAGTCTGGGCTGTAACTCATCTAAGAAAAGATTTCTTTCAGGATTCGAGCTCAAGAAATGTACTCATATTATTGCTTTATTAACATTAGAAGATATTGTTGTAATTTCTTTTACTCTACCGGAAAGTCTCGTCGTATGGGAAACATGGTTGAAGTCGACATGCGGGTCAAGTGAGCTAAAATTTATATCATTCAATTTTTCGTGGATGTATTCTCGAGTCATTTGTTTCAATACGTGAGTTTGAACACTATGCGCGGGAACGGACGATCCCTTATTAGTAATCCTCAGGGAACCTTTCCAGCTTACAAACTGTAGAATGTGTACTACTAACAAATACAATGAACAAGGAACAAGGAATAACCACTATATATGAGCTGTTTCTGAACTTGAAGCTCGTCAAGTAGTGTGCATGGTGTGCATAACACATATTAAATTGGAAATGACAAAAAATATAAGATGAACAAAGAACATCTGCATCACATTCGGTTTAGCAGATTCGGAAGAGGGATCAGAATTCGTTCTTACCATTCTTATGAAGAGGATTCTAAAAATTTTTAACGTTCTGTAGAAGAAGATATACAGATTTTTCAGGCACTTGTTTTTATATGCAACTGCAACATGCCCCGAACAGGCCCGAAGTTCATTCTGTATTGCTAAAAGAAGTCAGATGCCATCTGCACGTAAGAACTTAGTATTGTACACCTTCGTGCCACTAAATCAAACCCCTCTCATTCATTTGATATCTGCGATCCTGGCGCGATCTGTATCATTTTCATACAACCAGGATTCACGCTTGGCAATCGTGCAAGGTCGACCGCCAAAGCTGCTTCTCTTTTGCGACATCAACAGTGCTAGGATCAATGTGGATACGAATACTAGTATAGTCACCATCCAGCCATCCCAGTCCACCGCTGATGAAAGCTTTATTTTTATGTGCCCTCGGAGCGAAACATTCCAACGCATGCTTTCAAAAGCAAAAATGGAGGTTTGTTGCGTTCTGATTCTCAGCACAAAAACTCTGACGAAAAAAGTGTTTCTGTAAACTATGGGAAATATGACATATTACGCGTACTCTTTCCCGATGTATGTCACACGTGTGAAACATATGGGACTCAGTATTGCTTTGAACAATGAGTTTCGCTGTACAAGTGAAAGCTTTGATTTTAGTTACACTTCGATTGTTATGCTCTTATTCTATTAGGTCGTAACATAAGTTTTACGAAATGATATTTTATTTGCCACATATACGCAATGAACAAATAACTATCTACTGTCATCACTTTCAATTTCACAGATATGGATTATAGAAAATATGAAGCGATTTGTAGGTGCAATTCACCCCATTTTTTCTTCTTCGTTCAAAACACCTCTTATTCTTTTCATTCTCTTAGATTTTTATGAATTTCCGAAACCTTCTCAGACAATGAATTCCGGGGAAAACTGAGCTTCTAAAACTTCCGCGGGACACTCTATTGGAGCTGCCAGATATGTAGGGCAGGCCCTACCGCACGGCCCAATAGGGCGTTCGCCCCGGAAGTTCTAGAAGTTCAGTTCACCCCGGAAGTCATCTGCGTTGTCTGAGTTTTTTTTAATATGAAGGCAGCTTGGAAGTCTAGGCAATAACGCAGGCTCAAAATTTGCCAAAAAAACTCAATTTTTCAAAAAAAAAATTCGAAGATCAGGTTTTTCATCTGTAACATGCATACATTGAAAAGCTGCAACCCCCCACTGAATCTGAAGATGAAGTTTCCAAGAATGATTCGTAGGTTTTTTCTTTAAGTGTAACAAAACTTTCGTTACGATTATTTTGAGGCAACAGGCTGCTCATATTCTAACATTTTTTTCTAATTTTCCAAACTATTTGGTAATTGTAATATAAATCTTCACGCATCCTTGAAATAACTCAACAGTGATAAACAGTTCCTGTTTCACCTCTGCTACCCATGTCCACTATGTTCGATTTCTTTTTGCAGAGAGGCCTCGACAGATATCTCAGCAAAAAGAATTCAGAAGGTGATTGGATGCCAGAATTTGTTGTACCCAAACGGAAAGAAGCAGACACCGAATCGCAATTTTCTCACACACTTAGTGGCCTTTTCAACTTTTTCAACCTTGAGCCGCCTGTCAGACCTAATAGAAGAATCAATCTCGACAAGGAAAAGTCCAAGTCCGGGTATGTTGTATGGATTTGACTCTTCTTTCTTGAGATACATATTTGCTTTCAAGCTTTCACGTTGGAGGCTCATCCTCATCTAGAAATCTTGGAAATCTTGCTCGAGCCAACTCATGTAAGTTTTCCAATTCTTAGAGATTTTGTAGGAAAATTCAAAGAGAACTTTTTAGTGGCGTTCTATCATAATGCCAAACCTAGTCCAGTTAAAGATGAGCCAGCGCCAAACTATGTGAACATTAGCAGGCACAGTATCTCAAAGCCGATACTTGATCGGGAAAGAGGAGGATCCGACAGGGAGCGGTGTAAGCTTTTTTGTGTCAATTTGTTGCTACATTCATAGGGTTAGCATACGATAAAAAATTGTTTTTGCCAGGGCTCGACACGAGCTGGCACCAAGGAAAATTTAAAACGAAGAACGTTTGATCTTGAAAATTTCGTACGAAGTCCTCTTTGACCTGCTTTGAAGACCCGTCATTATTTTTAGATTATGTAAAAGTATGTAGTAGGGCTTTCATGCATGTGATTTCATGGAACAACTTCCACAGCTTTATGAGCTTTTTGAGTGGTTGAATCACATTTTGAGAAGCAGAAAAAGCCGATTTTTCGACTGCGGAGCAGACCGAGTTTCAGATGCCTATAAAGCGCTGGAAAGAAAACATTATGAAATTGTTGCTTCTCTGTATGTATACTTTTACAGCGTAGATACATTTTATGTAAAAAAGTATGAAAACTTATGCGAGCAAAGTGTCGGTGCCAACTCAGCTGGCACCCATCTGGCACGGTGCCAGCTAATTCAGAAAAAAGTTCAGCACAGCTTTCATTCACATAAGTTTTCATAAATTTTTGAGCCATAGTTCGGGTCCCCCAATGCGCATGCACACACCAAATTTGGTGACATTTTACTGCGTTTTGGCAGAAAACAGCGCCTTTGTTTGTTTGATGGACAGCATGCCGGTGGCATGCCGCCGACATTCTTGCGGGTCTTCTCCGCCCCGGACCCCGAAAAAACGACATCCTCTTTGCTTTCCGCCATAAAAACGATATCCAGCTTGACCCGGTGCCAGCTGTGCCGAGCCCTGGTTTTTGCAAATGTATGCAAAAACAAATTTTCTTGAAAATTCTGAATATTTGCTATTGTTGAAGGACACATGTCCAGCGCCACTCAACATCTATGGAATAGATTATTGCTACACATTCAGAGTCCCATTAATATTTGTCAGAACTCACACTATTGCATTTTGGATCGCCTGCAGAACTTTGCTAGCAATCTACAGTCCTCTATTTCTCCAGAAGTTTATCTTCTCTCACAAATATTCATTCAAATCATTTGTACACGTGCATACACAACGCCTAGCATCCACGATATGTGCTTTTCGAACTTGCCCATCTTTGAGAAATTCACTTTGTTTTCCTTGCTTACAAAGCATAAGTATGAAAACCCATTGGTATTTTTTTATCAGCTAGATAATCACTTTTTTACATTTCGTAAGTTGCTGTGGGTTCTGCACTCACTATAAAAATTATTGACTCGATTATGAATGACCTCATTTCCGCAAACAACTCGCACATCAAATGGGAATTGAAAAATTTTAAATTTAAGAAAAAATTGGAACTTTAGTGTATGCTCCCTCTCGGAAAACCAGCCGATTTGAGTCATCTTTCGTGGGCTACGAAAACTATGAGAATCAGGACAGCATACTGCAATCCCAGAAATGTGAGTTGCAAATCAAAGAAGCCTGGTGGAAACACATTCAGCGCATATTTAAGCAAATGCAATTCATCGAAAAAGTCTGCCTGACTATATAAACGCTCAGCAGGTGCCACACATAAGAAAAAGTGAGTAGCTTTATCATGGTCCACAGTTTGGCTGAATATCTTTCTACTAATTTCATTTGAATGTTTGAAGGCACTGAGGAGAACACCAAGCCGCTTTTGCGCTCTCCCAATCATGGCTATAGAAGAAAATCGGAACTTGCCCTGGCTCATGCTATGGATAGACCATCGACAAGGTTTGCATCAGAGTTTTATGGTTAAAATGTTCTCTATAAAATACTTGTAGCAAAGGGCGCTCAGTTGGCGATTTGAAAGCTGCGAGGTTGGAGGAGTCAAGATATGAAAATTGGAGAAAAGCAAAGAAATTCATTTCTTCATTCAAACCGAAATCGCAATCGGATTTGAATCAAAAGAGCAAAATGGTAAGAATGCAGATTTCAGGAAATATAGTAATATATGGTTTATTCACTACTGTTTTTAGAGTCGCATGAGCCTTGTGAAGTCATCGAGTACGGGTGCACTACAATTTGCAGCATCAGCACCATACGTAAGTGCATACTCGAGCAATTTAACTCAAATGTGATTTTGCACACTATGCGCGGCCACAGACGACACCCTTACTGGTGACTCCTCAGTACAACCTTTCTAGCGTAACAAAGTACGGAATTGTGTGCTACTGCTAAATAGACATCCAATTAAATCAAAAGAAACATGGAAACAAGACGAATCACTGGAAATGAGCATTTTAATCTTACAAGACGTCAAGTAGCGCGCATAGTGTGCAATACGATATTGAGTCACAAATCGCGACGATAGACTGTGATAATGCTTGAATAATATCATCAAGCTTCTGTAAGGACACTGCAACTCTGGTTTTAGTATAATGATGGTGCCGAAGAATCATCAGGTTCCTTGACCGACTTTGACGAACCTCCACCGTCGCTTGATCTTGTTGTGTGCGAAACCTCATCTATTCAGAAGGAGGTACTTTTTTCAAGAATTAACAGATAGTTGTAGATTCTCATTATGGCTTGTTGATTTAAGGACAGCCCACCAGAAGGATTGATACGGCCTAAAGAGGACGTTCAGATCAAGCCGAGGGCAGGTGTGAGTGCAGTTTTGGCTCGGCGCTTGGCTGCTTCGGTGACTGGGTCATTTTCGGTAAGAACTATCTGCTAGCTCAATTTGTCCGTTGGAAAAAAGAATGCTATAGAACGAAGCGACTTTTCAAATTGGACATTCTGAAATTTTTGGATACCTATTCAGTCAAAAAAGAGCACCAATTTTTTTGGTTCAACTCATCCTCATGAAATGCAACTTTTTCTGTTCCTTTTTGCACCCTTTCGAATTTTGGCAGGATCACCTGCAAAAAAGAATTACTAGCAGATCCATAATTGCAATAATCTAGAAGTATGACGGGGAACGGGCCACTCATCACTATCAAGGAGGACCAACTGAACCGTTAAAAGCTGCTTCTCCACCCATGCTCGAAGCACTGGACGGTAAGAAACACTGGTTCCACGACTTTCACACTCAACATCCTGTCCTCTTTTTGTTAAGGAATAGAAGCAGCGGTATACCGAGGGCAAGATCGATTGAAGGAAAGCGATAGGAGGGCATCCAACGTTTCTTTCCATAAGGTTCGCTTATCTGTTCTAATTTTCTAAGTTAGGATTGCCAGGGTGTTTATACAGAGTGAAAAAATATCTATGCTGTTTGATTGCACAATATTCTTTTCAAGGTGTTTGTTTGACAAACCTATGAAGTATCGTTATTCAGAGCTGGCTTCAACTTAGACAAACAATACAAAAAGAAGCGCAAGTGGTAAAAACAGTGCAAAAAATCATCGAGTTTTCTTCATTACTTCAGAATAAGGAGTATACGGCGCATTATGCTAACTTGCCTTTTCAGAAAATAATTTCAAAAAATAAGAAGTTTTACATCACGGTTTACGCGCTCTGTCACCAACTGACTTCGCACAAAACTTTGAAGCTTCCCGAACGGTGTGATCACAATTTTTGGGAACACCAAGAAAAAAAACTATGACACTACACAAGGGTCAATTTTTAAAGAGGTTTTACGATACAGTAACTTTGAATGGACTAGCAGGAAAAATTCTGAAATTGTTTGATTACCTTTCTGAGACAAAATGTAGTCCCAAAAGGCGTAAACCTCATTCGTCTCTACCGTAATTCGCAATGAAGTCTAACTGGTGATTCGCTTTCCAGCAAAATCTCAGCTGAATTCAACCATTCGGTATGCCACGAAAAACGCTTTTGCTTAGAAGCCGTAAAGTTTTCTAAGTGTGGAGACAATTTTTTGGAACCCTTATTGATCACTGCGAAATCTAGGTCCTACCCATGCCAATAAAGCAGCCGAAGCAGAAGAAATCCTCGGTCAGCATCAACCAGACGTCTGTAATTCATGTCACCTCACCGAGGAATTCAACTTCATATTCGGAAAGTACAAGGTATAGCTTAATTTTTCTAAAACCTCTTATTTTTATTTATCAATGCAGTAGATGGTCGATCCTGTAAACTCGAAACTAACTTTTACCTATATTCCTTGTCATAGCTGATATTATGGATTATCTCAATTTCCAGACACCCGATTGCTTGTTGCTCTAATGACAAGACGATTCTTGTCAAATGTGAACCACAAAAAACAAAGATGTGTAACATAAGCCCCTTCGTGGACTTATTGTATCGTTCCCTACCCTTATCGCATTATTAGCAGGAGAATTCACCTATTTCTGCAGGTATTAAGCAACCGAAAAAGAATTTTTTCAAACATTTAACAGCGCTTCCACCTGTCTCCAGCGACAGCGGCTAACAAATGAACTGCCGCTGTTTTTTATTCAGAGGTGTTGAAATCAAAACGTAGAAGAGGCGTGGTTTGTGTATGGTTAGGACTTCGCAGTATACGGTACCGTCGGTGCCGCCATTAAAATCTGCGAAATACAACTGTTCTTATAGCCACATTTTCACGAAGTAAAGCACATGTTCGGAAAGAGCTCATTGAAATTCATTCAAAAGTGCTCTTATCTTCTGCGATACCCGTGAACTTTCAAAGGTAGGGACCTCAAACTTGGCTCAATTATGGCTGCCGCGAAATAAATTATGAGCTGGCAGTAACCAATATTGTGTGAGCTAATTCTGGCGCCAGCTAAAGTTACAAGGGCACGAGTTTTGCAAAAATTATGTGCATTTTTTAATAGAGCAAAATGAGCTCTTTCAGAATAAATGCTTTTCTTCCGTAAAATCTGATTAGGAGATTTACATTGGCGAGGCGCTTCCAATGCGATATCGCTTTTATTTCGCAGATTTCAACGGCGGGCACTGTCGGTATTGTTGAGCAGAGGTGCATTGCTTTTCGTGATCTGAAACGTTTCCAAAGAAATATATGAAGTAAAACTTTCACAAGCAATTTCAAAATCCTTGGTCTCATTGTCGTAGTCTGTTGGTCTCACTGTCGTAGTCTGGCTGAACACTGACTGAGATGGAAAACTTGGGTGCTCCCAAGTATGTTCGTTGCTCCTTAAACAGCTCTTGAATGGTTCTGATATTAAATTCTGCGAAAGTGAAGAGTGTTTTCGGGATTACATAACTGCGGTCTTGTTTTACAAGTTCTCGTGTGGAGAAGAGGACTCGAATCAAAACTTTGCTTCTCATAAAAGCATTTCCAGGTCGTCCAGTGAATCGTTATCTTCCGATGCTCGGTCGCGAATTTCATTTCGAAAACGAACTAACTCTCCTCCGAATGTTCCGGCTCCAATTCTGCTTCCTCGACAACCAAGCTCGCACACGTTATTGGTGGGTTGGGTTGCATAATAACGAGTTAACATGACTTTTTTGAAATGTAAAAAATTCTTTAGCAAGCAAGCACTTCGGGGGATTCGCTAGAATCGGAGCGAACAGCGAGGACGAATTCGCCGACGATTCGTGGACAATTTTCCGGACCAAATACAAGCGTGCATTCACTTCGTACGTACTTATGCATTTTTTTCGATTGAGAAATTAGCAAAGAAAAAATTACTGAATATTTTAGAGAGTGTAGCTAGCTGCCGTCGAGTGGATTACTGTGATGTTGCGCTGCCAGCGGTTGCGAACTCTTCATCAAGCTCTACTTCAGTAAATTCTCGAGTCGAATATGTTACTATAGACCCGGTATCAACGGCTGCGGCAAGAGAGGTGAGCACAACATCGAAACCAAAATTTTTTAGTATCTTTATGGTAGCAAAAAGCAGCGAAATTTGATGCGCTCAGTAATTGAAAAACTGCTATCAAATCAAAGAGGGAAAATTGATGAGGTTAGAAAACGCGCAAATTACAATGTAATTGATATCTTAAAGAAATTGCTGGATTTTTGCAATTATAAGAGGGTATAGTCTTAAATTTTATATGATTTCTAGTCAAAATTCGTTGAAAAGTGTTCCGAAGCTGCTTTGAAGTGCTTTTCAATGTGTTGGAAATTTCTTTTTTGATTGCATTTCTGAGGTGGTTGTAGCATACTATCCATTATGTGATTAATTGCAATGTTCCAACATCTTAGATGCTCAAGGTATAATTTCTTACGCAGCTTCTGACGTTACCTTATTACTACTTGAATCTAATTCTTAGAAATCCATTTGTGTTGCAAATTTTCGTTTGCTTCGAAAAAGATAGTATTTGACTCCGTTAACTTAAAGTGCTCAGAACTCCTCATTGTCTATCGACATATAAAACTGCATCAATAATTTACACAGGCGTCCAATCTACACTTAGCACCATTCGAACGAGCTCGAGCAATGTCAACCTCGATGACAGGGGTACCAATTTTGAGGAGGAGATCCCAGGTAACATCAATATCAGAGATCCTGACATCAATTTATCTCGCTGATTGTTCTTCTCAAAAATTGTATACAATGAAATGAGCGGCTGCAGCCGAATGTTTAGTCATTCTCAGCCCTCTGGACATCCGCTGGGTGAATTCAAAATCGCGGAGCAAGAATTTCGCGGTAGAGCGCGGCATTGCAAGCCACAGTTTAATTTGCAGCGTTTCTTTTCCGTATTTCGACTGTGCTTGCTGTTTGTTTGCATTACGTTGATGTTCTTAATCAAAACTGACTATCTTATTACTGTTGACCGTTCCTACCCCTATGCTCGATTTTTTGTTTACGGAGCTTGCAGTGGCACTTGATTCGCTAGAGCAACCTTCTCACGTATTAATACCTGACTTACAGCAAAATTTTTCATTTGTAGTTTTCTCCAAGCTTATCTGTACTCAGAGTCGAAGAAAAGAGCATAGCAATTCTTAACGCTAAACAACGAAATCTACAACAAACACCGTTATGACGCAAAAAATAGCAATGACGAAAAGAAATGAAAAAATATGCGCAAAATCGACCTGCGGGTTGAGGTGCCGCGCTCTGCTGTGAGCGGCTTGCTCCAGTTCGAATTTGAATTCGACAATCACATGTCCAGTGGGCTGAGGACGACTATCATTTAAGTGAGTGTGTGTTAAGCTTAGAAATGGGTAGGAGAACAAACTCCGCCAGTTTGGGCCGCCTCCACAACATTGCAATAGGACCAGTGCCAGCGGAGGCCGCTCAAAACTGGCGGAGTTCGTTCTCCTACCCGTGTGCATTTATGCATGTACCCTTTGATTCAACTGGCTTGGTGGCTGGAAGGCGGGCTTCGTGACCTAATAAAGGCTAGATGATGATGAGGGAGCACGCGCACGAGAGAAACGCAGACTGCGTCGCGGGCGCGAGCGGCCCTAATTGAGTCACAGAGCGCCGCCTTCCAGCCGCCGAGCCAGTTGAATCAAAGGTTGCCTGTAGTAATGTATATGCCATTTCCGCATGAATCATCGATGAGAAGCAGCCTGTTATCTTTAGAACTTCCCTTCCTACATCAAGTATCTGGTCACTTCTCATTTCGCTGCACTTTTTTCTGTTAAAGTTATCAACCAGATCTTCGCTTTTGATCTGATAATACTACATTTCCCGAAATCTTGCCGTTGCTTTGCATCTAATTGTAAGTAAATTCTCAGTCAACAGCGCCCAAAAGAAATTTGCCACAACTTATGTATGTCCTCTGATAGTGAAAGCTCAATTTCAGGGCCAGTCTAGTACTTCGGATTCGGTGTCACTTGGACAACCAACTCGGCAGGGTTTCTTTAGGAAATATAGAAAAATGCGACGAAATAAGAAGAATGCGTCGTACTCAATGTCTCAGTTGAATATTTGATTCTTTATGTTTGCCAGATTTTCTCTACAGTCAGAACCATACAGGTGTGCATTATAGTAATCATAATCCAATAAGAGCATTTCAATATACAATTTATCGTATATGTGGCACAACATCAAAGCACGAAAATCGCAGGGACCAGTTCAGAGAAAATATTTTCATAATTAAAGCAGGTTAAGTAACACGGAAATCTGGCAGAAAGACAGCAGCTGGAAAGGAGATCATCCATTAGTTTATATAGAAATGTAGGGAATTCATTTGTAAAATCCGATAATAGGTTCAACATATCGTTCGAATTTTCGAAGTTGGCGGCAAAGTCCACGTTTAAATTCTCTGTTGAAAACTGTGTAAATAACAGGATTGATGCCAGAATTACCTGAAAAGTTTTTCCCATCTTCATTATTTTCTAATGAGGAAAAACATCATTTAAAGAGCTTACAAATAACAAAATATGAATAACTTACAGTAACCCAACCAGAAGAAAAATTTGAACACTACTGCGGGAGCTTCGTACCCAAACGCTCCGATAACATACATAACCTGCAAGTAAACATGATTTAAATCGAAAAAAACCTAATAAAATGAAGTGGATGATGGCACGAAAGAATGCTTACAAAAAATGGAAGCCATGAAAGTATAAATGCCGAAAGGATGATTCCAAGAAGTAGCGTGGCTTGTCTCTCTTTTGCTTTCAACTTTCTTCTGCGCCGTTCAGCCGCCAGCTCTTTTTCGCCTTTTGGAATAGTTGGTTTCTTTACATCGAAAGCATTCTGTAAGAAGAAAACCGTCATCTAAAATAGTAATGTTTTCAGTGACATCCAGATAGGAGAGAATAAGCTCACTAGAAAACGTTGAGTTGCGCTGATCTTTTTGAACTTCATTGTGGGTAGTTCTTCCGATATTTTTCTTAATTGCCAACAAACTTGATTGATTGCTGCCTGAAAGAATCCAATCGGTATATGATTCGTACTGGAAAATGAAGTTGATTACCCTATTGTTGCAAATGTCTTTTTCGTCAGGATCCGAAGTATCTTCAAGTAGTTCCAACTCCACCAACTGTTTCGCTATAAAGGAAGAAAATTCAGTTATTTTTGCCTCATCTCAGACATCTCAAATACAAGTTTAATCAGCTTACATATGAAATGAGATTATTAACGAGAAGAAATACCGAAAAAATGACGAATACATGTTTGCATTGCATGAGATTCAGTATTCACAGTCTAGTTGTGTCATATCCTCACATATCGACTGCACAACGTGCACACATTGGGCGTCATATCCTGGATTTCTTTACGCTCGGGATGCTATTCTTCCGGGTAAATGCTTTTTACCTTCATTCTCGAAGTTTTCTTTTTGTTCAGCCAAGACAAACATTCAACGAGAATTTTCTACGAAATGTACGCAAAACGGCCACCGTAACAAGAGAGGACGCACAATGCGTGTAGTGTGTGCAATCGCACATTTTGAAAAAAAAACTAAGCGCCACAGCTTATTTTAAGCGACAGTTTTCTGCTCACTCAAATTCGTGTAGCGCAACATATACAATTTCTTCTATTATATTTTTTGTTCTGCCATGAATGGAAACTATTTGTTATAACTTACTTGAAGGCTTCGCAGTAAGCAGATTGAGCGTATTATCGCGGCGTTCTGTTTCCTTTAATCGTTGTCGGCTGTGTTTAATGGTAATACTGTAGATCTTTGCGTATACGATAACCAGTATAATGACAGGGATGTAAAATGATCCGAGTGAGGAATACAGAACGTAACCTAAACTGACTTCGGATTCAATACCAGGGAAAGATATAAAGTTAACAACTTTACCTATATCTGTGCTCACTGCGCATTCACCCGGACGGCGTTCGGGGCGCCAACCGAATATGGGAGGCAGACATATCAGCAAGGAAACGACCCATGCAACTCCTGAATTCGAGGTATTTAGTGATACATATAATAGATTCTTCCCTCAGGCTAATGGCAAAAGATTTTGAAGTGGTTTAACACATATTTATCAAAAGTTTATACTCTCAAATACAAAACCTCTCAATGTTATTAGTGTATGACCCTTGCAAGGCGATGACATTCTAGCTCATAGAATCTTTAGCTATTGTGGGAATCCCAAAATTGAGAAGATGTGTTCATAAACTCTATGCGATCATACAGGTCAGTAAGTCAAAACAATTTTAGTAGCATTTTGTGCTAATTTTCGACTACGTAAGCAACCATATTGCAAAAAATCCCAAAATTTTACTAATTATTGCCATAAAAATAATCAAATTTGTGCGGCTTCTAACAATATGTAAGGCAATTATTAACCTTTTTACATCGTCGCGGCCGTACATTGCAACTGGATCGGTTTGCGTTTGGTGATAATGCTGACAAGGTTGGAAGTTTGTACTCAGTCCGTTTTTGTAAGGATGAAAGGGAAGCGTATATGCACTTATTTTCTCATAAATCACAAATGATTTGCTAGCTCAATCACAATGCAACAGGATAAATTAAGTAGTTTTTTAGCTTTTGAGGTTGTGGCATAAGAATGTATACGTTTAAACGGAGAACAAATAGATGTGGAAATGCGTTGCTTGTGTCACAGTCCATCATTTTCTGGACAACTGCATATACTTAAGGTTTCAAAATTTCATAGCCAACTCCCAACACAAAATATGGAAGAAAAATGAATAGATTTCTTTCTTTTACTTTTCTCCAGACAAAACTCTAACAAGAACATTTTTTCTAGAGATCACGTGATTAGTTCAAAAACAATACATATTCTATCAAGAAAAAAGCGGAACTGCCTTTTTTCTAACATTTTTCTCATGGTATTTCTCTCAATAGTCAATTATGTCACACTATTCAAGCTAAAGGATCGGATTATCAGCGAAAAGTTCCTGTCAAGAAGGCAATGATTTACGTACATTTGACCAAAAAACTCGCGTAAATGCTATCAAGAAAAATTGAGTGGGTTACTTACCGATGTAGATAAACATTCTTAATGGAGTACGTTTGGCTGGATAGGAAAGTGGTGACGTGACCGAGAAGTATCGGTCTAGTGATATTGCACAGATGTGCAAAATCGAAGCGGTCACGAAAAGTACGTCAAGCGCTAACCACATTTCGCAAAGTACGTTACCTTAAAAAAATCTTGAATGTATGTGGTCTTGACGGGCACAATAGTGTGCTCCTGCGGTGCCTACAACACCTGCGCGTGAAAGTTGTGAAGCGGAAATATGTATGGCACGTTTACGCGCAAGTTGGCAGCATCACAAATGTGGCGATTTCTTTCTGCGCAAGTGTTGTCAGCATCACATTCGCGTTAGATAAATCGTCTAATTTACTGAAATATATGGTCCTCAGGCCCCATAAATTACTTACCCATTTTCCATTCTCCAATAATTTCATAGATAAGAGTTAGCGGCATGACAAGCAGTCCGACCAACAAATCAGCCAGTGCTAGCGAGATGATGAGCCAGTTCTGCCGTTGCAGACGCAACTTACGGTCACGGTATACGGTCAGCACAACGAGAAGATTACCAAGGATGATTACCTGCGAAAAATTCTTTAGTAAACTTATTTTTAAGCATTTGTCATGGAAAACGTACCAGCATTACAGTGAGCATACTAGCTATGGTGAAAATAGCTTCTCCGAGGTTAAGGCATGCAACGGTGATAGGATCGCCAGAGCAGCTAAAGTTCGACATCACCGCATCGAGTCTGGAAAAGATTTTGAGGTATGGAAAATGAAAGGAAAATGCCGCGACCACCGCATCATGAGTGGTAAAAAAAGTAACGAAATAATCAGGTAAGGAATACTGACACTAAGGTTGAAAAGAATAGCACAGATCAAGAGTACCAGTAAAATCAGTTTGAATGTAGTACACCGACCCTCTGGGATCTCGATCTGAATCATTTTGAACTAGAAAAAGGTGGGGCTTACTCATACTATGTCATTTGATGGATCTGAAACATCTTCAAATTCCCTTTTATATTATTCGTAACTTCAGTGTAAGAATAAGAGATCTACTATATGCTTGTCAAACAGCACATGTAGATTATATTGTTTATTTTTATTTCTGTTATGCTTTCTCAAGAATACATGTTTTAACAGCTCAATGATGACATGGCAGATGCTTTTTCTGCAAAGTGAACCAGAAACAAATCCCTCCGAAAAAGGGGAAGGCGACAGTACCCCTGAGATATTTTTCGTATTTTTGTTGAGCTTACAGTAATAAAAAAGTTTTTACAAGGTGTGGCATTTTTTACGAAATTTGTAAAAATATGTCAGATATTTATAAATATTAGCGAATAAATGTGATAATAAGAAGAAAGTCACTCAAATGTTTGGTTTCTCAAGCAGAACTTTTAGGAATTCTGAAACGAATATGCAGGGACTGAGCTCTTCTACACCCTTGATCTGCTACTGATTCACAGATTTACTAAGTTGGTAAGCGCTCGACTTACTAAATAGCAGAGTTAATGAAGATTTCTGATATGATCGCATAAGACCAGCCCGATCATTAATCTAGCAGAGGCTAATACACGAATCTCCACGTATCACGCAAGCTCGGCTAGTAGATTCTTGCGTGCCACTAGTCGCGTTCTGTTATTACATTGACGAAATAAAACCGGATAACACTCTCATATTCAGCACAAGATGGATTTGTTATCTGCACCTGTTATAGCAAGATATTTTGCATCAAGCGTTCATGAAAGCATCTTTCAGTTAAGACAATCTCAAAGTGATATGTGCGATTCAAAATCCACACTGCCTGCAAAAGCTATACTTTGTTGGCCATTGGCGTATACCTTTCGAACAATGACGTGCAGGATTTCCATTCTAGGGGAGGGGGGGGGGCGACGAAATTTCCCCAAATCAAGATGTATGGCATTAGCCAAGCACTTCGAAAGATTTTTTGGGACGTCTCTAAGAAATTTTGCGGCCTCTAACCCCAAATTTGAAAAAAAAGTGAAGAGGCGACAGCACCGCCCGAAAAATACAGGGAAAGTTTAGATTTTCAAAATTTTTCAAAATCGTTTTGATTATTTAAAGAGTATCAACAAGTCATTTACATATCCCCCGCCTCCCCCTCCCCTCGGTACGCCACGGCTTTTGAGTAAGGATTTTAAGGAAGGTTCTTAGCTTCTCTTTTCACGGAGGCTTTGCTAAACGTTTTCGGTTTCGGGAAAAGAAATCAGTCCGTGAAGTTTTCTCAAGAATAAGCCGAACTTAAAGTGCAGAAGTTCACGCGCACCGCATAATTTGTAATTGCAAATTTTAGCTCAAAATATTCGAATGTTTGCATCAAAATGTATGTATTCCACACTGCATAATATCTAGAGATCATAGGTATCATTAGGGGAGTAAAGGATGAGTTCAATAATGTTTAGCACAGGGCCGAATTGCAGAAGAAAAAGTATATGGAGAAATGCTGAAGATTACGGAAGCCTTACAAAGACCAAATAAGGATTAGCGACGATATCAGTTTACGGAACTAGGATTACCATACGTATAGAATGAGACTATTACCTCATTATTATAAGCAGATTGACTCTAACACTTACAAAGGTTTCTTTTTTCGCGATATTTGAAGTAATTTGATAGCATAGCGAGAAGAATGTAAGAAAACGATATGCACAAGGGAAATGCTTATGTCAGAGCTTCACGGATTATTTAATTTGCAAGAAAAAGCCATGCAAATTCCACAATCTCAATTGTGCATGTGAATAACATGAAATGAGATAACTAATTTAATGACATTCTATGCACGGTTGGCTGTGTGAATGCGAAAAAACATTCTACAATAAACAGATTAGCACGAAGTCTTGAAGAAGTGATTCATGCAGGATAAGCTGAGTTTTTTTCTATAGATAGTCAGAAAACAAGAGTTAGGATAAGATAATGGATTGTGATGGTAAAACGTCTGCGAAACGCATTCCTTGTCAACAGTGGTTTAACATGATCAATGTTCAGAAACTACTAGAGGATCATGGAATACAGAAGACAAGTTGTGAAACTTTTCTCAAAAAATTTTCTGTAAATTGACTGGACTCTCCCTCCTTACCAATGAGTCCCGGAAAGGGTCTCTAGATCTCAAAACAACTTTTGAGAAAAGCGACGAAACGGAGTAAAACATGTAAATTAAGAAAGTCAAAAATTACAAGTTTGGAAAGCTAAAATTCCCAGCAGTATGTGCTGCACTTGGAGTGTTAGAATAAGGAGGATAGATAGCGGAGGTTTTTCATGATTCCAAATCTGATTACATATACTGCGAAACGTTTGAGAAAAATTTCCCATTGTCGAGGCAACATGCATGAATCGAATATAACAACTTTCAAGTAGACTGTCAAAGTAAGTATTAGGTTGGCACATAAGTAATGCAAATTTTTGTAAAACTTTTGTCTTTTTGGACATAGCGCACTCATTTTCTGGCACAACAAGGATTATGATGCAATCTGCAAATGCAGACTTTTTTGTCGAATTCTGCCATCTTATGTGAGAGTTACGGTACATTGACGGTATGGGGGAATAACTTTGATGGCGTCAGAATTTGCTGAAACTCGGCCTATGGGGGTTATTCGACATGCTGTCACAAGAATGAGACCCGTTTCGCATGAAAAGGCCCCTTTCGTAAAGTCAAGAGATAAATTTCGTCTTAGCAAGTGAATATGATGTTCATGTTCACGGTATTGGATTACTCTATGCAAAGTTTTAGCGAGTTCTGAGGTTTCGCAGTTTACTTGTTGACAGGTTGCTCTCCAAATTTGAAGCATTTGACTTGTTCTATTCTCAAAGGCGCCTTATCTTGATTTATCTTTGAATTTCGCTTGTTTCTACTGATGCTCATGTATCAACTTCTAGCTACATGCTGCCTAGAATTCCTTTTTGATACGTTTGATTCAGGTTTTGTAAGGCTTCATGTTTGCCAGAAAAGCGTGAAACCTCGATTCCCAAGGGTTTTCGAAAAATGTTTGAATTTTTTTCAACTACGTTATCAAAAATCAGACGGTCTGAGCAGACTTGCAGCTTACGTCACAGTCTACATGATGCCAAAGAATGAGTATGCTGCATTTGATAAGAACAAAGTAAAGGGAAAGTTGCAAAACTTATGTGCTAATTTAGTAATTCAAATACCTAAAGATTTATCTATGATGTGGAACAAGCTGGAACAATTTCAAACATCATAATACTATAAAAAGAATGAAAAAGATTTGCAAGTGAAGCTAGAACACCGGATAAAGAGAACAAACCCTTTGAGACTCAAAGAACGGAGATTAAACGCCAAGGCTCTCCGTTGAAGGAGGGGGGGGGCCTAGCCGACGGCATCTCTTCGCATGTGAGAAGAGGCGAAATCGCAGCTAGACAGCAGCATTTTCGTAAACACTTCAGTTGTGAACGATCCTCTGCCACTAAACCTGAGCGTAGGTGTCGAGTAGCAAAGCTGGATTCAATCTAAGTAGGGCTTTGTAGAAAAATTTCACTTTGAGCATTTTTCATAAGCTCTTAGTTGGGCAACGAGTGTGGAGCCGCGAATAAATCAAATAAATTTTGCAGCAAAGAAGCTGCAAAGAGTCCATAAGCTCGCCTAATATGAACAAAAATCTAGGACTAACTCATGCGAAGATCTTTGGATTTTGCATAATCATCTCGAAGAGCAATTAGTGTAAGTGTTGCCTTCCGAGATTCCATACCAGATCCATGCATAGCCCGCTTCCTGAATGCGGGCTCGACAGAATAACGTCAATGGAATCTAATGCTGCCGACTCTCACGAGGATCAGCGAATGCAGTTGTTACGCGACTGAGACTCTTATTAAAATCTGATGAGCTAGACCTGAAGTAAATAGGAGGAAGTAGTTTGCTTAAGAATTCATTTATGCAAAAAAATCTCTATGAGAGAAAATATACCTTATTAGGAGCAGTTGCGCGTATCAAGACACGAGTTACGCTTGTCTGAATGCAAAAAAAAGTTGCGCTAGCGATATTGCCAAAAAGCTATAATGATTTCATCATATGCTACACTGCAGACATTTCATTTTTCTGCTATAATATTCTAGCAAATAGCTACCGAAACAGTAATTGTTAGGGTGCTAGTTTTGCAGGCGCTTTCGCTGCGGGAGCAGTGCAATTTCCCGCAAATTTACCTTTTTTGAATAGGCACAGCGATTTTTTATCTGTAGATATGATTGCACGAAACAATAACTTTATATTAAGTCAAACAAGCGCTGTTCTATTTGCAAATAAAACCTTCCACATCTCAAGTCTGTTAGATTGGGCTTCATTTACCAACTATAATTGATGAACGACAAAATGAGAGCATATAATTGAAAAACAGTGGATCAAATATCACTTTGGATGACACACTAAAATAAAATTTTCCACTGAGCTTTCTGCAATTTACTGGATTCTTCAGGCAAACTTTTCGAAGTAATACTGCGAAATTACTTCCTCGACTTGGTTTTGCAATAAGAAAAGCATTAATAAAATGCATACTTTTCAGAAAAACATCAATATATGCATTTATAGCTGAAGTATATAGCCTTTTCATTTCTCATAAGAATATTTAATGAGAAAAGTTCTGGATAATGGTTAGAACACACGTTCATTCATATAAAGGATAATGCTGTGATAATGGGATTGATTTTATAAACTAAGCTTTTTTGCATGAGACAAAGAACTTGAGGAATAACATTGAATTTGTAAAG